TATGGGCTTCATTCGTGTTCTTCTCAAGTAGTCCGAAATGAACATTAGCTATTAATTTCTTTATTCTGATGTCTTCGGCTGGTTTGTCAGAGATGTCTGTCTTCCATAATTCCGCTGTGATCTTCCTATAATCCACCTTGTATACTCTGGACGGTTGCTTATAATAAAGAATCTTACATTGCTTCACGAAGTGCTTTAAAAACATACCATATACTAAAGTGTAGGCTTTATTGAAAAATAAACTCCGCTTGGTGGGCTTGACCAAGTAGAGAGTGAGATCGTGAAAATCTGTTACCTTGCCATCGAAAGGCTTCCAGATATCAAACTGAGTGAATACCGGTATCTCGGCGATCTTGTTAAACGCAGATGTGTAAGCTTTTCTTACATCTATCTCCGTAGTCACTTCTGATGTATAACAGTATTTGTCGTCTTTGTCTGTCTTAGGGTTACATAAATAATAATGTTTATTTATTTCACCCGTTGGGGGGATGGTGCGACACTCCTTGAAAATCTCTACATCTACTTCGTTGTAATATGACTTGTGGGTCGGCTTGAAGAGGGCGGTGTTAAAATTAAACATCGCTTTAGACATCTTGTTGTAGACCTGCTCCGTTCTCACGCAGATGGAACCATCTATAGAATTATTCACTAAGTTCTGGGTCTTAACCTTGTATTTGATTATTTTATCTTTGATCTTAAATTTAAAATTCAGTTCAGATACGAACCCTGCACTAAATCTAACCTGTGGCTCATACCCCGCCTGTTTGCTAAGATAAAAGAGATGAGACAGATCGTAGCCATTGTATACCAATGTGTATTCACTGTGTTCTGTGTATTTACGTATGTCGTCTAGGGATGTGATCATTTTACACTCCACTGGCTCCTCCTTCTCGTTAAGGTGATAATCTGAAGATGCCTTAACAGATATACTATAATTACTGCTTTTGGGTATCATCTGCCTCAACATATTCATATTATCACTGACTGTGTAGATATGACTGTTCTTCACTATAGTGTATAAGGCTGGGATATTATGATTTTTATTGGGTCGCGCTTATAAATCAGAGTGTCAAAGACATCATAAATTCTGACTTGCAAGTTAAAATGTTCAAACACCTTCGCCATATCTGTTATTGACGCCCCTTTTGTTTTGAAATCTTCTTCCGTCTTATTTATGATCTTTAGGATGGCTTCTTTTGTTAGTTTGTTCTTCTCTCTCTTCTTGTCTCCCATAAGGGTATCCTTATAATAATCGGTCAAGGTGTTAAACCAACACTCGTTCTTAACGTAATGTTCTACTTTAATGGCTTCCTTAAAGGTCTCATACTGTGGATCTAAGGGTGTCTGAATATATCTGTGATACATACTGACATTCTCTGTGTTTGTTAGTTCTTCGTCTTGTGGCTTGAAAGCATCGGCGTTATCTACCCTTTCGGCGGAATTAACTTTAATACAAGCAATGTAACCTTCGGCATAACCGACATCTGCTTTAAAACTGTCATCTGTCATTACTATGAAATGTTTTTGTGTCGGGCTTCTCGTCTCTAAATATTCGTCTCCCCGCTAGGGTTTCAACCCACGGTGTTGTGGCTACATTGGCTGATAGATCACGCATATAAATAGGAACGCATGCTCTACCCCTGCTGTCTCTGAAAGATACTGATAAGCCTTGATGTGATTCTGCCTTCAGTTGGTATAAATGGACATTGATTGAATATTTTCTTGGTTTTCTTGGGTTGGTTCTTCCCGTTCGTTTGTTGTCTTCTTTTGCTTGTGCCATTCTCTGACCTAGTTGTTCTTTATCCTTGTGTTTGTCATAAATCTTGTTGTATTCTTTTTCCGCTTTAGTTTTTTCTTTGTCTGTTTTTGCGGTGGTGAGTTTCCTGATTAAATTGTCTGCTGTGGTGAATTGGGCGATCTTACGATCTGAATATAAGTTAATTATGTTTTGAACCTTTGTTCTGGTGGCTTGGTTGATGCGGTTTCGCTTGTTGTTATAAAATGTTTGTAGTGCTTCTGTATTACGCTTAATGGCTTTGGACATATACTAATATAATTAAACTATATATTTATTTTCCCTTTAAATGGATTTTTCTGAAGATTGTTTTAAAGAAAATTTATCTAAAGAAAAAAAAAATATATATATATATAGTATAGTAATATGAGCAAGAAGCCCGAGGATATGACAATAGAAGAAATCAAAGAGCAACTCGCCATATACAACAGACTGTATTATCACAAGCGCAACAAGGACGAGGCATACATGCAAAAGAAACGGGAATCTGCACAAAGACGCAACCAGAAAAAGAAGATCAAGGAGTATGAACAAGCTAACAATATCACACTGAAGCCCGAGGAGATTAACGATGAATTGCTATCAGAAATATTGAATGCAAAGAAGCCGATGAAGCCCAAGCACGGCTCGGTAAAATATGACATGAAGAACTGCAAGATCATAATGCCGATGTCCGAATGATGATTTAATTTAGTGATTAAATCATTATTTTCTTTTATTAAAATATGAGTGAGAAGCAAAAAAATATTAATGATGTGTATTTTGATCGCGCGGGTTTCGGTAGTAGAAGCCGGACTTTAGAAGAAGCGCGGGAGAAAGATAAAACCATCACGATGTCTGATATTAACGAGTTTTTTGGAAGGAATGTTGATCAAAAGCGAAAGCCCGTCGGTTCGAATAGCTTTGTCGCCCCCCATTCAGCATATGAGTATCAGATGGACTTATTTTTTATAAATGATTTGGAAGATCAAAAATTTAGAGTAGGAATGTTAATGATTGATATATTTGATAAGTTTATGCACGTCGTGGCAATTAAAGGTAAGAAGGAAGAAGATTTAGCGAGTGGGATGATTGAATGCTTACATAAAATGGGGAAGAAGCCAAAAATAATTTATACAGACGACGAGGGAGCAATGAACAAGGAGGCAATACAGAAGTATTTACAGGAACAGAACATAGAACATCACAGGACTAGGGCGCATCCAAATTTTAGCGAGAGAGCTATTAGGACGTTCAAAGATTTATTATATCGTCGTGTTGAAGCCGATCAGAAAAAGGGTAAGAACAATATTCAGTGGCCGGATTATATTTTTGAAATATTATTAACATATAACAATAAAATGAAACATTCCGCGACAGGATTCACCCCAAAGGATGCCAGAAAACCGAGCAACGAATTAAAAGTTAAACTGCATTTAAATATGAATGCTAAACGAAATCGGGTATATCCTGATCTAGGTGTCGGGGATGAAGTTAAAATATTTAGGAAGAGGAAACCCCATGAAAAAGAACGTGTATCAAATTGGTCGCAAAATGTTTATACCATAGAAAGAATTGACGAAAAATTGGGTCAAAAATATTATTATGTATCAGGGAATGATAGGGCTTATTTACGCTTTGAGTCATTTTTTCACAAGGGACTCGACTGCTGCCCTTACGCTTTGAGTTATTAAAAGTTTAATTTTTCGTTTGATAAAAATTTTCTTAAGAAAAGCACCTAAAGAAATGACACCCATACGTATTAACAGGGAAATGTTCAATCGGAAAGAACAGGATGAAATCATAAATGATTTTTTGGATGCTATCAAGGTTAGAGATTACATCAGGGAAAGTTGGGAAAAGAGGGATACGTGTAAATGTAGGGATTGTAAAAAACATGATCATTATCGCACTTTATACGAATTGCCACTACCAGAAAATATTATTAAGAATATCTATGGCTTTACTTATCGGTGTTGGAAATGCGAAAAGACCATAGAAAAAGAGGAAGCATTAGAAGAACGACTTAAAACTAATGATTTGTGTTTATATGATGTTGATAAGCTTATTTTAAGCTTGGAACGTTTGTTTCCGTTATATGATACAGTAAAGCAGGTGATCCCAAACATAACCATGAAGAGATACAACATGTTTAAGAAATTGTTTAATGAAATGATGTATTGTAGTGGCAAAGAAAAAATAAAAACATGGATACAATACAAAATGAAATATAATGTTAATGCTACAGCGTATGATTTCAACAAAATTGTTAGAATACTATTGAATAAACCTGAGTTTGACTTAATGGATTAAACAAACATAACATTATTGATATTATAATGTTATGGTTGGTGGTCGTTGCGAGTGCTCGCAAGGCTCTACCGAGCGTCCTAAACCCTAAAAGTTCACTACACCCGAGTTGTCAAACTTGATTTTGGCGCGCTGTTGTTTTCTACTTGTTTGTGTGTAGAGTGTTGCCAATGTGCTTGGTGTTTTTTCGTTTTGAAGCCCTTTTGTTTGTATTGGTTCGTAAAAAGCGAGACAAGCCCACAGTTCACGCGGAGGTCGTCCGAGCGGTAGGCTCGAGCTGGCAGTTGGACTCCTTCATAGACTAGATGCTTGGCATGGGGATTGGGATAAGGAATTGCGTCATATGGAGTCGAATACTAACCCCTAAACCATACTAAACCCTAAACCCTGAACCCTAACAAGTTGTCATGGCTGTGGGAGTTGGTGAGGGTCCAACGGGTCGTTTGAGCCTCTGACTCTCAATTTATGCAAGCGACGGTGCTATATTTTGAACTTCGGCTGCAAACTTCTGACGGCGCGTAGGTTTTCGAGGACGATGGCTTTGGTTGGGCAGTACAAAAAGGCTCCTTCCTATCCCACTGATGAGGATTCGGCAGAGGATGTGTTGGCTTTTAGTGTTTCCTGTTATGGGGGAATCGAGTCGGTCCTGATTCGGATCACCTTCACCGGCTTCGACATCTCCTGCAAACAGCCAAAGTGCTCAAGTGCGATGGTTGAAGCAGTACACCTGCATGTATCAGGTAATTGCCACACAGATGATGCTGAGCGTGTCAGTTGAAGGCACCATCAACAATATTTCTGGTCACGTCCCTGCTCTAACTTCTAGAAGATCGAGAGTCAAGCATTGGTGCGCGTGGCACTCTGTTGAAACATGCTTGCTCCGGAACACATGTGGCATCCAGCCACGCGCAGCTCCTTAACCGTGGGGGCCTTCGCGAGCTGTTACAGCCCGCCAACGGGCCACAAAGTCTCCGACAAATTGCTGGCAATCATTCTGGCGCAGAATGTATGGCTTGTGGTGGTAATCGAGATCTTCAAGAAGATCAACCACTTCGCGGCCACTCAAGGAGGTACGAGGCAGCCCGCGCAACCAATACAACATGCACGACGAGGTCAATCTGCGTGTGCCAGTCGTGTAAGTGCTGTAGTAGGGGGCATATACTTCTTGGATTTTCAGTCCATCCGTGTCAAAGTCCAGTTGCCACGTACGGCTATCCTCTTTACAACGAAGCACGACATGGAAATGGTTAAAGGACCACCGAAGCTTGCCGCAATCGCGCATTTTCGCCAAGTCATTGATTTTCGCAAGAGTGCTAAACGCAAGTGTTGCCGCCCCATCTGTGACCTTGAACAAGTAATGCACTGGCTTTACGGCCGTGACCCCAAGCCAAGCAACGTTTCCCACGAAAGGAACATCACGCAGGCCATCTGCACCTTCAGCAAGTCCTCTCCAAACCATGCCTGAGGCGTTGCTCGAGGTCGGGAGTATCTCTGCCAGTGGTGTGCTGCAGATGTCCTGGATAACGAAGCTCTCGTTGCTCATATCGGCTATCTTGTCAAGGACAGCTTGGCCCCGAGGGGGGTTGTGCCCAGAAATCATCTTGTCGATGCTCTTGCCCACACCCTCTGTCCATGCAGCCGCCTTCGACGCTGCTACCAAACATTCCACGGGCTCCATGGCAACAAGTTCTCGCACAGCGTGGAGACATCTGGGATCAGCAGGTGCTAGAAAAGGGAAATCGACAGCAACAGAACATTCACATTCACATGCGCAATCGATAAACAAGATCATAGTCATTTGCGTTTCGCTGGGACTTCCGGGCTGTGGCTTAAGTAGCTTCATGCATGTCCACAAAAACCCAGGTCCTCAGACGCATCCGTCGCGTTGTTGGACTCGTCGTAGGCGCTGTCACGACTGCATCCTCCCTCTTACCCACCTCAGCCCCTGCCGAGTCATGACCCTTTGCCGAGTTCGGAATACACGATCTTTCTAATACTTGGGCTGCCCAGGGTGGTGGCTTGATTTTGAGAATGGTCGGAGTCTGAGGTTTGAGGTTGGAGGTGTGGGATTGGCGCTGAGATCTTAAGATAGATCTTTATCCTAGGGTTCGGGGTGGGGGTGGGTGGTGCCATACACCTAAATAGGCAAGGTATCATCTAACTAATTTAGGGATTGGGGTTTAGAGGGTCAATTGGGCGCTTTAGGGCACTTAGATGCCCAACGAGCTTGTTTTCTTGGAAGTCCCATACTCTTCGCTCCCATACTTTTCGCCGATCGTGTCGCAGCAAGTGTTCACGCAGCCTGAGCGGCCTAAACCCTACACCCTGAAGCGTTGGGTTTAGGGTAGAACGAAGTGGAAAGAGCCAAGTGTCACCCAAGCGGCTTGAAACCCGAACCCTAAACCCTAAACCCTAAACCCTAAACCCTAAACCCTAAACCCTAAACCCTAAACCCTAAACCCTAAACCCTAAACCCTAAACCCTAAACCCTAAACCCTAAACCCTAAACCCTAGCCCTAAACCCTAAACCCCACTTACTGTCGGAGCCTAGGGGCCGGTGGCACCGGCCGTGGAGGCAAGGGCGCCGAGGGGCTGGTGGCCTCCTCTTCCCTGTGCACCTGGGAATCCTGAGAATTGGGCTAAAGGATAGGGTTTAGGGTTTAGGGTTTAGGGTTTAGGGTTTAGGGTTTAGGGTTTAGGGTTTAGGGTTCAGGGTTTAGGGTTTAGGGTTTAGGGTTTAGGGTTTAGGGTCTAGGGTTTGGGGTTAAGGGTTTGGGTTCTATCTGTGGGTTCGGGTTTCGAGGGGTTTTGGGGGACAGTAGCCTTCGAGGTGCTAAACCCCAAAACGCCTCGATCTGCCCTATGCTTCTAGGGAGGGAGGTTCATGGGGGTAGGGTACCTAGGGAACCTTCTCGGGAAGCTTAGGGGGCCTGAAAGGGTAGTAGCCCTAAACCCTAAACCCTAAACCCTAAACCCTAAACCCTAAACCCTAAACCCTACACCCTAAACCCTAAACCCTAAACCCTAACCCCCCCCCCCCCTTGAGCCCTTTTAAGAACCCCTATAATATGCAATCAACTCCGGCTGCCTTCTCCTGCACTGCTATGGCCTCCACCTCGGTCGGCTGGCTGAGGGTTCTTTAGAGTTTAAGGGTTGTGAGGTTCATGGCAGTTAGGGTTTAGGGTTTAGGGTTATAAGTACTCCCCCCCCAAACAGGATGATTTCGGGATAGAACTGCAGTTGCCTTCTCTCTATAAAGCAAGCTACGACGACCCATGAGCCTCCAAGTAGGTTCCGTTGCCCAATTGGTTGGTCGAAAATGGGGTTTAGGGTTTAGGGTGACAGGGTGACAGGGTGTCTCTCTCAAACATAGGGCCCCTTGCGGGGGCCCGTGATGCAGGTGCTGCAGTATGTAGGGCCCAATGTCGAGAACTACCCATGAAAAGGGCTTCTAGGGATTTCGCGCAGGGTTGAGGATTGATTTTGAGAAGCTTGGCCATTTGGGATGGTGTATGGGATCCAAAGGCTTTCTTTACAGGATGCATCCGAAGAAGTCAAGATCAGGATACTCCCTCTGGGGTGTCGGGACACCCTGACACAAGCACGGATCAACAAAGGAACTGTGAACTACAAGAACTTGTCGAAGGCTGAGGCTGAGTGTAGCAGTAGCAGCAACAGACTAACCCTAAACCCTTCTGGTTGTCACAGAGGCACAAGCAGCTTCCGGCGTTGCCGGGCAACGATGACAGGCAGCAAGCGCCAGTCGAAGGCTATGCCGCCCACGCTCGCCACTACGAGAAGGGAGATGCCAGTCGCGATCAGCACACCGATCCCGAAACCCTTCACAGATCTGGAGCAGTGGTTGGGATTCCATGGGGGAAGCTCGCACTCCACCCTTGTGGAGGAGACATCCACCGACACGTTGCTTGCAGCGCTTCGGTTGAGAGCCTTGGCAGCCCAGCACACAAGGGCCAGAGGGTATCACTGGGCTACAAAAGTGCTACAAAGTAGCCCGAAACCCTCAACGGCCACCAAGTAGCCCTAAACCCTAAACCCTTAAAAACTGAAACCCTAAACCCAAGCCCCAAAATGGGTACCGCTGGGCTACCAAGGAGCATAGTATGAGACGGCAGTTTGGCACTCTCGACAGAGCTGCATGGCTGCGTTGCCTCGGTCTCAGTCTCAAAAGAAGGGGCGGGGGGGGGGGGGGGGGGGGGGGGGGGGGATTGTAATGATGAACGACATGTTTTCGTATGTGTACGACATACCGTACCGTAATATGTTATCACCAAACATGAACTTAATCTCATCTAATCTAGACTAACCACATTAAGGAGGGCTTTGCCTGAAATCCAAGAGACACTCCTTCTCGATGGCCCAGCGCCACCGCAGCCTCCGCCGTCGAGCAGTCGATCCCAGACATCTTGCGCTCGGCAGCATGGGTAACCTTTCAAATGGTAGCCCCCTAGTCGTCGTCGTAGTAGTAGTACTAATACTGCTACTGCTGCTACTACTGCTGCTGCTGCTACTACTGCTACTACTGCTCCTACTACTACTACTACTCCTATACTACTACTACTACTACTACTAAACTACTACTACTACTACTACTACTGCTACGGAACCGGTGAGCAAGGTTTCGAGTTGTATGAAGGAACCTTACCCCCCCCCCCCCCCCTTCACAACACGGCAAGTCCACCCGGCTCCTAGCCGGGCTGGAGAAACCCTCGACTCCCAGTATTTTTATGGAACCCACCCCTGAAGTTGTTTTAGGGTTTAGGGTTTAGAGGTTCTCTTAACTTGCCAAAGGGGAGCTTGGTGCCAGGGGCTCTCTATTCAGGGGTTCAAAGGGGACAAACGGGTCAAAACATTACTCCTATCTGCTGACGCCCAACACCCTACCTTAAACCCTAAACCCTAAAGGGCAAGCTATAAACCCCAAACCCCGTAGGCCCCTACCAAAAACAGGCGCCAGTGACGACGGGGTCGTTGAGCTCCTCGGCCTCAGTCTGTGTCAGTGTGTGTGTGTGTGAGTGACCCGAATGATGGCCCCACAGCCCACCCCTCCTCGCAAAAAGAGGGTTGAGGGTTTAGGGTGCTTCGTTCTCTCTCTCACTATCTATCTCTCTCTCTCTCTCTCGCTCTCTCCCCTCTCTCTCTCTCTCTCTCTCTCTCCCTCCCTCCCTCCCCATCTCTCCAGGACTGATGGCAGAGCCCCCCTGGAAACTAGAAAGTTCCTACGGTGGGGCTTGGGATTGATTTCGGTTTAAGTTAGGAAGCTTAGTGTTTAGGGTTTTAGGGCTTAGGGTTCGACATCGGTTTAAGTTGAACGGCTCAGGGTTTAGGGTTTAGGGTTTAGGGCCAGGGTTTAGGGTTAGGAAGCTGGGTCGGTGTAATTAAGTTGAAGGGAGCTGGGCTCAGGGTTAGGAACTTGGGTTTGACTTGGGGCTTATGGCATAGTTACCCTAAACCCTAAACCCTAAACCCTAAACCCTAAACCCTAAACCCTAAACCCTAAACCGGTTAGGGATTGAGCATTGTCGACTCTCACTCTCGCACAAGGCAGGCAAGGCGTCGATCCGAGGCAGCCCGCACTACCTACTTTTCTTCGGGTTTCAGCTGGGAGTTTGGGGCGTAGGGTTTGGGGTTTAGGGTTTGTGGTTTAGGGCTTAGGGCTTGGGGTTTAGGGGTTTGGGGTTTAGGGGTTGAGAGTCTCAACACAGCCCCAAGTGGCGAAGGAGCAGTTCAGGGCCCCGTGAGCCGCGCAGACGGCTGCCGCGGTGGCCAGGGCTCTCAGTTTCGAGGGCCCCATGTGGCGGTGCCGGGAAAGAAGGCCTCCCCTCCAAGATTCAGGGTTGAGGGCTAAAAGGGTTAGGGGGTGAGGGGGGGGGGGGGTTCTGAATCCTAAGGACTTGGTGCTTCTAGTGCTGATCGGTTTTTTTGGTGGAAGTTTGTCGTAAGCCCTTCTTCGAACCAACTCCCTAAAGCTCGAATTATTCCCTCGTGGGCTTGAGTGGGGTTGCAAGGGGTTTTGGGGCTTTGGGGTTTCGCATTTTGGGTCTGCGGCTTTAAGGCTTAGGGTCTCAGGGGGCTTTTGGGGTTTAGGGTTTAGGGTTTAGGGTTACCGGCTTAGGACGCTCAGGCATGCGCCACTCTGAGCCAACTGCGGGGGCCGCTAGGGTTTAGGGTTTAGGGTTTAGGGTTTAGGGTTTAGGGTTTAGGGTTTAGGGTTTAGGGTTAAGGGTTAAGGGTTTAGGGTTTAGGGTTTAGGGTTTAGGGTTTAGGGTTTAGGGTTTAGGGTTTAGGGTTTAGGGTTTAGGGTTTAGGGTTTAGGGTTTAGGGTTTAGGGACCGGGACCACCCTAAGATTGTTAACACCTCGACACTCCAACGCCACTTGCCGTTTGCCTTCTGGTGCATCTCATTTTTCAGGGCGTTTGGTGACAAGCCAACTTGCTCAAACAACAGCCAATGAATAAACAAATATTGAGAACGCAATTATTCTTCCTACTAAGTCCTACTACATAAGCAAACTCAAAAGGTTTATCAAAGCTCAACATTTGGCTACCAAGTCACTCAGAGACAAACCACAACACTGAATGCTAAGACATGAACTGCACTCTAGGCAGGGGGCTGAGTCTTGGGGATCAAGTCTGCGCACGTCTAACTCAAACTCAGATGGCGGAGAGACTGCAGTGCACAGGAGTACCCTCAGGAGTAGATGTTTTCCTTCATGTCAGGGTCCCGATAACAGGGTATAGTCCTAAATCAAGTGGAAGTATGAAGCTCTCTGCGAAACTCATCACAACGACCCCGATCATCCCCTATGTCGTCTTATGACGTTAATACGCCAATTTGGGGGTACTTTGCTCCCTGCGACTTTTGCGGAGTGTCGCCCTAGATCCCTAATCGTTCCTCTGGCTTTCATGGAGCTCCAGGCGCAGATGAAGCAACAGTGGTTCAAGGTTTTGGGCTTCTAGGTACCTAGCATGTTTCACTTCTCTGCGCATGCTGGAAAGATATTTCGGCGATATGACAGAATTTGGATGACGGGAGCAAAGCAAAGTCAGCGACATGAAGGAGTCAGGTACAGCGTGGCATATCCCCAGGCCGCACACGTCCTGTAGGTGTGGTGGAGGCCTTGATACTTGGCCGCATCCTGGCAGGACGGGCGCCCGAAAACGGCGCTTGTCTTTTGGGCGCAACATGGCCATGTCGTCTGCGGATGTTCTCAACAACCAACCAAGCCCTGAACATCCGAAATCCTAAGCCCGAAATCCTACAACCATCCTAATCACGGAATGAGGGTGCCCTGACACACCCCTAGGCAACACAATGGGCGAACGTCCCCTAAACCATGAACCCCCCTTAACCTAGCCGAGCATCCTAATCATGCCGACACGAAACATCTTCAAAGCCTCGAACTGGAATGCCAAATCACCTCTTAAAATGAACGAGCGCCCTCAGAAACTCCTACTAACATTAAAAACCTACAAGCCCGAGGCTCGAAACTCTATACTCTATAAGCCCTAGGCCCTAAACCCTTATGCCCTACACCCTAAACCCTAAACCCTAAACCCTAAACCCTAAACCCTAAACCCTAAACCCCGAGAGCCTCGGGACCGGAGCCTTCCACCCGCCGCTCTTCGGCCAGGACGTCGTCATCCTTGCGACGCTCGTCGAAGGCCTTCTCTTGGTTTGGGGTTTAGGGTTTGGGGTTTAGGGTTTAGGGTTTAGGGTTAAGGGTTAAGGGTTAAGGGTTTAGGGTTTAGGGTTTAGGGTTTAGGGTTTAGGGGGCGATGGAGAGGGAGAGGGGGAGAAGGGGAAGGGGAGGAAGGGGGGGAGAAGGGGAGAAGGGGAAGGGGAGGGGGAGAGAGGGAGAGAGGAAGAGAGGGAGAGGGAGGAGGGTTGGGGACTTTAGGATTTGGGGTTTAGAGTTTAGGGGTGAAGGGCCTTGACTTTTTGGAGTTTTAGGGGTTTAGGGATTTTTGGGCTTTTTAGGGTTTTCGGGGGTTTTAACCCTAAACCCTAAACCCTCATATTTTTTAGGCTTTAGGGAATCGCACGCAGGGTCTACGACATGACATGCTTTCGAAAAATGCTGGGAGCTCAGGGTCTTTGGGGGGGGGGGGGGGGGTTGGGGTTGAGGGCCTTGGAGGCGTAGGGTTTAGGGTTTAGGGTTTAGGGTTTAGGGTTTAGGGTTTAGGGTTTAGGGTTTAGGGTTTAGGGTACCGCTGTTCTGATTCATGGTTGGGACAGTATTAACAAGTCAGTTGTTATTCCTTATTGGGTTTAAGTACCCTTAAACACGTAAAATGTTACCCCAATTATGACAAAGGGTTTGCTTCAGAGCCTCGAAAGAAAAAAACCCTACATTACCCTTCAAAAGGAGTAATATTTCTATTTTTCCGGGGGTTCTTAAGCAAGTAGTAGTTAAGGGCGATTAGGGAGACTTTTCAGGGCTGAGGAGTTTGGGGGTTTGCAGGGTTAGGGTTTAGGGTTTAGGGTTTAGGGATTGAGGAGATTGGGGGTCTGTGGCGTTTCAAGGGCCCAACACCTACCATATGTAGGCTGCAAAAAAATGCCCTTTTTCAAAACGGTACACAAAAAGGTTTTGGGTTCTTCAGGTAAACCCCAAAACGCTCCCTCACTGGCCTGGATCCGCCCCGGGCGTGCCGTGTAGCTGCGCAAGTCCTGTCAGCTGTGGCCATGCCGCCCTTTGTGCACTGGGGGTTCAGGAAGGTACTTCTCTTCGGCAGACCAAACCGGTCACATACATACGTGCGCGCGTGTCGTGTGGTACGGATGATTTTTACCTATCATTTTTCTGGTTTTGCATTTTTCATCAAAAGAAGAAAAAACAGTCGCGACCGCGCTTGAAACTAGTCGTTTGTCGCCGCGACCATTGAGCAGCGACAGGTAAAGATCAAGCCCTTTATAAGAATAAGGACCCAATATGGGTTTCGGAAACTCGCATGTTAGCTCTGTTCAGCGAGTCCCTTCATCACGAGTTGCTGTGTCCAAGTGCGCACCTTTTAGCAATGAAGTGGGGTGCTGTTCCTATTTCCCCGGTGCACCTGCTGCGCGAATTCGCACTTTCAATAGTTTCTATACCGTGTAGGGCTTACCTTCCACAAACAAGGGCCACCCCATCCAATCAAGAGCAGAAAGCCCACCTACACATCAAACAGCAGACGCCCAGCTTGCAAAGGTCCAATGGCGAATGCTCTGGAAGTCTTGTCCTGAACAACTAAACCCTAAACCCTAAACCCTAAACCCTGATAAACCGCAGAAAACTAAACCGCACTCGCACCCCCCACCCCTTCTTCCCCACACGCGCACCCCGGCCCAAAAGTCCTGGAACACCAGGTTGCTGGCAAAGAAGGCAATGACCCTGGGACGGCATCGGATGTGCCAAGTTGTCGGCTTTGCTGTGCCGTGACATGACACTCGGAGTCTACGATGTTTTGCCCCCCCCCCCCCCCCAAAAAAAAAAAAAAAAAAACGCAACTCAAAACTCCCTAAACCCTTTTCCTTAAAACCCTAAACCCTATAAGGCTCTGAGGGCAGTGGGGCGCAACAAACGCGCTGGCTGGGGCGCGTGCGCCAGCGAACCGTAGAATGGGATGGCCTGACAAGTGGCTTCACTCAAGTAAGACTAACCTACAGCTGTAAGTTGCCTTATACGAGCAGTCCTGAACAGGGATGATAATCGAGGTACTATGAGCCCTGTTAAGGACTGTGAGTATACGGAGGAGCATCCCAAGTTAGAAGTATATTTCTCGTTATCGTTACAGGTAGGGGAGTCGGTTTTCGGTGTTTCGAACTCAACCTCCCCTGAAGGGAGAACCAAATAAATGATTAGAGTATAGCACTCCAAAACCAACTGGCTGTTAGGGATGGGAGTGTCAGGGACTCTCACGGAACCTCCCTTTGAGGGCTTCGGCTCTCAACGCTCGCACACCTTTTAGGGTTGAGGGTTACAGGTGCTGTGCCGGGTTTTCTTCGCTCCCGCCTAGCTGACCGAACCGCAGGCAGGCTTTGATGGTATTGTTCTAAGAAGGAAAAGAAGAACTTGGTCCAGCAGCCCTCTCTCAGCAATCTAGACCCAAGAGTAGCCTAGGAATAAAAAGGTTGCCCTTTTTGGCTTCAAGAGCTGATAAGGGAACCTAAACCCTAAAAAAAAGAGTAAGGGCCTACTCTGGGTCCTAGAGAAAGTCCACCGGAGGCTGCGTCCTCTGAGGTAGACACTGTCCGATGTGACAAAGTGACTGCACATGTCAGTGACACAATGCAGATGTCACAAGCGACCCCTTCCCCTAAGCAGAACCCTCCCTACATGCACCAAAGCTGGGGGGTCTCGTATACAGATTCCCCCGCTAGCCCCAAACCCTGAAACAAAAACACCGCGCCGCAGTGGACATGAAGTGGTCCACGAGCGACATCTCTCCTTCGTCGGCCCTCGGGCGCGCAGGAATCTTAGGGTTATAGGGCTTCGGGCTTCGCCAGAGATTAGAATGAGCGTCAAGCCCAAACGTAGAATTGCAGTCCTTTCTAAGGTGGGACCGAGTTGGCTATTGCAGACGGAAATGCAATGTTAGGGTTAGGGCTGAGGGAGCCCCACGACGTCACAACCCAAGTCCTGCACAACCCGGATCCTCTTCGAGGTTTGCCACTTGTAAGCCCTCTGAAAAATATTCTCAGATACGTTCCTCCTAAACGCAACAACAAAAACTCCTAAACTGTCGCTAACGCGAGCCAGAGGCGCTCTGAGTTCTTCTTCTCCATCTTCTAAACCCAAGCCCAAACCCCAAAGAAATTTAACGACAAAACCCCTAAAACCCTAAATCCCAAAGATCCTAAGCCAGTGCTCAGGCGCCAGCATCATAATTACCACCCCGGGCAGGCCGTAGACCTCAGAGCGCAGCTCCTCTCCGCGCCCAGCATAAGCCCAAAGAAAAAAACCGAGGATTTTCATCCCTGTATTGCCCTTCCAAGGAAGAACATTGTCTATGTTGGGAGGGTGGTTCTTAAGCAAGTAGTAGTAGAAGTGGAGTTGAGTGATAAGAGCCCCAACTTGGGTTGCAAGCATAACAGCTTAGGCTTTGGGTCCGTTGGCTATGATTAGATGTAATGTCCCTGAACTATATAGCTCACTCTTCTGGGAAGGGGACCCCCTGCATCATCATCATCATCTCTCTCTCTCTCTCTCTCTCTCTCTGTATATATAGACACCCCACCCCCATAAAACGCTTCCCAGAAAGCCCGGTGTCAACCCATCTCAGGCCGCCGCTGGATTGATCACTGACATGACCTGGGTCTGGGGTTGGCAGAGCGGAGAATCAAGTTAAGCAGAGCGGAGGGGTCAGTAGCTTTCACAAGCGCCCACAAAAGGTAGGGTTTAGGGTTTAGGGTTTAGGGTTTAGGGTTTAGGGTTTAGGGTTACCTATTTGAAGGATTATTATTACCCCAATTTAAAACCCCCCTCCCCCTCCCGTCCTCTCCCCGCTCCCGCAACCCGAAACCCTGGACAGCTTAGTTCAGGTTGAATTGGGTCTTACCCAAACACCTGGGACGAGCTGGAACCCCCCAATTTAGTTTCCTGCACTACTGCTCGGCTGCTGTTGAAAGGGAACCCTGAAGGGATCTAGTCTCCCCAGCAATCCTGCCAGAATTCGGGCCTAAGTCCTAAGCCCTATACCCTCAACTCCCTCAACCTCACAGAATTCTAGGTAGTTAGCCGGCAGCCAAATTTGTGGTACTCGCCCCGGCGAGTTCAGGATGGCTTCTGTATAAATTTTCCTGGAAACTCGACACCCTTGCAATCTAAGGTTCCGGGTACTGTATGGCGGCCTTACTGCGGGTCCCTTGGTCTTCGGATCCCTTTAAACACGGGTAATCATAAGGGACCACACTAAGGGCCCATGGTGCAAGCACTAGGGTTTAGGGTTTAGGGTTACGCCCACACACAAACCCGCGCAACTCCTCTCAAGGTTTTGGGTTGTGCGTGGCGTTGCAACCCAGCCGCGATGTGGAGGTTTTTGGCCACGTCCGGCCAGGGGTCTTGCAGCCGGATGAGGAGGTAAACCGCCGTCCTCAGCTCCCCAACACGCCAACTGCAATCTGAGTTTATGCGAAGCTCCTATTGTGGCTCAGAGGGTCCGATCGACTACGAATTGCTTAAGAACCCACCCCCCCCCCCCCCCAAAAAAAAAAAAAGAAAAAGAGATATATTCTTCCTTGCAAGGGTAATATAGGGAATATTATTTTGGGAGAGTGCTCAAGCAAATAGTAGTCGATGTAGACATAAGACATGCATTCGTAGCCCTAGGCCCTCAGACTCGTAACACCACTAGAACGGAGGAAGAGAAAAAAGGTGCTAAGAGCTACTCCTGTCCGTCCACTTTAAGAACCCAATGGACCACAGCAGAGCCTGGGAGGATCCAAAAAGTAGATCCCCTTAAGGGTTCCTAAGAATGACCCAGAAGTAGTACAGGGCAGTATTTGGGTTCCTAAGAATGACCCAGAAGTAGTACAGTGCAGAGTACTATTTGGGGCTTCTGCTTTTTGGATCCTCCCAGGGATCTGGGTTGTAGGCTTCCTGACAACCTCTTGAGGGCCTCACGACCATAACCCACAAGATCATAAGGGAGGTTTCTTGAAGGCAGCTGCTGTGTGTCGTAAAGCTCTGCAAAGTTCAAGCAAGTCAGGCTCTTCGGGGTCAACCGGCCCCTTCAAGAGTGATTACGTTCCAGGTCGCAAGGTTTTGGGGATCCTTTAACCCTCAACCCTAAACCCTGGGGCCCGTGCGTAGGAATCGTGCCCAGAAGCATGTTGGTTAAAGGAAGCACCTCCAGGCGAACATAGCTTTCAGGCTGCAGGGGCTGCTAGGGTTTAGGGTTTAGGGTTTAGGGTTTAGGGTTTAGGGTTTAGGGTTTAGGGTTTAGGGTTTAGGGTTTAGGGTTTAGGGTGTAGGGTGTAGGGTTTAGGGTTTAGGGTTTAGGGTTTGGGGTTTAGGGTGCTAAGGGTTCGGAGTTTGAGGCTTAGGGGCCCCTTGGAATGACCCAATAGTAGTATAGGGTGCTAGACCAAAGAGAAAGGTGGGTTTTCAGGGGCCCTTCAGAGAACCCAACCCCCTGGGACCTGCTCTGGGTGCCAGGGTACTGTTTGGGAAGTTCTACTTTGTTTGGATTTTCCCACCTAAACCCTTTTGAGGCACGGGCGCAAAACCGCCAAACCCTGAACCTTTGCATGAAAAGCCAGAGCGGGGCTCAGCCTTGACGGCCAGCTCGACCCTGACAAAGAGCCTGCAGCAAGGAGTTGGGACTTGCTAGAGGGCCTGCAGGATAAACACAGGGTTTGCGGAGTGTAGTGCTGGGCTTAGTCCCTAAACCCTAAACCCTAAACCCTAAACCCTAAACCCTAAACCCTAAACCCTAAACCCTAAACCCTAACCCTAAACCCTAAACCCTAAACCGGGCTTAGTAGGGTCACTTAGGGTTGATAGCTGTCAAGTGAAACAATGAGAATACAGAAAACTCACGCTGTGACCTTCTTATCTTCTCTGTAATTATATTTGTGGTGTTCACCCGTAAGAAAGAGTAAGCGAATTGCATGAGCGAAAGAAGGATCCAAGGCCTTATAAATAGTACTTATACTTATAAATTGGGGGGGGGGGGGGGAGGGAGGGGGGAGTATGCCAAGACGGGCTTTTCTTACAAGAATTGTGATTGTAAATGAGCTTATGACATCACCCTTGGAAATGAAGCCAATTTAGTAGAGGTGTCTTGGGGTTGTTCTTCTCACTTCTTTCCCCGTGTTGCTTCTGCAGACCCAAAAAGGGTCCTAAGTACCTACATAATACAAAGTAGGGTTTCTAGAATAGGAAATATCATTATGGTATGGGCAAGTGTCTCCCATATAGGTACTTAGGACCCTTTGAGAGAGAGCAATGATCCCCAACGCACATGGCAGTGGAAAGCGGGGTTCAAGGCCATGCGGAGCCAATGCGACACCTCCTCACACCCAAGGGTACCAAAGAACTACGAGCACACAGGGTTTATAGGGTTTAGGGTTTGGGGTTTAGGGTTAGCCTCTTTCTTGATTCCCATTGGGACTTGGCAAACCGGCTTCAGCCCTACCCCGGACTCTCTCTCCAATTTCAGCTTCGTGCTTTATACCTACTACTAATTTATGGGGTAGTCGCAACTAAACTGTAGGCAAATCGAGTCCCAGGCAAGCCTCAAACTCCAAAAGCCCTAAACCCTAAACCCTCATTTCCGTAGTTGGCTGGGTGGCAGGGAGAGGTTGTAGGCGAGGAGGAGCAGCCCGATTGGGTAGAGCAGCGCCTTGCCGGAGTGATAGAGGTTTGGGGTTTGGGGTTTAGGGTTTAGGGTTTGGGGTTTGGGGTTTAGGGTTCAGGGTTTAGGTTGGTGCTTCGCAACGTGTCTAGCTACATGTGCACCCGCGTGAGGTTTCGGGGCTCTCGGGCATACGAAACATCAAGCCTCTGACCCTCATCTTGTTCATCCCTGAACCCTAAACCCTACAAGACTTGGAGGCGTATGGAACTTCTCCGTTGGGCCATGGGTTGCTTCGCTCACCGGTTGAGGGTTTATCCTAAACCCCAGTTTCCGCCTCCAAACCCTTGCAGTGCATCCTCAACAAGGAGTGTGAAGGCCCCCCCCCGATAAGCCCCCATAAGCCCCGAAGAAGGGTTTAGGGTTTAGGGTTTAGGGTTTAGGGTTTAGGGTTTAGGGTTTGGGGTTTGGGGTTTGGGGTTTAGGGTTTAGGGTTTGGGGTTTGGGGTTTAGGGTTTGGGGTTTGGGGTTTAGGGTTTGGGGCCTCAAAGCCCCTGTAAAAGCATAAGGCCCTTTGCGCCGACAACGATCGCACACACTCCATTCGCCTCCGCAACGATGAGGGGGAAGCCGCTGCCTTTGATGGGGCCGACGCCCTTCCACTGGATGGCCTTCGGAATGATGCAGAAAGAGAAGGTTTAGTTTAGGGTTGAAGGTTTAGGGTTTAGGGTTTATGGCAGATAGGGTTTAGGTTTTTTTTGGGGTTTGCGGTTTGGGGTTTGGGGCATCGTAAGGGCTCAGGGTTTAAAATTTGGGAGGTGCCCGAAGTCTTTCCAGAGCACAGGTGGTTGGGTGTCTTTTTGTATGCCTCGGCAAGGGTTTAGGGTTTAGGGTTTAGGGTTTAGGGTTTCAGTTTTAGGGTTTAGGGTTTAGATTCTCAGCCCCTTTCTAATTTATGCCCTTATAAACCCGTGCAACTGGGCTTGGGGGGGGGGCAAGCCAGATCTGAGCTCTCGATCATCATGACTGCCCTTATAAACCCTTAACCCGCTCTCAATCATCATGACTGCCGTTGTAATCCCTAAATCCTTTTAAACCCTAAACCCTACACCCTTAGACAGTATCTAGTTCATGGTTGGGATAATATAATGAAAATGAAACTTTTGATTCCTTGTAGGGTTTAAAGTACCCTTAAAGATGTAATATGGTACCCAACTATGACAAAGGTAAGGATCCCTGTCTCGGAAGCCCGGTCTTGTGCGCAGGCAAGCAGCAATGAGGAGGATCACCGCGTTCGTCACATTGATCTCGGGATTCACAGTTCATGGGTTCCCCTACTGCTCCCCTCTATACTACCCCCTAGGTTCCCCCCAGAGTTAAGGGCTATTTAGAGGAAACTATGCCTGATTGAAGTTATTAAAGGGGGGAACAAAAGGGGGGGAGGGGGGTAGTATAGAGGGGGCCGTGGTAGTAGTAGTAGTAGTAGTAGTAGTAGTAGTAGTAGTAGTAGTAGTAGTAGTAGTAGTAGTAGTAGTAGTAGTAGTAGTAGTAGTAGGAGTAGTAGTAGTAGTAGTAGTAGTAGTAGTAGTAGTAGTAGTAGTAGCAGGAGTAGTAGTAGTAGTAGTAGTAGTAGTAGTAGTAGTAGTAGTAGTAGTAGTAGTAGTAGTAGTAGTAGTAGTAGTAGTAGTAGTAGTAGTAGTAGTAGTAGATGAGCAATGGGGTCCAAAAGCGCGTTGTCTTCACAAAAGGGCGGAGGCAGTTCTGCAAGAAAAGTACGCATGCACTTTGGGATCTTCCCCTTTATACTAACAGTCCTTAATAGGGATTTTCGTGCCCCCTAGGGACTGTTAGTATGAGGGGGAACATCCCAGCACATAATGTGTATAGAAGTACCCGAAGGGCCACTAAGCTGCGAGTAATTAGGTTGGGCCAGAGGAGAGTGCGGCCTGGATTCAGACTTGGCGCCCTGCAGAGCAAGCTAGAAGTGCAGGATGCCCTAAACCCTAAACCCTGAACCCTAAACCCTAAACCCTAAACCCTAAACCCTAAACCCTGCACCGAGCCCCGAGCCAAGTAGTGGGCCTGAGGGAGCGTCGCGGCTTAAGGTGGTGCGGTGCTCTGGGTACGTTTGGGTCTGCGGCGCTTCTCCTGAAAGGGGTTCAGGGTTTAGGGTTTAGGGTTTGGGGTTTAGGGTTTAGGGGTTGGGGATTAGGGTTTATAGTAGTCTAGACCCAAGAGTATCCTAGAAATGAAGATGGGTGCCCGTTTGGGCTTCCAGAGGCTTCTTAGTAAGGGAACCTAAACCCTAACAAAAGGGAATAAGGGCCTACTCTGACTCCTACTATTCTAATTCTACTCTAAGCCCGAAACCCTAAACCCTAAACCCTAAACCCTAAACCCTAAACCCTAAACCCTAAACCCTAGCAAACTTCCCCTGGTGCCCCTAAATCAACTCGAAGGCTCGCGCCCTCTGCGATGCCATAATGGCAGGGACTCCAAAAACACTCAAGCCTGGAACTCTTCCGAACTTGTGAACCGAGTCGTAAGTTTAGGGTAAGGGCTTTGGGCTTTTTGGGTTTAGGGCAGTTTAGGGTTAGGGTTTAGGGTTTAGGGTTTAGGGTTTAGGGTTTAGGGTATAGGGTATAGTGTATAGGGTTTAGGGTTCAGGGTTTAGGGTGTAGCCGAGACCCCAGGTCCCAAACACATTTCTCTCCTCCCCTCTGAGGCATTCTGAGCCCAGGGGCCGCGAAAGTGCCCAGCCAGAAGCTCCTTACGGAGAGGCCCTGGCTGGTTTAGGGTTTAGGGTTTAGGGTTTAGGGTTTAGGGTTTAGGGTTCAGGGTTTCGGGTTTAGGGTTTAGGGTTTAGGGTTTGGGGTGTAGGGCCGGATTCTCGAGGATTCTGGTAAAACCAAAGGAACCCTAACATTGGGGGGGGTCACCTATACCCATAGGCTACTAGAAACTCCTATGAATCCTATGAAGGTATATAAGCTTTCAGGGTTCAACTTTGGTCCCCAAGGATTTCAGGGTCGAAGGTGCCCAAACGAATATTTGCTCGCAAGGCTAGGGTTAGAGCATGTAAGGACTGCCCGATAAAAGGTGCAAACGCTCATTGTCTACTAGGGTCGCGGGCACTTAGGTCGTGCGAAAGCGACTTGCGGAAGATACATTCAGTACATGTGTGTGTGTGTAGACATATGTTGATGCCAGTGCTTCTAGGACAGTTACACCCTGATACCCGATGATCTGGTTGCGAACCCTACGTCGCGCTACGTTGATTGACTTCGAAGGCCAACGGCACCCCAATAGTAGGATCCTGATGTTTATGGGGTTTTTGGGGCCCCCAATAGTGTTTTTCAGCACACGGATGTCAACCTAAACGCCTCTACCTTCACCGCCTTGACCGCCAAACTTTACTACCTTACACCTGCCACAAGGAGGGGCCCCCTTACTGTACTAACTGTAGTTAAGGGACCCATAACCTAATTTAGGATCCTTATAACCCAACTTAGGGGTCCTCATAACTCTACTTATAACTAGGGGCCCCCTCCTTGCAGAGTCTTAAAGTTGATCCTGACCTGCGCAGGAGGGCTTAGGGTTCCAATGCAAAAAATCACCAAGTAGGAGCTGCGCAGCATCTTGGCTGAAAGAAGCCTGCGCGAGCGCGACGTACTTGCATTTGTGCTCCTGGAAATGACGAGGCTCCAAGGCTCTAAGGGTAGTTTCATGGTCCCTTAGTATGGGCCCTGCTGAGAAGGGGACCCCTTATATCTTGTAGACCCTACCAAAGGAGGAAATGGACCACATTACGGGCCCGTATAACTACCCTTGGAGAGGCGGCTTCTGCAAATAGGAGAGGGAAGTAGCATCAGGAGTCTGAAATATTGTGAATGTTGAATTCTGCTGAACTTCTCAGCGAACTCCCCTAATGGGGCACATCGTTCAAAGTTCGAAGGCTCTGGCAAGCAAGAGGTGCCGCTAGTCATGTAGGATAACCTCGGCAGCCCAGCACCCATATTGCAACAAGGGCACCCTTTGTTGGGCTGGTTACTTTATAAGGGAACCTTGAACCAAAAAAGGTCAAGGGTACCACTGGCCTACCAAGTAACTCATGTCAGGGAGTGGTGCCCTAAATCCAAAAAACCCGAAACCCTAAACCCGAAACCCTAAACTCTAAACCCTAAACCCTAAACCCTAAACTCATATCAAGCATTCCTTCCGCATTCAAAGGTGCCGGTCCATGTCACGGAAATCGTTGAACCCTCTGAGTCACAACCATGCCACCATGGACATTGGGCACTTACAGCACCCCCCCACCCCCCCTCCCGCACCACCACTCAGGCAGGGTTTGGGGTTGAGGGTTTACTAGGCTGCCCATTAACCTAGGCTTAAAAAGGGTGCCCTTTTTTGCTTAAAGGGGTTTATAAGAGAACCTAAACCCTCCAAAAAGGGAATAAGGGTACTACTGGGCATCCTAGTTTAGAACTTGGGGTTTAGGCAGGAACTAAACGTATCAAAAGCCCGGCAAATGCAGAACCCTGAGCCCAAAAACCCTACACCCTAAACCCTAAACCGCCCGGCATATGCTGAACCCTAAGCCCAAAAACCCTAAACCCTAAACCCTAAACCTTAAACCCTAAACCCTAAACCCTCAACCCTAAACCCTACCTATGCAACTTCACGGCTCCTTCTCACGCACAAGCTGCAAGGTGAACGCGATAATGGAGATGCCGAAAGCCATGGGCGGATAGATCGCCATCCTAAGTGCAGGTTTAGGGTTTGGGGTTTAGGGTTTAGGGTAAAGGGTTCAGGGTTTAGGATGGTTTAGGGTGAAGGGTTTAGGGTTTAGGGTTCTCATTCTCCAAGCACGACCGAAGAAAGCCGTGCATACTCTGAACCCAAGCCCGATCCGCTGAGAAGCGGCACGTTGCAGGATTTCAAGCCCCGTTTCCTAAACCCTGAACCCTAAACCCTAAGCCCTAAGTCCTAAACCCTAAGCCCTAAACCCTAAGCCCTTTTGCAGCGAGCCTCGTGCGCCAACCCTAAGCAACCCTAAACCCTAAACCCTAAACTCGGCAACGGACAGCATGTTGTTGGACTGGCTGGTCGGGGAGCTGGAGTCGCCTCACAGGAGGATTTTCGGGTTTCTAGGTTTTAATTGTGAGGGTCCAGGGCTTAGGGTCAAGGGGTTTAGGGTTTGGGGTTTGGGGTTTAGGGTTTAGGGTTTCCATGCTTCCAACATACGCCTGTCCCATGCTCTCCAGCCCAAGCTTGCGACCACGAAACGCCAATTGAGGGGCACTCCGACCTTGCCTCGTAGCGCAAACGCCAAGACGTTGAAGACGGCAGGTAGAATCAGCACCTGGATTCTTCCCAGGAATAGTGGTCCCCCCTCATGTGCCCCAACAGACTTTTGAGAAGACTTTTGAGGACCCTAAACCCTAAACCCTAAACCCTAACCCCCATAATTTTCGGAAAATCCCCCAGGCTTTCTCAGTGGAGAATAAGGGGCACTGGACCCCTCTCAGAGGCATGACCCGCAGCGGACTCAAACCCCACAACCAGGGGGTTTAGGATTTAGGGTTTAGGGGTTAGGGTTTAGGGTTCTAGCTCCTTGAAATTCTCCAGCACTTGTCATACAAGGAGGGTCCCCCTAGTTATAAATAGAGTCATAAGGACCCTAAATTGGGTTGTAAGGATGCTAAGTTAGGTTATAAGTCCCTTAACTACAGTTAGTACAGTAAGGGGGCCCCTCCTTGTGGGCCCTAAACTGAGCCCTAAACTCCTTTTTTGAGCAACGGACTGTGAGGCTGCCCAGCAAAACCCTGAACCCTGAACCCTAAAGCCTAAACCCTGAACCAACCCTGAACCCTAAACCCCTAAACCCTAACCCTAAACCCTAAACCCTAAACCCTAGACCCTAAACCCTGAACCCTAAACTCCCAACTACCATTCATGAAAGGAAGCCTTTCCTAAGCCTCCCTTGAAAGCGACGGCCGGGCGACGCTGTAGATCGCGCTGCGGTTGGCAGTCGCAAGCCGGAGCCTTGAGGGTTGAGGGTTTAGGGTTTAGGGTTAGGGGTTTAGGAGTTTAGGGTTTAGGGTTTAGGGTTTAGGGTTAGGGGTTTAGGGTTTAGGGTTTGGGTACTTAGCCCTCAGGTGGTGTAGGGTTTGCTGTGTTTAGGGTTTAGGGTTTGGGGTTTGGGGTTTAGGGTTTAGGGTACTCAGCCCTCAGGTGCTGTAGGGTTTGTTGGGTTTAGGGTTTAGGGTTTAGGGTTTGGGGTTGGGGTTTGGGGTTTGGGGTTTGGGGTTTAGGGTACTTAGCCCTCAGGCTGGTGCTGTCGGGTTTGTTGTGTTTAGGGTCTAGGGTTTAGGGTTTAGGGTTCAGGGTTCAGGGTTTAGGGTTTAGGGTTCGTACTCAGGTGCTTTGGGGCTTGAAGGGTTTAGGGTTTGAAAGGTTGAAGGGTTGAAGGGTTTTTCGGGTTTTAGGGTGCAGGGTTTGGGGCTCATACTCACGTACTCGAGGGCTTAAAGGGTTCAGGGGTTAGGGTTGTTTCAGGGTTTAGGGCTCACACACAGGCACTGTAGGGCTCATGAAGTTCAGGGTTTAGGGCTGAGGGCCAGTCACTTGGCGTGGTTGATGTCCTTTCTTGTTTGAACGTGCCTCTGGTTGACACGTCTGGGTCTTCGTAACATTATAGCAAGCCGGGTTTAGGGTTTAGGGTTCAGGGTCAAGGGGTTAAGGTTGCGAAGCCGAAAGCTTTGCCTTCCTGTACTCCGAATGTGGCCCTTAGACTACCTGTTCTTCAAAACAGGGATCCCCAAACCCAAAAGTGCCACCTTAAGCGTCCAAGGTAGGGTTTAGGGTTTAGGGTTTAGGGTTTAGGGTTTAGGGTTTAGGGTTTAGGGTTTAGGGTTTAGGGTTTAGGGTTTAGGGTTTAGGATCTTGGGCAAATGCTTTAAAGCTGCAAATTGAGGGTAGTCGATGTTGCGGGGGCGAGGTTAGGGTGCAGGGCTGGAGCGTTCAAGGGCCAGACGTACAAAAAACGACCTAAGCCACGCCGAAATCTACTGCAGATTTGGGTAGTGCTCTGGATTGATTAGATTTGGGTAGTGCTCTAGATTGATTAGGGTCCCTTGTTGGGGGCCCTAGATTGTACGGCACCTTGTCAAAAGGACCCCCCTCCCCCCCCCCCCCCCCCCCTAAACCCTAAACCCTAAACCCTAAACCCTAAACCCTAAACCCTATACCCCCCCCAAAAAGGGGAGAACCGGGGTTCCAACCTCACGCGCATGATGGCCAGGGCCGATCGCCTCTCCGATGTCTCCAGTCGAAGAGACCCTGCCTTGGTAAATGCTCAAGTTTTGGGCTAAGATTTAGGGTTTAGGGTCAGGGTTTAGGGTTTAGGGTTTAGGGTTTAGGGTATATAAGTTTAGGGTTTAGGGTGTGGGGTTTAGGGCTTAGGGTTAAGGATTTTCGGGGGGCGGGGGGGGTTAGGGGTTAGGGGTTTAGGGTTCACGGCTCACTGTGCCTACGAGCCTTCCCCTGTTTTGTTGACCCGTGGTATGGTCCCCCCCCCTCCACCAACCCCCTCCACCCTAAACCCTAAACCCTAAAACCCTGAACCCTAAAACCAACCCACCGCACCGGCATCATATAGGGTGTGTTTGGGGGGGAGATAGGGGATAGTTATGGGGGTCACTCCACTCCCCACCCAAAAACAGTGGACGCCTCCGTGTCCTCCGCGATCGCGCGGAAGTCCACGTTCTCTCTCGCTCCTGCGCCTGGGGAGTCGCACATGAACAAATCCCAAGCACTCGATCCGAAGCTCTCAATGCTGCTGCGGTTCAGGGCGTTGTGAGGTTTAGGGCTTACCTGGAACTCTATTTACCTACAGTTTAGTAGTAGCTAACCCTTGATTCGTAGGTACAACCCATAAAACTGTAGGAAAAGAGAGTCCCAGGTATGGCCACTGGCACTATCTCTCTTGTGTCGAGATCAGTGTCAAACCGTACCATGGCCAAAGTGGGCATGTGCTCCCTCAAACCCAAACGCTCAGACACCCTAGCTCCCTACGCTTTGCACCCTTTTATGCCCTCTTTCTGTGCTCCCAAGCCCGTGCCAAGCCCTCTTTTCCATTTGCCTGCCCTCTTTTCCCTGAACCCTAAACCCTAAACCCTAAATCCTAAACCCTAAACACCCAACAAGCGACAAGCCTGAATTGTGAACGCGAACCTTTAAGGTCTGCCGAAGGGTCCATGTACCTGAATAGGGGGTTTAGGGTTTAGGGTTTAGGGTTTGGGGTTTAGGGTTTAGGGTGGAATACTTGGGCCTTAAAGTCCTATATAGGGACTTTGGGCCCCAAGTATGTAACAAATAAGGTACATGGGCCCTCAGGGTCTAGGAGGCCTCTGGACAGTTCTCTGGCACCCCCAGGTTGCGTGCCGCACAAGGAAGCTGAGCAACTTCAACAGGGTTTAGTCACTTTAGTCGCTCACACTCACACAAGGCCGGCAAGGTTTAGGGTTTAGGGTTTAGCGTTTAGGGTTTAGGGTTTTTAGGGGGTTTAGGGGGTTTAGGGGGTTTAGGGGTTTAGGGGGTTTAGGGTCTTTAGGGTTTAGGGTTTAGGGTCTATAGTCTTTAGGGTTTTACGGCTCACTTGGGAATCACTTGGGTCCACTTGAGGTCGCTTTCGTCTACTTCCGAAGTTGATCTGCCCCCTGGGGAGGTTTGGAGACAACCGCTTGGTTTCCTAACGAACGCCCATGGACTCGAAGACTCCATTCACAAATACCTATAACCTACAAGGAGGGGCCCCCCTAGTTATAAGTAGAGTTAGAAGGACCCTAAGTTGGGTTAGAAGGATCCTAAATTAGGTTATAGGTCCCTGAGCTACAGTTAGTATAGTAAGGGGGCCCCTCCTTGTATGAAACAAGAAATCTAAGAGTTCAAGAACTTGTCTTGGCACCCGCATAGCTGGACGAACCACTCCGCAGGACGTCAGGATTTCAAGGGTTTTAGGGCTTGTAGGGTCTCCCTGGGACTCTCTTTGCCTGCAGTTTAATGGGTATGCCTACTAAATTAAGGGGAGGTTCCTAAGATTACTACTAAGCTGTAGGTAAATAGACTCCCAGCCTCATCCCAGAGAATATGTTCCTAAACCCTTTGTTATCCGGGCTATGATGTCCTGGCCGGAAAGTCTAAACCCTAAACCCCTAAACCCCTCAACCCCTGAACCCTAAACGCTGAACGCCGAAGTCGCTGAACATGAGCTCGTCTTAGGCAAGCGCGATCGCGGGCGGGCGAAGCCCCCACTGCTTGCCTTTCTGCCTGCCAAGATGCAAGCACAAGGAGCCAAGTGGTTTAGGGTTTTGGGTTTTGGGGGGATTAGGGTTTTTCCCTCCTGCACAGGGATAAATTAGGGTTTAGGGTTAGAGGTTTGGGGTTTTGGGTTTAAGCTATGACTGTTCGAGCCTCAAGCGTTCGCTAGTATGGTGCCCTTAACTATGGTTTTGGCATCTAGCGGACCGGATTACAGCCGTTGCCCTAGTTCTGCCAGACCAACCCACTTACTTGCACAATTCCATGAACCAGCTGGTTTGGGTTTAGGGTTTTCGTGTTTTACAGCTAACTCCCCTCCCCCTCTGCCCCTCCCCCCCTACCCTAAACCCTAAAACCCCAAACCCTAAACCCTAAAACCCCAAACCCTAAACCCTAAACCCTAAAGCTCCCAAACACCAAAGGGTCTCCAGGGCTTACCATAGCCCTGAACGGAAGGTTTACCAGGGACCCTCTTGCCGGGCAACACTGTAAACAAATAGAGACCCCAACCCTCAACCCTGAACCCTAAACCCCAAACTCCTAAACCCTAAACCCTAAATCCCAGGTAGGGCCCCAAGGCATCAGCGAAGCCTGCTCGCCCAAGGCCATGAAGACCTCCTCCAGGGTCGTCATGGAAATGCCTCGAGACGTGCATTTCCCCTTGGTTCTCATGTGCAGGCCCCTCCCTTAAGACAAAAACAGCTCTGCCGCAGGAGCCTGGGAGAACTCGTACTGCTACTGGTACTGTCAGACAGAGGTTTTCAGTAAAACCATCTCTCTCTGTGAAGATACTTCTGAGGGCTCTTATTGAACGCAGGACTAACAAACCATAAGCCCTAAACCCTAACCATAAACCCTAAACCCTAAAACTACATCCAAGCAGCTGTAGTTCGCTAGCCGCAAGGCCTGGCATCTCTCGGGAGCCATGGATGGGGGGGGGGGGGGGGGGGGCTGTACCTTCCCAGACCCCTTGAAGGATCCAAAGACATAGAACCCCCAACTATCCCCCAAATAGTGCCCTAAGACCCGGTTCCTCTTGGGTCTAGTACTCTCTTCTGCTATTGGGTCACTCTTATAGAAAAATCCTTAAAGGATCTACTTGTTGGATCTGGGTAAGAACACAAAATGCTTGTGTTTAGGCTCTTCCTACAACACAACCTCATAGAAATTCTAGGTAACCTACAACAAGAAAGTGCATTGGGGTTCTTAAGGGAATGTTTAAGGCAGATGGAAATTCTACGTTCTTATCGTCGACATTCAGGTTGACCAGTCCGCACGTGGGCACTACAGCGGCTCCGCAGTCGTCTAGGAAAACTCCTTGCAATTGCAATAGACCTTTTTAGGTATAAGTAGCTATAACTGGAACTCAGAACCAAAAGGTATTGAAGTATAGTACTCCAAAATCCAGCCCGAGAATACCTGGCCACTGGGATTATGGATTGCAGGAGTCAGGGCAAGAGGCAGCTTGGGGCAGAAGACGTTTGCACAATGAAAGCCTTTGCTAGGATCGTCCCTGCAAAGCCCTGAACCCTGAAACCACGACTTGCGCTTTTCTTGCTGTAGGCTGGGCCCCCAGTCACTTTCGTGAGCGAGGGCCTAGGCGACTCCAAAATCATGTGAGGGGTTTCCGCAATCATGGGCCCTTTTTGGGTACCCTATATTCAAGCTCTGTATGGTAGTGGCAACCCCAAAAAGGGACCATAATTTAGAGAAGGAGAGCCTCAAGCTCACAGGTGAAAGCGTAGTCTGCGCCCTTTGGAGCACGCAGATAGGAGTGACGTTGGGTTGAGGGTGTAGGGTTTAGGGTTTTGAGGTTTAGGGTTTAGGGTGTAGGGTGGATACTTGGAGGCCCCGAAGAACCTTCTAGGAAGTCCATTCTGGGACTGGGTATAGGGTTTAGGGTTTAGGGTTTAGGGTTTCGGGTTTAGGGTTTAGGGTGGCCACTCCACTGCAAACTCAGCTGCAAAGCAGACCGCCAGCAAGGGAACTGAATTCTGCCGAAACTGGGACTTGTCCGGGTGGTCCTGTGCAAGCCTGTGGAGCCGCTTCGTGTGTATTGAGGGCATAGTTAGGGTTTAGGGTTTAGGGGTTTAGGGTTTAGGGTTTAGGGTTTAGGGTTTAGGGTTTAGGGTTTAGGGTTTAGGGTTTAGGGTTTAGGGCTTCCACCCTCGGAAACCCTGGAGAATGTTTGCGGCCTCCACTCCCGAACCTGTCATCGGCAACAGCTCTTTTGGGGTGAAATGGGCCCGCAGCTCCTCAGCTCAAATGCAGAGAGGCATTGCAGGGCAAAACGCTCGAAACTTTACCGCTACTTGCTTAAGCACCCCCCCAAAACATGTTAAACACCGCTTCTCTTAAGGGCAATGTAGGTTTTTTTTTTTTTTTTTGGGGGGGGGGGGTTCTTAAGCAAATAGTAGTGTAATATCACGTACTTTGGCCCACCCGTTCCAGGTAAGACGCCTCAAATCGAACGAACGCTTGTTCGAGACGGTCACGTGCCCAGTGTCTTGAAAGGACATTCCGGCCAGCTAATCCCTAAGATGTTTTGTTTCAATCTTCGGTCCTGCTGTTGAAGAGTAAATCCTTGTGACGTCTCCAAGCCGAAGGAACTACTTCCTACAAAACCTACATCGACCAGCTGCGCAGGCCGCGAGTGCACAGCGCTCAAGTGCCTTTCATCGTACCTCAGCACGTTTTGGGGTTTAGGGTTTAGCTAATAGGGACCCAGCAGACTGAAGCGTGCCGAGGAAAAACTTCAACACACCCCACGCCAACCGTCCTCACAAGCAAAGCCCAAGCCCAGACCCGAGGGAGGATCCAAAGCGTAGATCCTTTTCTAAGGGGTTCCTGTAGGAATGACCCACTAGGAGTGCGTACTATTGGGGTTTAGGGTTTAGGGAGGGTTAGGGTTTAGGGTTTAGGGTTTAGGGTTTAGGGTTGAGGGTTTAGGGTTTAGGGTTGAGGGTTGAGGGTTTAGGGTTTAGGGTTTAGGGTTCAGGGTCTATGTTTGTGGATCCCTCTCAAGGGGTCTGGGAAGAGAAGCCGGCTGCTGTCTGGTGGAATCTGGGCTTCGAGCCAGGCCGTGTGGAGTTCAGTCTTTCTTCTTGCCCTTGCCCTGGGTTTAGGGTTTAGGGTTTAGGGTTTAGGGCTTAATTTGCTTGAGGACAGCCCTACCTTGGGATGTGCCCCCCCCATGTACTAACAGCCCTTCATGGCGGGGGTACGCTAATCCCGATTATGTACTGCTAGCTTACTGGCCCAAAACCCAAGGAAATAAAAGTTGAAACTTTCAGGATAAACTACCTTATAAGAAGCCCAAAAGTTGAAAAGTTGGGTTTTGAGCCAGTAAGCTAGCATAAGGGGGAACATCCCAAGCCCAAACCTACTAATGGGCCTAGATCCTTGAGAAGGTCCCCTAGCATCATGATCTCTTTCTTCGTTGATACGGTTCTCTTCTTGGCAGTTGTAGAAACAGAGTAACAGTAGAAAGAATATTGGTGGCACCCGTAGCTGTAAACGTAGGAGGTGGCTTTCACACAGACCCTTCGTGCCAAAGCCACGAAGCCCCTAAGCTCGAAAACGCCTCGTGGTTTAGGGTTTAGGGTTTAGGGTTGGGGGCCAGGGTTCTTTAAATGTAGAAAATACAGTTGAGGGTTTACGGTGCACCCTAAAATGTTAAATGCCCAGCCACTGTAGCTAATGACGAGGGCGTTGGGTTTTTTCATGGTTGCAGTCTTATTTTGGGGGTTTGCCCCCAAAGTATGCAAAATACTGGTCCTTTCTATGGTTGCTTTTTTACATACTTCGGGGGTCCGGGAAGGGGTTTTGGGTTTGCCTGAACATCCAAAACCTACATGCTTGTAGGTTGTTGTAATAATTTCCCGTATAGGATGCTTGGGTAACCTACAACAAGATAGTTTCAAAAGGCTGCCCTGTAACCTAGGATTAAAAGGGTACACTTTTTTGCTTAAAAGGGATTCATAAGCGACCTACAAGGAGAGGGCCCCCTTACTATACTAACTGTAGTTAAGGGACCTATAACCAACAATTTAGGATCCTTATGACCCAACTTAGGGTCCTTATAACTCTACTTATGACTAGGGCGCCCCTCGTTGTAGACCCCAACAACAAGGGAATAAGGGTACTATTGGGCATTTGGGCCAACCGCAAGCTGCCCTTAGGGTTTGGGGTTTAGAGGGTTTAGGGTTTTGGAAGTTTTGGGTTTAGGGTTTAGGAAGAGTAGGAAGCTTAGGGTTTAGGGTTTAGAGTTTAGGGTTTAGGGTGAAGCCGCCTTTTGCCGGTTCTTCGTCTGGTGCTTCTCCAGGATCTGCTCGCTGTTCTGGATGGCCTTTTCGGTTAAACCCTAAACCCTAAACCCTACACTCTAAACCCTAAACCCTTTCGCAACAGACTTGCTACCTCAACCCTAAACCCTAAACCCGAAACCTAAAGGTAAACCCTTTTTGAACCCAGACTCAAAGCATCAGCCAGGGCCACCAAGCCTAAACCCTAAACGCCTTTTCACCAGGGCTCCCTCAAGTGCCTGGTTGCAGACTGTTCGCACAACCTCAACCCTAAACCCTAAACCCTAAACCCTAAACCCTAAACCCTAAACCCTAAACCCTAAACCCTAAACCCTAAACCCGCCAGCGGCCGTCAGCATCATGAAGCTTATGGGGGATTCCCTCAAGTAAGGTTCAAGTCTTAGGGAATACAAGGTTGATCCCCCAAACACGAACCCCCTGATAACCCCGAACCCCAAGAGTTCCGCCCCAACCAGCAAAACCCTAAACCCTAAACCCTAAACCCCAAACCCTAAACCCTAAACCCTAAAACCCAAACCCACTTTTCCTTTGGCGCTGCGGGGGCTTGCGCGACCTGAAGGCTCTTCTGCGCGGACTAGGGGCGATGCCTCCCAACTCTGAAGACTAAACCCTCAGAAGAGGGGCGGCAGTCATACAATGTGACGACGAATATGGCGCAGAATGAATAGAAGAAGACTAGCCAGAATAACAATCAGAATCGACACGAAGAATAATGAGAAGACTCACAACAAAAACAATAATCATGATACAAAAAGAAACATAATCATATTGACAACAATGGCATATAATGAAACAAACGCGAAAAAGCCTCGCATCCCGAAACTGCACAGACCCTGCCCCGACTCAGAGCCAGCGCCTGCTTGCGGCTGAAGACGTCTTCATCCATCTCCTCAAAAGATTTCTCCCAAAAGTCTTAGGGCCTTGGGAAAAAAACCTTAGGGTTTAGGGCTTAGGGTTTAGGGCTGGTCAAAAGATTTCTCCCAACAAAAAGTGACGTGGGTTCCATATATTGTCTTCGTAGCATAAGTAACCGTTGCGATGTTCCCCCTTATGCTAGCAGTCCTTAATGGGGATTATAGTACCCCCTACTAGAATCCCGATTAAGGACTGTTAGTATAAGGGGGAACATCCCACAGCAACCATCTGAATAAGGGCACCCCTTTTGTGGGGTTGGCTACCTTATAAGGGAACCTTGAACCAACACAAAAAAGGGGTAAAGGGTACCATTTGGGCCACCAAGTTTCGACTCTCACAACAGGGTCTCCACATGTAGGGCGTGCGGGGTTCCATGGGGTCTGGGCTAAGCTCGAGGCTACAGGTTCCGGGTGAGTTGTTCGTTAGGGGAACCCTAAACCCTAAACCCTAAACCCTAAAACCCCAGAGGTTAAACCCCAAAAGCCATCCTTGAACCAGGAGACTGGGATGCCTCACTCTTCAGCCCTAGAGGGAACCCAAACCCCCAAACCCCCAAACCCCAAACTGAACCCTAAACCCTAAACCCTTCTCCCTAAACCCTAAACCCGAAAGCCAAAACGTTTCGGAGACGCAGGAGACGTAGCTCTGTTGCGGCCCCTAAACCCCCCAACCCTAATGTTGCACCCGCTTTAGTGGATGGGACCGCTATTCTGCGATGTTCCGAAAATCTTATACAGAACCCCCCAGTGTTTAGGGTGGTTCACAATTATGCGATGTTGTCCCGGCTGGGGGTGCCGGTTGGTGAAAAAAGGGGTTCTGCCCTTAACAAAAAGAAGCTGAAGGCTGGTTTAGGGTTACTACTGGTACTACTAGTACTACTACGACGACGACAACCCCATCCCACATTATTAAGGATCCCCGAAAACCCCAAAATTGTTTTGGGGGGGGGACCCCTGCACACTAAAGCGAGTCCAACATTAAACCCTAAAGCCCAACCCTAAACCCTAACCCCCCAAAACCCTAAACCCTAAGCGCTCCCCCCCACACGTCCGCTCCTCCTCGAAATCATCGTCGTCCTCGTTGTCCTCCTCCTTGTCCGTCAGCTTGATCCTCGCCTCATGGTCCGCCAGGGTTTAGGGTTTAGGGGCAGCGTTTCTCGGGCAAGTGGGGGGTGGAGGAGGGGCTGGGTTTTCGGGAAGGGTGGAGTGTTTAGGGTGTAAAGGTTAGGGATTGCGGTCTAGGGATTAGGGAAGCAACGGATCTGGGGTTTTGGTTTTGAGTTCCAGGATACAACCCTAAACCCCTTTACCCCACCCCACCCGCCCGCACCAATAGTGCTTAGGGTTGCAGGCTGCAGCCTCGCAAGCGAGCCGAAGGAGTCTTAAAACCAAACTGCCCAAAACGGCGACCACTGAAACCTAAACCCTATAAACCCTATAAGCTCCTGTAAACCCCACAAACCCTATAAACCCTATCCTAAACCCTACAACCCTGAACCTCAGTACTTGGTTCTTTAGAGCCCGACAGCATTACGTCTGGCATGTCGAGAAACCGCCAGGACGCGGACGCAGTGCACGGTTTAAGTCGCTGCTTCTCCAAAAGTCGGGAAATTCGCTACACGAAAAACCATGAACCTTCAGGTGACACAAAAGGATGCACGGAGCCTAATACCCTAAACGCTAAACCCTAAACCCTAACCCTAAACCCTAAACCCTAAACCCTAAACCCTAAACCACCTCCCTCTTGTAGTACTAGCAGGGTAAGTGCTCGAACCCGACCATGGAGCTCCAGAGCCCTAAGCCCTAAACACTAAACCCGTAAACCCCAAAAAACTGAACCCTCAAACCTAAATCCTAAACCCTAAACCCTAAACCCCTACGCCCTAAACCCCTAAACCCCTAAACCCCTAAACCCTAAAACGCCTAAACCCTTAAACCCTTAACCCCCTGAAAGCTCTCTTCAAGACCAAGGCCAGCCTCGGATTGGCTCCTCATCATCAGCTTCCTTGGCTGCTACGTTTAGGGTTTAGGGTTTCGGGTTTGGGGTACCAAGAACCCTCAACCCCCAACCCTGAAGTATGTGTTCACCCCAACATCCGTGCAAGGTTTTTGCTTTGCTCGTGTTCGTTTCGCCCGGACCCCCTAAACCCTAAACCCTAAACCCTAAACCCTAAATCTGGCCCATCAGCTTACAAAAAACGCTCCTGAGATGGGCCGAAACGGCTTTGTGCCTCGGCGGCCATGGGCCTTGCCATGCTTGTGCCCGCACTTCGTGGTTCACGCACCTACAAGGAGGGGCCCCCTAGTTATAAGTAGAGTTCTAAGCACCCTAAATTGGGTTATAAGGATCCTAAATTAGGTGATAAGTCCCTTAACTTAACTATAGTTAGTAGGAGTAAGGGGGCCCCTCCTGGTATCCGGAAGAGGTACACTCACAAATCAAACTCACAACCCATGCGGTGCCCAGTTATTAGACTAAACCCCATGTGTGCCATGGGATGACGCACGCGTGAAGATAAATGTGTGGGGGTTTACGAAAATCAGGGACCCCGAATATAGTCCCCCAAATAGAAGGATTGCCTTATCACAAGGACCCCAATTTGGTACCCCTCAGTTCGGAAACCTCCATGCGTGCAATTTGCCGCAGGGTCCATGTACCTCATTAGTATATGTACTTGGGCCCTAAAGTCCCTAAATAGGAGGTACGTTAGGAACCAAGTATTCCACATTTAGGTACAATGGACCCTTAGGGTTTCTAACCGCGGCCACGCTTCTCCTCGTATCGCTCCTCGTCGATTTGACGCTGGTGCTCGCTAACCTCCTTCAGGATTGATAAGCTGAATCGGACCTAACCCTAAACCCTAAACCCCAAAAGTGTCTAAACCTAGGCTGCCCAGTAACCTAGGCTTAAAAAGGGTGCCCTTTTTTGCTTAAAGGGGCTTATAAGGGAACCTAACCCCCCCAAAAAAAGGGAATAAGGGCAATACTGGGCATCCTAGCAACCTTAACCCCTAAACCCCTCTGGAAGCATCCTGAACCAGAAAACCCTCAGACGCCAGCAAGCTTAGCCTTTTCGGTCTAGCGGTTTAGGGTTTAGGGGATTAGGGTTTAGGGTTTAGGGCTTAGGGCTTGGGGTTTCGGTTTAGGGCTTAGGGCTTAGGGCTTAGGGCTTAGGGTTTAGGGTTTAGGGTTTAGGGTTTAGGGTTTAGGGTTTAGGGAGCCCGCAGTATCCATGCACCCCCGACACAAGGAGCCCTATAGACCCCATCGCTGTCCTCGACGCGGGCAGTCATACCTTGGCTTCGTTTTCGGCGCGTTCAGGGAGGATCATATAGGGTTTCGGGCTTAGGAAGTATGGCTTGGGGTTTAGGAGATAAGGTTCAGGGTTTTGGGGTTTAGGGTTTTTAGGATTAAGGGTTTCGGGATAAAGATATAGGGTTTTTGGGTTCAGGATATAAGGTTCAGGTGTAGGGTTTCCGGGGCAAGGTGGATGCACGGAGAGTTCTTGGGCCGTCATATGCTAGCTGAAAACTGCCAAGGCTTGCAACCCCCAACTGACTGGCATGTATGCGGGTGTCCGACATAGGGGTACCCTTTTTAGAGGTGGCTTTTGAGGGGTTTCTCTTTGGGGTATACGGTATAACAGTAGAAACGGCGTACCCCCTAGACCCAAGAGGAACCTAGGAGGAAATAGGGTACGCTTTTGGCGGTTTACTTGAAAGTGCGTAGAATGGAACCTACACCCTACAAGAATGGAATAAGGGCCTACTCTGGGTCCTAGAATAGTACAGTTGGTCGGTTGCCAACCACAACCCTTATCAACTTAAAACCCTAAACCTGAAACTCTAAGCCGAAAAAAACCCTAAATCCCCAAGTCTCCAAACCCTAAACCCTAAACCCTAAAACCCTAAACCCTAAACCCTGAACCCTGAACCCTAAACCCTAAACCCTCCGCAAGAAAGACAGGATTTCCAGACACTCCTGGCTTCATCGCATTGAATTGTCAGTGCGTCAGCAAAGGCATTTTTGGGTTTAGGGTTTGGGAGTGGCTTCATCGGATTGACTTTAAGTAAAGGGTTTATAGGGTTTAGGGTTTAGAGGGTTATAGGGTTATAGGGTTATAGGGTTAAGGGTTTAGGGTTTAGGGTTTAGGGTTTAGGGTTTAGGGTTTAGGGTTTAGGGTTTAGGGAGGACTTCCAGCTCCTGGTTGAAAGGGTTTAGGGTTCAGGGTAGCTCCTACAAGATGTCTCAGGAGTTCAGGGCTCTGTAGAAATTAGACGTGCGCCGACCTTCCTCCTAAGTTGCAAACTCACCTCCCAATCTCATGCCGAGTGGCCCAAGAGCTTGGAGATCTTCTTCTCACACTCCTTTTGCGCGAAAGTCTGGGGCTTCGGGAACCCTAACCCCTAACCCCTAAACCCTAAACCCTAAACCCTAAACTCTAAACCCGTTGGCTGGTTCTTTTTTGGGCACTGTGGGCAGCACAGACCGCCCAGATCAGGTTCTATGTCGGAGCTCCAACCTCTTCCCCAAGGGCTCTATGCACCCTAAACCCTAAACCCTAAACCCTAAACCCTAAACCCTAAACCCTAAACCCTAAATCATTCGAAATACATACCGAAAATACCTTGTTCTGTCACTTTTGTGCACACCTACACGCACCGATTGTGTGGAAGATCAAAAGAGGAGTTCGAGTTCAACAATGTATGGTTTAGGGTGGGTTTAACTAGGGTAGGGAGTGGCAGGGAGTGCAGGGTGCCTAGAGATTGGGGTTTGGGAGTCTCAGGGGTGGAGGTTTGAGCGCGCCGTTTTGCATAAGATTTAGGGCATAGAGAGTTTGATCTGCGGAGAGCTCCGTGATGTCCAGAAAGCTCGCAGAAACTGGGCCGCTGCTTTCCTACGATACCTAAAATCCCAGCCCCGAAGCCCAAAAGCCGACCAAGACCTGCAACTGCAGCTCCTGCTTTTGCGGCACCTACTTGTCCGATGGTGGTATATTACTAACCCTGAACCAACATTTCTTATCAAAATTGAATACTAGATCGTACGAGGGGTATGAGCTAGGGTCTTGGTTTCAGGAATTTGTCTGGATTTCATCCGAAACCCTCTTTGGCATCAGGCTTGTGGATCTCCCCTGCACAAGCTGCCTAAACGCTAAACCCTAAACCCTAAACCCCAAACCCTAAACCCTAAACCCAACCGCAGAGCCGTCCTGGAGGACCTCCTCCACAGTCTCGTCGCTCATCTCCATCCTTCGATCGCCGGTCTGTTTTGGGATGTTCCCCCTTGTACTAACAGTCCTTACCTTGCCACATGATTCCTGAAAGGGTTTAGGGTTCATCTACCTTAATAGGGATTATAGTAGCATAGGGTAGATGACCCGAATTTTCGGGTTCATGTGGTCCACAAGGTAATAGAGATTGTAGTAAACCCGGAACGCTGCACTCTAAGCCCAAAATTGGGGGTTACCTCAAAAATAAGGGACCCCTAAAAGAAACAAAGACCTCCAAATAGTAGGATGTCCCTTTTATTTATAATTTCGGGCCCCAATAAGGTACCCTTAACTTCGGAAGTTACTCTACGCAGCCTTTCTAAAACCCTAAACCCTAGACCCTAAACCCTGAACCCTGAACCCTAAACCCTAAAGCCTAAAGCCTAAATCCTGCACGCCCCGAGCCAAGTAGTGGGCTTACTAAACCCTAAACCCTAAACCCTAAACTTGTGACGGGCGTGGTGCCAGAAGTATTGGGTTTTAGTAAAACTAAATAAATACAAGAAGAAATACAAGAAAACACAAACGGGGAATGCAAGAAAAATACGAGCGCAGAAACGCCAGCCGAACAAAGTGCAAGAAAAACACAAGAAAATCACAAAAAAAAACACAAGCAACTTACAAGACAATACAAGAAAAATACAAAAAAAATACAAGAAAAATACAAGAAAAATACAAGAAATATACAAGAAAATACAAGAAAAACACAAGGAACATACAAGAAAATTACAAGAAAAATGCAAGAAAAGTACAAGAAAAACACAAGAGCAAATACAAGAAAAACACAAGAGGCACGGAGGCGCGGGGGGGGGGGGGGGGGGGTTGTCGTGTTTTTTTCGTGTTTTCGCGTATTTTTTCCGTGTTTTTTCTGTTTTTGTTTTTTTCGTGTTTTTCCGTGTTTTTCGTTGTTTTTTCCGTGTTGTTTTTAGCGGGGGGGCGGGGGGGGGCGGGGGGCGGGGGGGGGGGGGGGGGGGGGGCGGGGGGGGGGGGGGGGGTGGGGGGGGGGGGAGCCGGGGGGGGGGTGGGGGGGGGGGGCGCCGGGGGGGGGTGTGGGGGGGGGGCGGGGGGGGGGGGGGGGCGGGGGCAAGTTGGTTATTTCGTTTCCGCGCGTCGCGACCCTCCCAAGGAACCCGGGAAGGGGGAGGGCTTGAGCGTGTGCAGTGTTGCCTCTGGTTGCTGATGGGGTGCAGCCATAAACTGGAAGGGTTGCGGCTTAGGGTTTAGGGGTGAAACCCTAAACCCTAAACCCTAAACCCTAATACGTACCCTCTGCAGGTGCAATCTTCCTTAGCAGCCGCTTTGGGCAAGGAAAGGGCGGAGCAGCAGGACGTTGGGATGCCGACTTGTGCTGTCGGACTCAAGCTACACAGAGCACCCCTTGGCAGATGGTCCTGGCCTGAAGGCGGGGGGGGGGGGGGGGAGGCGCGGGGGGGGGGGGGGGGGGGGGGGGGGGGTCTTGTGTTTTTGTCGTGTTTTTTCCGTATTTTTCGCGCATTTTTTCCGCGTTTTTTTTCGTGTTTTGCTTGTATTTTGAAATATGCGAAAAACACGCGAAAAATACAAAAAAAACACGAAAAAACACGGAAAAAATACGAAAAAAACACGAAAAAACACGGAAAAAACACGGAAAAAAACACGGAAAAAACACGCGAAAAACACGGAAAAAACACGACAAAAACACAAGCCCCTCCCCCCCAGCCCCCAACCCCGCCCCCCCCGCCCCCCCTTGCATTTTTCTCGTATTGTTCTTGCATGTTTCTTGTGTTTTTCTTGTATTTTTTCTTGTATTTTTCTTGCATTTTTTTGTATTTGTCTTGCATTTTTTTTGTATTTCACCGTTGTTCCTGAATCGCTACTTGTATTTTCTCTTGAATTAATTCTTGTATTTTTCTTGTGTTTTTTTTCATTCTGCTGGGGGGTCAATACTTCCGAGACGCGCTCCTCACAACCCTAAACCCTAAACTCTAAACCTGTACTTGCCAGCAAGACTCGGCTGGGTCGCCTCTCCATCTAGCTTGATCGGCTGCAGCTTCCTGAGGCGGGATTTTGGGGTTCCCACAGACCCCTTGGAGGATCCAAAAAGAAGCCACAAATAGTACCTAGGGTTTAGGGTTTAGGGTTTAGGGTTGAGGGTTTAGTAAACGCTAAACCCGAAACCCTCTACTACTATTGGGCCATTCTTAGGAACTCTTAAGGGGATCTACTTTTTGGATCTCCCAGGGGTCTGAGTTGAGGTGTAGGGGTTGGGATGTTCCCCCTTATACTAACCGTCCTTAATGGGGATGATAGTACCCCCTACTAGACCCTGAACTGAGGTTTCTAGGGTTCCCTCATAGATACTTGCTACTTGATATGTTCCATCTTATACTACTAACCGTCCTTAATGGGGATGATAGTACCCACTATTATAAACCCCAAAAAGTACGGTGAGAGTAAGGGGGGACATCCCAATGTAGGGGTCCCAGAGTTTCTAGCAAGGGGACTTAGGTACGGTTTCGGGTTCCCCTCGCGGGCAAAGCAAAAGAGACTCAAGGCGCACGCCCGGTTTCACGACCGTTGAGGTGCATGTCTGCCATGACACGGCCAACTGCAGAAAAGCGACTCGGCCAGATGACTGATGCCGGCCTGCCACTTTCTGCAGCTTCCCTCGCTACTAGTAACCCTAAACCCTAACCCCTAACCCCTAAACCCTAAACCGTAAACCCTAGAAGTTCTCGAGTCGGGGGCCAAGTCAGTTGGGTGGACCTGTCGACAGGGTAAGGTCTGTCAGCTGCAATCAAGTTCAACTGCTCTCGTCACCCCCCCTCCAAGACCGTAAGAAATACTCATTGGAACAACCCCCCCAGAAGTAAGCGACAAGCACTGGCGACGTGTTCACGACATCTGTGGCCGCAGTGCCTTCACATCGATGAGCATCCTCGGTTGCAGGAAACCCTAAACCCTAAACCCTAAACCCTAAACCCTAAACCCTAAAGAAAGCCACCCAAAACCGTCGAGACCAGCCATTCTCTCCCTGCCCCTCAGGCCGGGAAAGCGACAGCTTACCGAGCACAATGTCGACGACCGACTACCGACTACCAGCACCAAACTGACCTTCTCAAATCTTCCACTAACCTCCTCCCCGCCTTTGGCAAGAGTCTTCTGGGCTGAAAAGTTACCATCTTCTCAAGCAGGAGCAGCCAATAAGGGATTTTGGGTTGGAAAGAGTGTGTGTGTGTTTTATTTTATTTTATATTATTTATTTATTTATTTATTTTTTTTTGGGGGGGGGGGGGGGTAGTTCTATGGTAAAACCATAAAACCATTTCGGGATGTTAATGGGCTGGTATTGGGAACTGTTTAGGCTCCTGAAATCCACACCTCAAGCGTCCGATGCAGTGGCAGAGGCGACCTTGCTCCACCTCTCGGCCCCCTGACGCTGCAGCTCGGGATCTTCGGCCCCGAAGAAGCCCGGGAAGAACCCTAAACCCTAAGCCCGAAGCCCAAAACCCTAAACCCTAAACCCTAAAACCCTAAACCCTAAACCCTAAACCCCAGCAACCCTCGCAACCCTGAACCCACCAGGCTGAGACGGAACAGTCAAGGAACCGAGCCAGGCGTTCATACTTGCCACGGTTGCGCTCGCACTTCCTGGGACAAGTCTTCAAGTCGTACCATGCAAGTGTGAGTCTGGGTGCCCTCGGAGAACATCGTTTCTGCCACTTTTTTTTTTTTTTGGGGGGGGGGGGGGGGGGGGGGGGGGGGGGGGGCTTAGGGCTTTTAGGGTTTAGGGTTTAGGGTTTAGGGTTTAGGGTTTAGGGTTTAGGGTTTAGGGTTGAGGGTTGAGGGCTTAGGGCATCTTTTTTGGCTTTTGCAGGGTCGCAGGGCGCTGATCCCCATGCCCTTTGACCTCCACCCCCCTCAGAACTTGGGAGACCAGACACAGGCGCCGGAACCTTGAGCAGCCTAAACCCTACAACCCTAAACCCTAAACCCTAAACCCTAAGCCCGAAGCCCAAAACCCTAAACCCTAAACCCTAAACCCCTAAACCCTATAAACCCTAAGCATAAATCCTGCTCCGGGGCCAAGACTTCTAAAGGGTTGCAGTCTCAGAAGCCCTTCCAAGCCCAAAGCCCCTAGTCTGAGCAAGCAGCACGATGCTTCTCAAGAGCTGTGGGTTTCTACATGTACGGTTCAAAGAGGAACGCGAGCACGCCTCATCACTTCAGCGCCGTGGCCGTGGCAAGCTAAAACCCTAAAACCCTAAAACCCTAAAACCCTAAAACCCTAAAACCCTAAACCCTAAAACCCTAAAACCCTAAAACCCTAAAACCCTAAAACCCTAAAACCCTAAAACCCTAAACCCTAAAACCCTAAAACCCTAAACCCTAAAAAAAGGCAAGCTGCTCCGTCGCTTCCCCCAGATGCGTCTCGAAGTCGTCGATGGCCTTTCAACCCACCCATCCGCCCATACACACATATGCACACACACACACACAGACACAAACATACATGTATTTAATCACCAAGGTGTATTACAAGCAAATAACATGAATCTACCCTTACCTGCAGGCGCAGGATTCAAGTTGTCCATGTGCTTGCCGCTGCGCACCCTGGTTTGTTCTGGACTCAGATTTGCCTCTGCCGCACCCTGAACCCTGAGCAAGCGAGGTCCCAGACACGAAGCGCACCCTAAACCCTAAACCCTAAAACCCTAAAACCCTAAAACCCTAAAACCCTGAACCCTAAACCCTAAACCCTGAACCCTAAACCCTAAACCCTGAACCCTAAACCCACCCTAAGCCTGGCTGCTCTGTGCGCTTGGCCCCACGGCTTGGTCAGCAGGAACAGCGCCATGCGTCAATGTTTAGAGATCCCTCTTAGCAAGAACAGCATAGGGATTTAGGGTTTAGGGTTTGGGGTTTAGGGTTTAGGGTTTAGGGTTAGAGTAGCAAACTGACGACTACTGACTATTCATTCGCAGATCACAAGAAGTCCCTGGATTGCTCGCCTACCATTCGTGTGAACCCCAACAGCCCTAAACCCAAAGCCGCAACCTCCTAGCCCAAAAGACCTCCAAGAGCCTAGGGCCTAGAGGGCAAGAAGCCCAGAGAGGCACCCTCAACTCTTTTCGGTTTGGGGTTTTGGGTTTAGGGTTTAGGGACTGCTGGTCAAATCAGCCAGACACTGACCTTTTTGTGGCATCGAGACTAGCAAGGCGAAAAGGCCAGATAAACGGCAAACCCCAAAGCGAGTATAGAAAACCCTAAACCCTAAACCCTGAACCCGAAACCCCGGACCATTCGCCTGCCGGCGTGCCCCGCCGCCGCCGTTGGAGAATTTGAGGTCCTGAAATCTTTACACGTGTCGTGAGATAAGGCGACCTTTTTTTTAGGAGAGTTCAGGGTACACAGGGTTTAGAGTTTAGGTTCTAGGGTTCAGGTCTTAATTAAGGTTCTCACCTGAAGCCGAACCTCCAGCCCAAAGCCTTGCTGGAGCTTCAGCGGAGCGCACTTTCTTGTAGCACGACTTTCCCATAACTTCTAAGAAGGCCAGAGTAAGAAGTCAAGTAAATCAGATACAGCTCAAAACCCTGCACCCTAAACCCTACAAGTATAGTTACAAGGACCCTAAATTGGGTTAGAAGGATCCTGAATTAGGTTATAAGTCCCTTAACTACAGCTAGTATAGCAAGGGGGCCCCTCCTTGCAAACCCTAAACCCTACAGCTCCCAGAGCCCACAATGCCTCCCAAAAGCACAGATACGGCGTGCGCCATGGCCCTACCCCGAGACCGGCCATTCCTACCACAAGCTCCAAGGGAAGAAACTCATGGGAGGTTTAGGGTTTAGGGTTTAGGGGGGGGCCTAAAACCCTAAACCCTAAACCAGGCTGCCCTCTAACCTAGGACTTCTTTTGCTTAAAGGGTTGCAAAAGGGAACCTAAAGCCCCAAAAACGGAATCAAGGTACGATTGGGCATCGTAGTAGACCCTCTAAACCCTATAGACCCTATAGACCCTATAAACCCTATAAACCCTGTAAACCCTATAAACCCTCTAAACCCTTAACCCTAAACCCTAAATCCTAAACCCCAATAGACCCCGTAATCCTGTAAACCCCAAACCCCAAACCCTAAAACCTAATTCTAAATCCTACATCCTAAACCCTAAACCCAATAAACCCTTAAAACCCTGTAAACCCTAAATTCTCCAAAACCCTGTAAACCCTGAATTCTCCAAAACCCTGTAAACCCTAAATTCCCCAAACCCAGCGATCCTCGACCTTGGAGCGGAGGTCGCGCCTTTCCTCCTGAAGCTTCTCGATCATGCTGTGGTTGTCCTCCAACCGAGAAGCTTCCCCAAAACCCTAAACCCTAAACCCTAAACCCTAAACCCTGAACCCTAAACCCTAAACCTAAGCCCTACCTAACTCTTGATGATGCCGACTACAGCTCACAGGTTCAGGTCCTTCTGCCTGAGCCCTGCAACCGGGTCGAGGGGTTTAGATCGCTGAACTGCACCCTCCGGTTTAGGGTTTGGGTTTAGGGTCTAGGGTCTAGGGTCTAGGGTTTAGGGTTTAGGGTTTAGGGTTTAATTAGGGTTTAGGGTTTAGGGTTTAGGCTGATTATAGATTATAGCATGATCAGAGTGGGGCCACAAGGGAATTCTCTTAGTAGTTATTCCGACCCCGATATTGCACGCCTTCAAACAGCAGTGGCTTGGCCATACACACGACGTCACACTGCGTTACCAAATGTTGCGTTTGCCGCCGCCCATCTTGGGCCGTAACCACCTTGCAGCCCTAAACCCTAAACCCTAAACCCTAAACCCTAAACCCTAAACCCTAAACCGCATGCGGTCCTTCGTCAGTTGGGTGAGGTTCTTCTGCGTATCATCCTGTGTCAGGAACCTCGGCCGGCTCCGGGATGGAAGGGTTAGGGTCTAAACCCTAAACCCTAAACCCTAAACCCTCAACCCTCAACCCTTGCCAAGCTCCACGGGGCAACTGCAGAGGCTTAGGGTTTAGGGCTTCGGGTTGGAATGAAAGTATGCACCCTTGTTGGAACCCTGAGCCCAGCATAGCATGGCCCTTTGAAAAGGGGTTTTAGGGGTTTAGGGTTTAGGGTTTAGGGTTTAGGGGTTTAGGGGGAGCTCCCGGTCGGCCACAGCAAGCTCTACAAACACCCAAACCACATATCATCACCATCATCATCATCATCCCAGACCCCTTGGAGGATCCAACAGAAATAGAGCAAAGCGATGGTGCTGCGGGCTTGGGGTCCTAAATCTGCAAACTCCTTGGGGGCGACATGAACCCTAGAAGGGCTAAAGAACTCATAGACCTTGATAGGGACTATAGCCGTAGAGAGTATGTGACACCAACTTTGATATACGTGTATGAACCCAATTGCGTGGCTTGCTACGACTTGAACGGCCCAAACTGTTCGGAACATTGAACAAACAAAAACCCAAGACCAAAGAACTTCTGGATGATCTCGTTCGGATCGTTCACGCCCGTGGCCTGAGGCAGGCCAGGATAATGCTAGCTGAATAACTTAAGAACCACCCAAAAAAGAAAGAGAACAATCCCGATGCTGCCTTTATATAAGGAGGACTTTTTTTTTGTCTTTTTTTGAGGGGGTTCTTAAGCAAGTAGTGTTCCGCCGTAATCCATTCCTTAAGGGGTGTTGGGCTCTCTGAGGGTGAGGCTGTTGGTGCCAACTCATTTCTCTCTCAAAAACCTCACCCTCCTCCCTGAGAGTTCAGGGTTTAGGGTTTAGGAGGCTTAGGGTTGAGGGTTTAGGGTTTAGGGCTTAGGGCTTAGGGTTAGGCCCCCCCCCCCCCTACCCAGAACTGGTTTTTGCGAAAAGGCGACGTGGCGACTGGACTCACTAGACGCTGACCCGTAACCAAAAACTGCTCGCGTTGTACGTTCCGACTTTGACCCTGCTGGCTTTTGCCGTGGCTGATGATGCTGCTGACGCTGCTGATGTTTTCCCTGTGTGGCCTTTCAGCATGTGCGGCCTCTGTACGCTGATACGCCACCCTTTTTGCTAAATCCTAAACCCTAAACCCAGAAATGCAATCTGAGGACCCGGATGGGCGGCCGCAAGCGCTAAATCCTAGTCCCTAAACGGCCCCACGCCCAAGTATGTAGAGACTCCAGTACCTTCTGCATGAAGGAACAAATCCTTACTTCATCCGCTTGGGATCCCTTCTGTGCCTTTCGGAAAACTCAGAAACTCAGGAGCCCATAATGACTCTTGATACCCCATGGGGCTTGAAATGCCAGCCACAACATGATAGTTCAAAATAAGGAACTATAGGGAATTAGGTACCCTGCCTCCCCCTGTACAACCTCGCAGACTCTGCGGGAATCTATAGGGTCCGTCCGTACTTCCCTGATTCTCCATATACAGAGGACCAGTAAGAAAAGATTGAAGTGGAGGCCTCCTTGATCTATCCCTCGACAGGAGCCCTTCTCAGAGATGCCTTTGGGTACCTACTTCCCTAAACCCTAAACCCTAAACCCTACACCCTAGAACCAATAAGGGCCGAAGCCTCCTTGATCTGATTGAAAGCATGGATGAAGAGCTGGATCTTCTGCTCCTCCTCTGCGACGTCTCCTGGGGAGCCTCCGGCGGATAGGGTTAGGGTTTAGGGTTTAGGGTTTAGGGTTTAGGGTTTGGGGTTTGGGGTTTGGGGTTTGGGGTTTGGGGTTTGGGGTTTGGGGTTTAGGGTTCGGGGTGTGGGGTTAGCCCATCCTTGGAGGACGGTAACCACCCCCCCCCCCCCCCCCCCCGGGGGGGGGGGGGGGGGGCCAAGCCCGGAACTGCAAGGAAAAGATCCTTAAACCTTCTTCTTGGCAGGGAATGAGGGAATGAGGTACGAGTACCCTATGTAAAAACACCTAAATAGGATATAACCTAAACCCTAGACCCTATAGAATCCCTGTATATCAGGTGCCGAATTCCTTCGTTCCCTACTAAGAACCCATGGGTGAACGCAGCGACTGATTTTTGGAGTGTCGGGCTCAGAACTGCAAACTGCACACCCCTGTTTAGGGTTTAGGGTTTAGGACTTGGAGGGTTCAGGGTTCCAGCGGGTTCAAAACGCAGGCGATCCCACACGCGATGCCTATGTTCTCCAACGAGACCCTGCATCCCCAGCTCCCTGGGTTTAGGGTCTAGGGCTCATATGAACCTCAAAGCGTCAAGCCTCTACACCTTTTTGGGGCGCTGTGACCTGCCGGGCAGACCCTTAAAAACCCTCAACCACCCCAACTTTTGAATGCTAAGCCCTCAAACCTGAACCCTCAACCCTTTTTGTGCATCCGGCACTGCCGGGCAATAGCGAACATACACTCAATCTCCTATAACCCTGAACTCTAAACCCTAAACCCCTAAACCCTAAACCCTCAGCCCGTAAGCCCTAAACCCTAAACCCGGAACCCTGAACCCTAAACCCTCAACCCTAATCCCTAAAGCCCTAAAGCCCTGTGATCTGGCCTCCCTGATCCACTGCGGGGAGGTCTCGGGCCTCCCTCTTCTGGTTGCTTTCAATCTCCTCCGGAGGTTGAACATGAACGTAGGGTTTCTGCAGCACCATGAACGTAGGGTTTAGGGTTTAGGGTTTAGGGTTTAGGGGTTTAGGAAAGTGTAGAGAGTTTGGGTCAGTCTGCTAGAACCTAAGGGGCACGGAATGCCATCACATTCGGGCTTCGGGCTTCGCTCCCCCCCCCCATAGCCGACGCTGCTTGGGGTTGAAGGCTTGCGGTTGCGACTTAGGATTCCGGAAAGAAACTTGGAGGTTCATGGTCTGTGGTTCATGGTCTGTGGTTCATGGTCTGTGGTTTAGGGGTTTAGGGTTCATGGTACTTCGTTACTCAATTATAACTTTGCGTATAACCCAACTATAACTGCTTAAGGGGCTTGGAAGTGGGTTATAACTACACTTACAATGGGGCGAGAAGTACCCTGAACCTCCAACAAAGATCCCCAACCGGGCCATGCTTCTTGTTGCGTCTACCTTTAGAAATCGAAACCCTGCTTTTTTGGAGGTCGGAGGTCTGAAGCCCCGCAAATTGACCCTGAGCCCTAAACCCTAAACCCTAAACCCCACAAACAAAGTCGGTTGGGGCGGGTCGGGTTTTTCGGTCGGCTATGGCGGCTCCCGGTCTACACATTCAAGTAGCAGCACAGCTAGTAGTGACGGGAGCGATACTAAATAAGTAAGGGTAAGGGTTAAGGGTTAAGGGTATAGGGTATAGGGTTTAGGGTTTAGTAAGTAAGACCTAAGAATTGTAGTCACATTGATATTTGTACTCAGAGAGATGTCAAATCATCATCGCCTGAGTTGTGCCTGAACACCTTTGACATTTAGTTATGCATAGGTTCCCTTATAAGGAAAGGAGGGAAGCTTAAAATCATCCTAAATCACAACCCAGTCGTAATAATTGTAAATGCTAGTATTGAGAGTCATACGACTTACAAAAACTGCCGACGATCGTAAACTTGATAGCCCCAGTAACCATATTCTGATAAGGGCACCCTTTTTTTGGCGGTTGGTTTCTTGCTAAGGGAACCCAGAACTATTCCAAAAAGGGTAAAAGGGCACCGCTGGGCTACCAAGCATTCATGATTTCAAGCTCAGGAAGCTTACCCTAAACCCTAAACCCTAAACCCTAAACCCAAAACCCTAAACCCTAAACCCTAAACCTTGCGGGGGTCCTGCTGCTGCTGCCTTTGCATCCGCTCGCGCATCTCCAGGCCTGGGTCTCGCAGCAAGGGCATGCTCCGGATGTGTAGCAGAGCCGCGGTTTAGGGTTGATAGGGTTGTGGGTTTGGGGCTCAACATAGCCCTAAAATCTTCTGGAATATGGCCTTTGGGCCCAAAAAGCCCTTAAAGAAGAGTTCTTGGAGCCTTGGGGTAGGACCTCTTTTGGGAAGGGAGGCTTCAACGTTTCCACGAAACATCCTCCGCGCCGTGGCAAGAAATAGCCGGTACTAAGGCCCAATTGCCATGCGGCAAGAATCGCACAGAGAGGTGTAGGGCAGCTGGTATAAGTGCGCACTACCTAACCCCTGTAAACTTTTATGGTTTTAACCCCAAACCCTAAACCGCCCTTAGACAGAATGTACCCAGAGAGCCCATGTCTGCCTGAAATTGCAGGAAGGATACCAACATGAGTTGAGGTCTACAGCCCTGAGTCACGGGGTAGTCCCATAGGATCCATGTACCTATATAGTATATTCTTGGGCCCCAAAGCTACTATATAGGAACCCCTTTAAGGCCCAAGTATATACTATATAGGTACATGGATCCTTTGGGAGTGGGCTCTACTAGGCCCAGTCTAGGGCGCAGGATTTTGCCACCCAAGTAGAATCAAGCCAGACCGCAGGGTAACACGCGCAAAAACCCTAAACCCTAAACCCTAAACCCTAAACCCTAAACCCTAAACCCTAAACCCTAGGATCTATCAGGCTTAGTAGAGGAGCTTTGTGCTCTCATGGGCAAGCTGAACATTGAAAGGGATGTCCTGAAATGCAGCGACCCCCTCTTCCGAGCTTTCTGAGTCCCCGGAAAGAGTCTGTAGCTCCAAACCCCCATATCCCTCTAGAGCCCCACTCTCAACCCAATCTCCTTAAACCCTGAACCCTTCTGAAACCGGAACTGAGCTCTAAACCCTAAACCCTAAACCCTCAACCCTCAACCCTAAACCCTCTGCCGTCGCTGCTGGGGCCCCTCGCGCTTGTTCATCTCCACCCGCTGCTCCACCAGCGCCTCTTTGCGGAGCCGGGGGCTTCGAGAGCCGAGGCTTCGAGACTGGGATTTAGGGTTTAGGGTTTAGGGTTTAGGATGTCTGTTTGGTCACGTCTCTAAATTATGGTCCCTCTTCTACGAGTTGCTTAAGAACCCCCCCCCAAAAAAATGAACAACATGTTCTTCCTTATAAGGTAAGAATAGGGATTGCTAATTTTTGCATGTTTTGGGAGGGGGTTCTTAAGCAAATCGTAGTTTTGGGATCCTTATAAGGCGGCCCCAATATATTTGGAGTACCCCAACAAGGGTTCAGGGTTTAGGGTTTAGGGTTTAGGGTCCTAGTTTGGAGAACTGACCGTTTCACTGTTTGCTCCGACTTGCAGCCGCACCGGTCGGTTCAACCCTAAACCCTAAACCCTAAACTCCAAACCCTAAACCCTAAACAGGAACTATGGTCCCTTCTTGGGGTGCCCTACATGTTCGGGGCCGCCTCAGAACAGTAACCTCCAAAGGCCGCCGTAATGGTTTAGGGTGTAGGGTTTCGGGTTTATTGACGGATGTGGGCTCATGTGAGCCCTTTCATATGGCCCTTCAAAACCTTAATGGACCGGATGTCCTCTCCAACCTCTGCCCTTGCAAGAACCGTCGAATGACCTTCCTGGGAGATAAGCCCTAAACCCTAAACCCTAAACTTCTACATGGAGCATGTAGCCCCAGGAAGCTGTCTTGAACTCAGCCCTCACGGGTCAAAATCCTGCGGCTCTATTTACCTACAGTTTAGTAGCAAACAGCCTTGAATCAGTAAGTATAACCCCTTCGGGTTCAGGGTTTAGGGTTAATCTCGTTGAGATTAACCTGTAGGTAAATCGAGTCCCAGGTAGGCCCTAAACCTGATACTTACGCAAATGCATGTACAAAACAATCGGCTATCAGCCTCAGTCTGTTTGCAAGGGTCATGCGACCAAATGGACTGCCCACCCTTGCACCCATTCACTTGCACCCGGACTCTTCAAGGTTTGCAGTATACTCCCACAAGTTGGAACATTATTCTCCTCATACCCCAACAGGGTTACTGAAGGGAATCCAAGCCCTAATCGTTAGGGTTGGGTTGGGATGTTCCCCCGGAAAACTGACAGTCTTTCATACCCTCAGGCGCAAAATAGCGGACAAACCTTATAGAATATGGCCTTTGGGCCCCAAAAACCCTTAAATGAGAGTTCTTGGAGCCTTAGGGATAGGGATTAGAATCGGGGGTACGAATAGCCCTATTAAGGACTGTTCGTATAAAAGGGGGGAACATCCCCAGTGTTGCTGACCTCAAGGTCCACCCACAGTCTGACTCCTGCAAAAACTAGGGTTTAGGGTTCAGGGATAGGGTTTAGGGTTTAGGGTTTAGGGTTTAGGGTTTAGGGTTTAGGGTTTAGGGTTTGGGGTTTAGGGTTTAGGGTTTAGGGTTTAGGGTTTAGGGTTTAGGGTTTCTAGGTTTACGGCTTAGGGCTTAGGGTTTGGCTGCGGCCTTCTTCTCCTGCACTTCCTTGTCGCGCTGATTCCGCTCCTCCATGACCCCCTGCTCGAAGCGGTGCAGCCTGAGCCGTTGAAGCCCTGGGGTTTAGGGTTTAGGGTTTAGGGTTTAGGGTTTAGGGTTTGGGCTTAAGGGTTTGAGGCTTAGGGTTTAGGGTTTTGGAGCTTAAGGGTTTAGGGTTTAGTGTTTGAGGCTTAGGGTTTAGGGTTTTGGGCTTAAGGGCTTGAGGGCGTTTAGGGTTCAGGGTTTCAGGTCCAAAGCCTAAACCCGTGATGCTAAGGTTGGAACAAATCGGTCCTTGGTCTGGTCCCTTACCCTTGCTTATAGGGATCCGAAGTATGGGCCCTCATGACGTAGAGTGTTTAACAAGGGTTATATGACAAGGGACCCAAGCTAAGGGCCCATACTTTGGTAGACTACTTAAGTTTTGAATCTTGCAAGCATGAACCGCTAAACCCTGAACGCCCCCCAACTGCACCTGACAGGATTTGCGATCATAGTAGTAAAACCAAAGAATAATGGCTACAACTATACTAATAGAAATTGGAGTGATCGTCGAAATCCTGGTAACAACAGAAAAGCTAGCAAGAGTAGTAATAGTAAAAAAGGAGGAATGGTAACATATAAAAAAGTATGAGAAGCAATAAAAAAAGGTACTCATAGCAATGCTAATTCCTAGTTGCTGAGTACCCTGGGCCAAAAAAGGCTAACCTTTCAATTATGGTAGGAAATATAAATAAATATATATATATATATGTATTTATATTTATATTTATATTTATATACATACACCAAACGGGTAAAGGTTACCTACTCAGCTACTAAGACTTACAAACTGAGTAGTAGCCCTAAACCCTAAACCCTAAACCCTAAACCTAAACCCTAAACTCTAAACTCGCAGCTCCCACTTGGGCTCGGACTCCGCCTGGGCCATCTCCTGCCCAGGAGTTTAGGGGGGGTTTAGGGGCCGAGCTTGACGCCAACATGCGGAAGAGGTTGAGGGTTTAGGGTTTAGGGATACTAAAGTATTTGGGCCATGCGCCTTCTTAAGGTTCAAGTGGTTCGGTCTACCAGTCAAAGCTCTACGGTGTATAGGCGAGCTTCCCCGGGTCCCACCGTCTCCTGAAGCCCTACCTTACGAACCCCAACATTAGGGTAGAAATTCCAATGCCCTTAAACCCTAAGCCCCCAGCCTAAACCCTAAACCCTAAACCCTTTTTAAGCACGAACTAAACCCTTAACCCTAAACCCTTCACCCTAAACCCTAAACCCCGGTTAACCTCGACGCTGTCATCTGGGCACTGCCGGCGGCCTTGGCGTGGTAGGCATCGTGGGACAGGAGGAGCAGCTCCTCGTAGTCCCTCTCCTTCGCCTTTTGGGGGTTTCAGGTTTCGACTCACTCACTCACTCGCTCACTTACTTGCTGATTCTCTCTCTCTCTCTATTTCTTTGTGTGTGTGTGTGTGTGTATGTTGTTTGTTCCTCTCTCTCTCTCTCTCTCTTTCTCCCTTCACTCATGCTTGCACGGCTTCGGTAGGCCAACAGCTGAAACAGGCACTCTCGCAGTGGCAGATACGGCCAGGGACATCATCAAAGCTGCACAGGTAGGCCCAACCCTCCCGAGCCCAGTTTTCCCCTACTTAGCGTAGGAGTGCCTCACCAAGTAGAATAGGGTTTCGGGGGGGGGGGGGGGGGGGGGTAGGAAAATCTCTATAAAGGGACCATAAGGGAATACCGTTACTCCCCTTAGAACCTTAACAAAAATAGTATGTTCAATATCCTCTTGGGTTTTATGTAAACAAAAAAACCCCGGGGGATATAGATACTATTGAAAATTATTCCGACCCCTACAAGGAGGGGCCCCCTTACTATACTAACTGTAGCTAAGGGACTTATCACCTAACTTGGGATCCTTATAACCCAATTTAGGGTCCTTAGAACTCTACTTATAACGACACGGTTTAGGGTTTGGGGTTTGGGGTTTAGGGTTTAGGGTTTAGGGCCCCTCCTTGCATAGTACGCAACTGCACCTTGAAGCACCTGCGGGTTCTGGTCGGCTCCTTGAACCGTGAAGGGGGCTTGCAGGCGTTTAGGGCTGAGGCACGAAACCCTAAACCCTAAATCCTAAACCCTAAACCCTAAACCCCAAACCCCTAAACCCTAACCCTAAACCCTAAATCCCAGCAAGCCCTTTTGCACCTGACTTTCGCAGCGAGAGGAGAAAAAATTGCAGGCGCCCCCCCGTTAGAGCAGCCCTGGCACGGCTTCCCATCATAAGCCTACGTTGATCTGCACAACCCAAAGGGTCCAATGTACCTATATTGGGAGACACTTGCCCAAACCATAATAGTAATTCCTAAACCCTAAACCCTAAACCCTAAACCCTAAACCCCCTAAACCCGAAACCCTACTTTCAACTACGTAGGTACTTAGGACCCTCTGAGCAAGTCCTGCGCTGTGTTGTTCGCTGGTGTGTGCGCGCTGGTCAACGTGTTGCATGCACCTACGCAAGCTGAAGGGGGAGCTTCGAAAAATCACGGCGCCTTTTACATGCGGCACCCTGCTCCGCAGAGGTTTTGAAATGCCACATAACTTAGTAGCCCAGTAACCATATGCCCAGTAACCATATTGTAATAAGGGCAACCTTTTTCTGGTTGGTTATTTTATAAGGGAACCCAGTACCAAAAATTGGGGCAAAGGGTACCACTGGGCTACCAAGATAATATACTTAAGCTTCTACAAGTCCATATACTCTCAGGCCTCTCACAACTCTACAAAAACATACTCTCCAGTGCTTGCAGCCTGAGGTGAAACTTGAACCTCCTCAGTCATCACAAAGTCGGAGCCGAGTAGGCTCAGTCGGGGAGCACTTGGCATGCGCGGGCTTGGGAGCATCACGCAACTCAAGAGCAAATGCCGGTCGCCGGAGCTTGTTTGAACCACCTCTCAGTTGCTGAGTTCAGAAGCCCCCCAAAAAAGTGTACACTTTTTGGTTTTGTAGAGATTATGGTATCCTAAAAAGTGTAAAGTGTACTCACTCAGCTACTTCGACCTGGAGGACGCCATTGAACACAGCACGGTCGCGGTCGCTTGCGGAGCCGACTCGAAGCTCCAGCGCAGAGAAGGACAGGGCCACATCTTCTTCCCTTGCGTCGACCCAAGTGCCTTAAGGTAGCCCAGTCACCATGCCATGGTGGTTCGGGTTTAGGGTTTAGGGTTTAGGGTTTAGGGTTTGGGGTTTAGGGTTTAGGGTTTAGGGTTTAGGGTTTAGGGTTTAGGGTTTAGGGTTTCCCGTTTTGGGGTTGGCTATTTCATAAGGGTACCTTGAAGCCAATAAAAACAAAAAAAGGGGGGAAAGGGGCACCACTGGGCTACCGCGGTGCGTTCCAAGAGCGCGAGCCCAGAGCTGGAAAGTTGCTCCACAAGCCTCTTGCCAACACATGACGGCTTGGAAGATGCATGGATGACCTGGAGCTCCATGTCAACCTGGAGGGACAGGAACTTGTCCTTTGCCACGAAGCTTGTCTGCAAGTGCTCTGTTGCGCCAGCACCTTCAGACATCTGGTCTGAGTCGATGTCTACAGAACCGCAGCGCTCTCCTGCTGAGGATTGTGGAGCAAGGGTAAAGCTATCCAAGGCCTTGCTGGCCGTTAAGGAGCCTTGGTCAGTGACGTCGCGCAGGCCCAGGAGGTGCCGTGCTTCGCCGCGCGGCGTGTGATACATCACCTGGAAGACTTCTGTCTGAAACCTGTTGGAGTCGCTGTCCTTTAGATGCGTCTGGAAGGCCTGGGCATTGACGCTGTCCGCCGTGCTTTCGTCGAAGCGCCGTAGCAGCTCTGTGGCCCTTGCGGCCTCGAGTCAGGTCTGGGTAAGCACTTTTTGGCCGCCTTTCTTAAGAGATAGACCTTAAAAAGCACAGTCAGGGGTGTTTGGGGGTGGGATACAACCCTGTGGCCTGGCAGCTCTCTCTGGATTCGGGACATTAGGGGTACCCCGAGGAGTCGTTCTAATGAGGATTCTCGTTGTGAAGGGGGCCCTTACTTTGGGAAATGCCCATGTACAACGCAAGGTTGATAAAGGCCGGTGGCCTCTCTATCCGATACCCTTCTACCTTATAGTATAGCCCCTAGATACCCTCATATGACCCCTAATTATATGCGCCTGTAACACCGGATCCCTACTTAAACCCCACCGACCCATGTAATAGCAAAAGGAGGCTACTTTCGTCTGCGGGTCCTCTGCCGCGCCGGCCAGGAGGTCGGTGAAGTGCGCACCCTCGAAATCAGAGCCTCGAAAAAGCATTGCCGCCAGGCCGGGCGTGTGCTCAACCATTCGAAGATCCTCGGGAACCAAATATGAGCCCTAAAACTGAGGGTCATGTACCCTATAGCTACTAGAATTCCTCTTAAGGTAAGATGAACCATGAACCCTTTTTTAGGGTTCACTTCGTCCCCAAGGATCTTTATCTAGCTCAACCACTGCGTCGCATATGAGGTGGAGCAACGATGACGCAGCGTTGAAGTCTGATGCCATCTTCTTGTACTGGAGGCTTCGCTCGATGCGGTAGTTGAGCACCAACTGCAACAAGGCAGCGGCACAAACAACCACAAACAGTCCGGCCAACTCTCCAAATGCAATTCGAAATAGCATCGCAGTCGGCCATTCTTCTACAGCAGCCCGTAGCATGACCAGACCAGCTGGCAACAAGTTGCACGCCACAACCAGTCCAGATCTAGTCGCAATGCCAATGGCGGGTATGCGAACAAAGGAAAGCAGAAACATGGAATTCTGTGCCACACCTTCAGGCGCCACGTGCCAAGGCGACACAAAAAGCGTGCTGTAGAGCAAGACCATGACATAGATCAGATTGAGGTTTCCAACATGAAGGACGGCCGGAAATGCATCGATCAGTGCGGCGATTAAGAACATAGCCGCAATGGTCCAAGAAGTAACGCTTGGGATCGTGCGATCGCTTTCCGGCTGACGTGCACGCAGTAGGATCACACCCGAGAGCAAAGCATTGAGTACACTGAGGTATCTCATGAATACGCGTGCAACCTTCAAACGCAGCTCCTTTACCTGTTGGTTCACAAGCCTCTCATCCTCCTTCACCATAGGCCCTACCAATGTTCGTCGAACTGACCTTTGGCAACTTCGAACGACTTGCAGGAGAAATGCCCGGTTGATAAAGCCGGAGTAGGCTATTCTACATATGAATAGGACCTCAAGCGTTCCGACGACCACGATGAAACTGGCATCCAGCCTGGTTTCCAGTGAATTGGTACCAGAGTCCATCCAGCCATTTGCTGAGGGTCGTACACGCTTTCTTCCTTGCTACACAGAAGACGCCAGAGCCGAGGGCCAAGATAGAAAGATTCAAAATATTTGACCCAACCCCTCCCCCTTTTCGGGTGAACGCGCTTGAACACTTCAACTTCAACTTCAAATCATCCAGCTCTCATTACGGGGGCTATTTCTTGGGGAGCAAACGAACCCTAAATTTGGGACCACAAACCCTCCAATAGTATGATCCCTCTGAAGGTCAAATGAACCGTAAATCCCATGTTAAGTAGGGTATATGTTCCTTCTGGGGGGGGGGGGGGGGTACTCGGCATATACACGCACCAATATTCAAAAGGAACCTTGTAGACACTCACCAATCACAGTTATGTAGACCCTGTTTCACGTTTGGTCCTTCAGGATCAGGCTGAGTTTCAAAGTGCTTGGCCTGCCTTCAGCGTCCGCTCGATGCCCGCAAGCTGGTTGTCGAAACCCATGCCTTAGAGAGCCCAATGCCAGCCTAAAACCCTTAGTGGTGTCTAAACCCTAAACCCAAAACCCTGTACCCTAAACCCTGAACCAAGAACCCTAAACCCTGAACCCTAAACCCTGAACACCTAAACCCTGAACCCTAAATCCTGAGTGCTTTTCACAGTACGGACCCCTTTCAGTGTATGTGAGGTACATCTCGTACTTGAAATTACTTGAAGGGGTATTGGCTCCCGTGGCGTGCCCATCAAAACTGCATGGTCGGCAACATGCCGGGTTTAGGGTTTAGAGGTTTTGCCTATGGTATGATAAGATAGACTAGCTAGAATATCATATCATTATACCAAGAGTACTTTTGCCTGAAAAAATACCATGCATATTAAATACACTGTGTGTTTCGGGAACCTTGTGGCTTGATGTTGTATAATGCATGTATTGGCTATATACTAACGACTAATATATATATATATATATATATATATATATATAGATGGATGGATATTGAATATGTGCACTCTGAATAAGATTCCACATATCTATATCTATATATATATATATATATACACACGTGCATTGTACTATGCATGTTTGGTACATCATATATACATCATATGTGTACATTGTAGATATTATCGCTATTGACTGTGCTCTATATATGTTTCATGCTGCATCTCCTTTATATTTCGTACTATACATGTCATTTTGCATTGTTATTACTACACAAAAATTGTCTACACTTACAGCCCTCACATAGTACATGTCAAAAAAGGGATTGTGCGAAAATACACACGTGCTTCATTCTGAACCAGCCCCTGAATCCCAAGGGCAACCACCCTAAACCCACAACCCCAAACGCAATTGAACTTGGGATGTTCCCCCTTATACTAACAGTCCTTGAGGGGGACTCTAATTGGGGGTGCTATCATCCCTAAGCCCTAAACCCTAAACCATCCCAACCCCAAACCTTCAAGTGCTACAAACTCCACGATCTCCACGGCTAGGTTGCGTTCTTCCTTGAGCCTCCGAACGATGGCCTGTCTGCGGAGAAACCCTAAACCCTAAACCCTAAACCCTAAACCCTAAACCCTAAACCCTAAACCCTAAACCCTAAACTTTAAGAACATGGAGGGTTCGGGAGTTGGGGCTTTAGAGGTCAGGCTCGAGGCGCGAGATTGTTACGGCAACTGATGGGCGCGTAGGCTGGAGCTAGAGTCAGAGGGCATTTCGGGGCAGACTCTAGCTTTACAAAGCTTCGAACTAAGGGTTATAAGGAGGGACGTCTAGAAGGGACCCTCCACCTTATTCCCCTATATAACTCCTATATGTACATTGTGTCTTCCCTATATGCCTAAGTAGCCCCTAAGTAATGTAGATGCCTTTGAAGGTCCCTTAGAAGGGTCCCTCCTTTGGGTCCTTGATCCTCCTTTAGGTCCTTGATGCTAATTAAGCGTATTTCGGGTTCTAGCACGGCACAGGACCCAACATGCCAAGAAGACACGTGTATCTTGGGATGTTCGCCCCTTATACTAGCCGTCCTTAATGGGGGTTATTCATAAGGGGTAGTAGAATCCCTTATTAAGGACTGTTAGTATAAAAGGCATCCCAATATTTAAGCAGCAAACAACTCTAACACCCGCCCTCGGCCTACTGGTCGTTCCTTTTCAGGCAAGTGACAGTTGAGGCCTACCTTAAGGACCAAATTTGTCCCCTAAAAGGGTTTAGGGCCTATAGGGCTCATGCTACCTTAGCACGGATAAGACTAGCATAGGGCCCCCATTTTTTCAATCGAGTCCTCAAGGTACTTCCCGTCTGTCACAGACCCCGCCTCGTAGGTCTTCCGAATGCTCTGCGCCTGCACTTGCGTGGCGGGTATGTGCGCTGTAGGGCCCCAGCCTCCGAAATCTAGAGGACCATACAGCTCCTGGTCTTTCCTCAACATACAAGGAGGGGCCCCCCCCTGAATTGGGGTATAAGGATCCTAAATTAGGTTATAAGTCCCTTAACTGTTAGTATAGTAAGGGGGCCCCTCCTTGTAACGTGGTCAATGACGGGGCTCATGGGGGGGTGCGCCCATTGAGCCCCTTCAAGCCCCTGAACCTTACCTTGAGAACCCAAAACCCACTTTTCTTGCCTAGAATCCTATGAGGGGCAGTATTCTTATGTGATTACATCCATCAAACAAATGGAGCTTTTGGGGTTAGGGAAACTTTACACCCCTATTAGCTAAACACAAAACTGAACTTTCTACTGTAGAACCATTGTGCTATACCCTAAACAAAGTTTGAGAGCATGCTTTTTGCAAAAAGAATGTGGTTGGTTCTTTCCAGAGCAAATATGGGCGTATGCGGTTTAGGGTTTCAGGTTGATGGCATGAGGTTTAGGGTTTAGGGTTTAGGGTTTAGGGTTTAGGGTTTAGGGTTTGGGGTTTAGGGTTTGGGGTTTGGGGTTTAGGGTTTAGGAACTTCGGGATCCTGGCGCTGTAAGGGGTATGGGTAGTTCTCTAAATTAGGGTCCCTTTTAAAGGCACCCAACTATGAGGCGGCAGCCTTTAGACGGGGATCCCCAAAAAGGGGGGCCCTTATTGAGAGAACTGCCCGTATAGGGTTTGAGGGATCTTGGTTTTTTTTTTGAGAAATCTTGGGGTTCTGGCCTCGTTGTATTTGATCATCGTCTTGTCCAGGCGGTTCTCCAGTACCTGGAGCACGGCGCTGCAAAAAGAATGGAGAGGAACTAAACTCGACTTTCCGGATAGAGCCCTTGTCAGGGTCTTGCGTTTGCGGATGTGACGATGCGGTGTGGGAGTTTGGGGTACCTCTCTCCACCCCCCTGAGTCTTGGGAATTAAATCGATCGAAATAAGGCTCATGCACCACAGTAGCGGAACATTCAATGTCGACTCTCCAGTTAGCCTTGAATCCTCATCCCCAGGCCTTCTGCTACACCTTTGAAGACCTGATGTGATAAGGCATGAAGTCCGCAAACTCGCGGAGCTTCAGCCCTTTGACAAGGAATTCACACCACGAACACTGTCTGCGGGTCCGAGGCCCTTCCTGGGACTCTAATTATTGCCTGCAGTTTAGTGGCAGCCCTCCCTGAATGTATAACCCATTCAACTGTAAGTAAAGAGCGTCTCAGGTTGGCCCTAAACCCTAAGGCCTAAAAACCCATCTCCGCAGAGTCCCAAGCCCAAAAAAGTTGCGCCCACGGGCGGGTCAGGGCTGCCAGTTTAGGGTTTAGGGTTTAGGGTTTAGGGTTTAGGGTTTAGGGTTTAGGGTTTAGGGTTTAGGGTTTAGGGTTCCCTCCCCCCCCCCCCCCCCCTGCGGGAAAGGGGGGGTTGGGCTTAATTATCAGGGGGCAAGTTTGGGGGCCCTAGAAAGATTGAATTCTTCATGGCTTTACAAGGATGATATAGGGAATTCAGGAAAACTCACATTCACAAATACGTGGCTTAATAAGGAAGACGTAGGGGATTCAGGGAATTCAGGTTTACAGAATATGTTCAAGCCAACCCCCGTTATCAAGAGGCAGGCCGACAGTCCTTTGCAGCCTTGTCACCCTGATGTGTCGCATCTCCGGGGAGGCCTGCGGGTTTGGGGTTTAGGGTTTAGGGTTTGGGGTTTGGTTTAGGGTTTAGGGTTTAGGGTTTAGGGTTTAGGGTTTAGGGTTTAGGGTTTAGGGTTTAGGGTTTAGGGTTTAGGGTTTAGGGTTTAGGGTTTAGGGTTTAGGGTTTATCAGGTACCTACGCCCTACGTACTCAGATCACACTTGTAGCGGATGCAGGAAGCCTCACGCAACCTCGCAAATCCCAAGGACATTCCCCACTTCGCTAGGTCCGCGAGATGTCGCCAACATACATGCTCCTTCAACAATCCTACCGGATGGTACTGGAGCCGAAAATAGGATTAAACGCCTTTTTCCTAAAACCCTAAACCTTACGCAGGTCGGAAAAAAAGATAAAGTGGGAGCAAGGTGGTACCTGTTTTGTTGAATGGGGTACTTACGCAAGAGACAGAAAGCCCCCCCCCCAAAAAAAAAAAAAAAAAAAGAGGGGTGGGGGGGGAGAAAAGAAACCCAAAAAAAGGAAGAAGAAGTTGAGGGTTTCTTCGACTCTCGCACTTGCACTCGCTGGCAAGGCTCCAGTCCGACACTAGCAGAGGGCACTTTGGTCCGAAATAGTTATGACAACCCCAAGGCTGGCTCTCAATCCAAAACCTAAGCTTTAGGGTTCAGGGGTTTGGGGTTTAGGGTTTAGGGTTTTCCCGCCACCCAGATCCACGGGGCCATTGCAGAGATGAAGAAATGCAAAAGCTTCTGCCCAACTTAGGAGGCTTTGTACCTGGGACTCTCGTTACCTACAGTTCATAATGGGTTTAGGGTTTAGGGTTTGATGGGTTCTACCTGCTACTGAAGGGGTGGTTGCTGCAATACTGTAGGTCAATAGAGTCCCAGGTAGGGCTTGGTACGCTTAGCACTGCTTTCCCGAGGCTTATTTGCGTAGGGGGTTCCTAGACCCCACCTTTAGAGCCCAGAACCTTCTGTTCTTGTGGGTTACCTCTAAGAATCTCACAAGGGGCTTTTTAGAATGAGAGCCTACAAACATGTAGGTTCTCTGGACGTTCTTAAGGTAAACCCTGAACTGGCAGGGCCTGCCTCGCTGGAATGCATGGTCGCTCCCATTGAAAGCTCTGACATCTTGATGGACAACCTTAGGTTGCTCTCCAGAAGGGTTTAGGGTTTCTGGTAATCTGGGGGAATGTAAAGGTTGACCTTTAACCCTTCCTAGGAGGTACCAGTCCCTCTGTAGGAGGGTCCTTGGAGCCTTCGGGCAATAAGGGTACTTGAGGTTGCAAGTGGTTCTGAATTCAGTTATAGTCGGGTTTGAAGCCCTAAACCCTGAACCCTGTAACCCTAGACCGGGCAAATCGACAACCTAAACCCTGCATCCTAAACAAATCTCACACTCCCATCCGCCTGAACCCTGAACCCAGACAAGCCCTACACCCTTCAAAACGATGGAGCTGCGTGGTCGTAGGGATTGTGGGACATATGATATGTCGCACTACGGTCTGGGGGTTCATGGGTCTAATATTGAGGTTTACGATGTTAGGGGGGTACCTTCTTGGGGTCCTTCTTCTATTTGGGGGGGGGGGGGGGGGGGGTCTATATTTGGGGTCCCGTATTTTCCGTAAGCCCCCATATGACTCACGGGGCCTTATTCGGATGTTATGGGTTTCGCTGCTCCAGGGTGTGGACTCTGGGGTTCATAAGTCTGACACAGTTGGCCTTGGGGCATCCCCCCGTATGCTAGCAGTCCATAAGAGGGATTAGAATAGGGGGTACTAGGACCCTAAACCCTAACCCTAAACCCTAAACCCTCGACCTTAGTTATCATCCCTATCAGGGACTCTTAAGTACAAGGGGGAGCATCCCAAGGCTGGAGGCCCAAGTGAGTTTTTTCAACATCGCATGCTGGGTCAATGCTGCGTCGGTCTCTCTCGCGCTGGGTCGCCCCGAAGGAGCATCGAGAACGTTAGTTCGTAAAGCGCCCTAAAACCCTAAGCCCCTGTAAACCCTAAACCCCTAAACACCACTCAAAGACATTGTTGGTACTCCACGGAAAGTTTCGGGCTCTTTGATGTAAGTTTAAGGACTCAAAGCCGGCCCATAAACCCGAGCATTGTTCCAAGAGATACCCTCATACCCGAAACCCTAAACCCTAAACCCTAAACCCTAAACCCTAAACCCAGCAAGGGAAAACCCAAAATGACCTACAGCAGGGGCTTCATCTCGGGAATCGGGACACCGGCCAGAGCCCCACGAAGGTGCCCCATGGAACCCACAGACCCCCAAGCGAACCCTAGCAACCTCACAAGGGGGGTTTAGGGTTTAGGGTTTAGGGTTTAGGGTTTAGGGTAATTATAAGGGTTGAGGGTTTCGAGCTCCCCCACAGCGGGCCCTTGAAAGCTGTACACTTCGCAGCACCAGGTGCTTTCAAAATCACTTCGCATCGGGCGCTTGCAGCAGCAGCGGGAACCAACAATAGACCCGAAATCCTAAACCCCACGTTGAACCGGAAACCCTAAACCTTTGTTTTGCAGCAGGTCTCCTCAGGACAACCCATGACCCTAAACCCGATAAAACCTATAAACCCTAATAGACCCCCAAGTTGCTTCTGTGTGCGAAAGTGCTCTCAAAGAAGACCCATCTATCCTTACAACCGCGATTCCATACCCCGAGGCATAACCCTCGCCGGACCTCCAAATAGCCGAACATATGGCCAGTTGGGCCGGGCCACGATTATGGGTGCTGCAAGGAGGTCAGGTAAGAATCAGGGCCTGCTCTGGGTCCCAGCTACCCTAAACCCGAAACAGTGCAAAAATGGAATAAGGGCCTACTCTGGGTCCTAGATGCAGCCTGTCGTAATCCTCGCAACGATCTGCTGTGCAAGCAAGTTGAAAGGTCGCACGCCTGCTTCTCTGAATGCTGCGCGTGGGGACCCCTAAACCCCCAAACCCTCCAAGCAAATCCCCCAACTCTTGACAACCCTAAACCCTAAACCCTAAAACCCAGAAACCCAGTAGCTGTGCTGCTCTTGGGGTCCCCCTTGTGAAGCAGAAGCTGGGAGGGGGCGGGCCGGCGGGCCGGCTAAGAGTTAAAGTTTACCCTAAACCCTGAACCCTAAACCCTAAACCGTTGAAAGCATGGAGGAAGAAGCCACAACTTCGCAGTTCTGGACAACACGAAGTAGCACTACGATGAGATCTTTCTCTTTGTTCTTCGAACATAACCTGGGCTTTAGGGTTCGCAGGTCTTGGGTTTAGAGCTTCGAAGAGTTGGCACCATGCACGCCCGGCACAGCATTCAGAATCGTCTTGCCGGCAGGAAAACACGCCCTGCCACCAGCAATGCGGGCAATGTGTGCAACCCACGGTGTCGGATGCATAGCGGATTCCGGTGGCCCGACCTATCTAAGGGACGCACCCTTAACCCTATCTCAGACCTGCCTAATAAGGCCTATAATCTCTATATATAGACCCTATTATAAACCCCTGAACAGCCCTACATGTCCCCTAAAACCCCAAAACCCTAACATCCTGACACGCTTCAACCTCTAAACCCTAAACCCTAAACCCAAAAACCCTAAAACCCTTCAACTTCTAAACCCTAAACCCTAAACCCTAAACCCTAAACCCTTCAACCTCTAAACCATAAACCCTAAACCCTTCAACCCCCACAAACCTTTAAACCCTGGCATGCTAGCTTCTGTCTCGTAGGCGCGGCATCAGGCGGCCGAAGATCGTGGACATGCCGCTCCAGGCCTTCAAGCTCAGGGGTTCTTCTCTCTTTAGTTTTAGGGGTTTCAAGGGTTTAGGGTTTAGGGTTTAGGGTTTAGGGTTTAGGGAACCTGGGTCTCTAAGGGTTTTGTGTAAGATTTTATTAAGGGGTTTCAAGGGCTTAGGGTTCAGGGAACGTGGGGCTATAAGGGTTTCGTGTAAGATTTTAAGGGCTTCGGGCTCAGGGTGTGAAGGCTTTCAGGCTTCAAGGCTTTAGAGCTTTCAGGCCTCTGAGGGTCTTGGCTTTAGGGTTTAGGGTTTAGGGTTTAGGGTTTAGGGTTTAGGGTTTAGGGTTTAGGGTTTAGGGTTTAGGGTTTAGGGTTTAGGGTCCATTTTCGGGGATTCGGGGCTTTGGGTTTTGGAGGATTAGCATGACGTCATGGCCATGCTTCTTACCCAGACCCCTTGGAGGATCTAAAACCAACCCCCAAACAGTACCGCAATACTACTATTGGGTCGTTCTTAGGGTTTAGGGTTTAGGGATAAGGAGATCTACTTCTTGGTTCCTGACAGGGGTCTGGGTAGTTGAGGCATTGGTCTCTGTTGTCGTAGGCCACAAAGCTTTGATTTGGGAGGCATTCCCGGCTGCGGTTTAGGGTTTAGGGTTCAGGGTTCAGGAGCGCTTTCGGGAGAGTGGCATTCGACGTGTGAAGTAAGCCAAGGCGCCAGACGGTTCCAAAAGTGGAAGAATGCGGCCACGTGCTGATACCTCGGCTGTACGACCTAATGCGGGGGTGAGTCGAAGCTCCACAAATGCCGAAAGCGAGACCCGCACAAGCAACCTAACACCTGACGTTCCTAGCCAACGAGGCTCGGACAAACCAACGGACAGTAATGAGCTGTCCGTGACACAGCCTTCGAAAAGTCCAGACAGAAGCCATGGGCAGCAAAACTCAAAGTGCACGATGATGCCTAGAGACCTCAAAAGGCCCCAAATAACAACCCTACATGCAACGTAAACCCCCACCGCCCACACCAATCCCTGACCACATGTGACGAACCACCCCTGCAACCTCAATCTCCTAGCCACCGTAAAGCCCCACACGTTTCTCGAAACCCTGAGGCCTAAACACCCCCCCCTCCCCCCCACACCCGAAACATCCCAAGCCCCGCACCAAACACTAAATGCTCCGAAACACACTATAGGCACTAAATGCTGGACAGCCAAAAGCTCCCGCAAACACCCAGAACAAGACAAAAAACACCAACCCTAAACCCTAAACCCTAAACCCTAAACCCTAAACCCTAAACCCTAAACCCTAAACCCTAAACCCTAAACCCTAAACCCTAAACCCTAAACCTACACACACAGAGGCCGAGCTGCAGCGAGCCCAGAAGCCCAGGCGCCGGCGGCGCTGTGGCTGTCGCTGCAGCCCGCGGCCTGGAAGAGCGCGCTTACGAAAGGCTTAGGGGTTCTAGGGTTCAGGGCTTATAAGGGTTTAGGGTTTAGGGTTTTTTTGGCTTAGGGTTTAGGGTTGGGATTTTGTTGCCAGGGTTTTTTTGTCGCGAGCTCTATCTGGCTACGTCGGGAAAAACGGCGCCTCCTGATTGCAGCAGAGATATGGTCTTCCCCATCAGCTTTCGCGAGGACATCCTACCAAGCCGATAAACCAACTGATCCCATCATCAACTCATATTCAAACCAGTAGCTACATGGAACCCATTCTCGCGTTGATCCGCAGTAGGGTGTAGGGTTTCCAGTTGAGTTTTTTTTGCCACCCGCCAAGAAATCTGGCCGCACTGCAGGGAATCAACTTCGGGCTGATTGACAAAGTGCTACGATTTCTCAAGACCCACGCAAACTGGGGCACCCCACTGCTTCTCAAGAACAGACCCAAACACACTGCCGGCTTCCTCAAGTCAAGTCTCCCAAGACAGAGAGGGTTTAGGGTTCAGGGTCCCTAACCCCTAAACCCTAAACCCGAAACCCTAAACCCTAAACCCGAAACCCTAAACCGTGCAAAGGAGCCTTGCAAACCCTTGGCAAACCCGGCCTCGGCTCGGCCTTGGGCGTGGGCTTGGCCTCGGCACTGGCCTCGTAGGCTGAGGGAACTGCGCTGCAGGGGCTGTCCGCGACCCCAAGCCCTAAACCCTAAACCCTAAACCCTAAACCTAAACCCTAAACCCTAAACCCTCAACCTTCAACCGCCCTAACCCCTGAACAATGCATATACCTGCCACAAGAAAGTAAGCTTAAGGCTGCCTTGTTAAGGGTCAACCGGGAGCCTCCCGGTCCATGAGAGAGCACAGATTCTGGATTCTGGAAGGGGGTTTAGGGTTTAGGGTTTAGGGTTTAGGGTTTAGGGTTTAGGGTTTAGGGTTTAGGGTTTAGGGTGACCTACGCAACGGAGCCAGACAGCGACCAAAACTGGAACTGAAGCAAATTGCCTCAGCTCGGACAGCCCCACAAGACGACTTATTTTTAGGGGAGCACAGGAACACTAAAAGGCCTTCTGGTTCATATAACTCTCGGAATATAGCAGTATAGGGTATACGATCCCAATTTGTTCGGTTCATTTGTTCCCCAGGGAGCATAACCCCAAGCCCTTTTGCGCTCCGCTCTTCGCCGAAGCCCTGAACTCCATAAACCCCAAGATCTATAGACTCTGAACCCTGAACGCTAGCCCCAAACTCTGAACCCCAGACCGCAAACCCTAAACCCCAAAACTGAATTCCCAAGCCCAAATCTCACGGGACTCCTTGGCATCAGCGCTGCCCGCGCCAAACATGCCTTGGAAATTTGACGGCCAGAGGCTAGGGGCCGTGGGCTTTTGGGTTTAGGGGTTTAAGGGTGGGTTTAGGGTTTAGGGGTTTAGGGGTTTCGGGGTTCAAGGGGTGTAGGGCTTCGGAATACAGCGGTTTAGGGTTTCGGGGACATAAGGGTCTGGGGTTTGCTCTTCAGCGCTGTCTCTGGTATCCGAGCAGGGGCCGTGAGGTCTAGGGTGTGGAGCTTCGGGTTTCCGAGCTTCGACTCCCTAAACCCTAAACCCTAAACCCTAATCCCTAAACCCTATCCCTTAGAAACCATACAACTCGATCTCACGGACCAGACCGGCAGCTGGCTGTGGCAGAGTTGTGCTGACATGCTTCAGCCCCAAACCCTAAACCCTAAACCCTAAACGGAAAAAGCAAACGAAGTAAGGACGCAAGCCCTCGCCAAGACTTGTTTCCGGGCTGGCGCCTGGACATAATGGGGCTTACGAAAATCAGGGACCCCAAATAGGAGTCCCCGAAAAAGTAAGATCCTCTGATAGTAAGGACCCCAATAAGGTACCCCTAATTTCGGAAACTCGGGGTGCGCTTTTCCGGCTCACATTGATGCATCGCCGGACCTCTTACGCCCTCCCCAGGATGCAACGTCTGCGGAGGGTGGAGTATCTTGGAGCCCCTAATTCCTAAACCCAAAACCCTGAACCCCAAACCCCAAACCCTAAACCCTGAACCCTGAACCCTAAACCCTGAACCCTAAACCCTAAACCCTTATGTTTAACTCCCAAACCCTGTGCGAAAAGAACTCAAGTCCACGGCTGAAACGCAGAGCGTTGAGCTTTGAGCATGCCTCCCTGCTGACGAAGGTTGCGGGGTTTGAGTAAGGTCGGCCGATTGAGGGTTTAGGGTTTAGGGCTAGGGAGGACCGGGTGCTTTCTGCGTAGGCTACTACTTGCTTAGCAAGCCCCCAAACCTAACGATATACCTCCGTATAAGCGCAATACATGGATGATTAGTTATGTTTCTTGGGGCTCTGTAAGCAAATAGTAGAGGCTGCAAAATGCAGAACTCATGGCTTCCATCTTTTCATTCAAAGGCTCATGGGTCAGTTCAGGGCTGTCGGGTGCTTGTTGCGAAGAAAGCTGCCCCTAAACCCTAAACCCTAAACCAAACCCTAAACCCTAAACCCTAAGCAGAGCAGGCAGCCAACTGCGCACAATTACACCCTAAACCCTAGACCCCAAAACCCCGAAACCCTATAAACCCTAAACCCTCAGCGCTAAACCATGTAGGGCCAAGAAAGAGAAACACCAGAGACAACGCAGCCAGGCCAGTCCCACAAAGGCCCGACTCCAGGCGACCAAGCTGCTGGCATAGACCTCTTTGCTTTTCTTGGTGGCCTCCTTCCTGGGATGCCCACTGAGGGCCCTAAACCCTAAACCCGAGACCCTAAACCCTAAACCCACTACGTGGTTTTTCCCAGGAATTTACGATAACATGGATATTAGAAGCACGTCAGATGAGTGCTTCGAAACTCATCAGGATTTGCTTTCTGAAGGGAGGCTTTTTGCTGTATATCGGGGGACTGAGTATTCTGACAGCTTCCGTGTCGTTCCTCCTGATTCTGGGACTTTCTCCTCATGCGTTTCCCTGGTATCCTCTCTCTACTACCACCTCCTCGGTGCTCCGGAAGACAATTTTCGAGCTTGGGGAGCAAATGTTGGGCTTTGGGCTTTAGAGCAAATTTTGGGCTTCGGAGCTCATTTTGGGGTTTGGAAGCCTTTAAGGGGTCGGGTGCCAGCGCACCAGCATCAGTGCTTGGTGGCGTCGATGGACTGGCAGGCAGTTCGGCTACACTGGTCTCACGTTTAGGGTTTGGGGTTTAGGGTTTGGGGTTTGGGGTTTGTGGTTTGGGGTTCAGGGTTTGGGGTTTGGGGTTTGGGGTTTAGGGTTTTAGGCTTTAGGGTTTGGGGTTTGGGGTTTAGGGTTTAGGGTTTGGGGTTTGGGGTTTGGGGTTTGGGGCTTAGGGTTTGGGGTTTGGGGTTTAGGGTTTGGGGTTTGTGGTTTTGGGTTTTGGCTTTTGGGTTTGGGGTTTGCGGTTTGGGGAACCGCCTTGGGGGGGGGGGGGGGTTGTATAGAGAGGTGTAGTAACCCCATATCCTAAACCCTAAACCCGACTATAGAGGGGGGTTAGTAGGGGAACCCATGATGTCCTGAACCCTAAACCCTAAACCCTAAACCCTAAACCCTAACCCTAAACCCTAAACCCAAGATTCTGGGCTGTGGCCGCCTGACGCAGCAACAGCTTGGCATCGCGGTTGTCGGCATCCAGCCTTACCCCCCACGCGCGGTGTTTAGGGTTTAGGGTTTAGGGTTTAGGGTTTAGGGTTTAGGATGTATGGCTCAGGGCTTCCCAGAGTCCAACCATCCCGTAATTTGTGGTCATTTTGGGGACCCTGGCCGTTTGAGGCCTCTATTGGGCGCCAGCAGGTCCTTAAGGCTTAAGATGGGTTGAGGGTTTATCTATAGGGTTCCTACAGGGGCCAAAGCAAATCATCAGAAACAGAAGGACTCCACAAACATGGGTTTTTTCCAGAATCCCACGAAAAGGGCCCTTGTTTGTACCTTATGTGTATGTGGCTTTTGGGGCCAAAGGGTCCGAAGTACCTACATAATTAGTAGAAAGTAGGGTTTCTTTAACAGGAATTGCTGTTCTGGTTTGGGCCAGCGTCTCCCATAAAGGTACTTAGGACCCTTTGGGTATCGCCGGCCCCTTGAGAGGTTTCGGCCAGTAACTGGAGGACGCGCTTGCAGTCGGCGATGCATTCGACGAAGTTCTTCAGCCCAATCTCTGCCTGGCGCGGAGGTTTTGACGGCTAGGACTTCAAGGCCAAAAGGCATTTGTTCTTGGAGGTTTAGGGTTTAGGGTGTAGGGTTTGGGAGTTTGGGTTTACACATGGGGTTCAGGGCCAGGAGGTATAGGACTGAGGTTGAGGGTTTATTCCTTTTTGCGTTTCGGGCTTGGGAAGAACCTCAACCCTAAACCCTAAACCCCACATCTTTCATCACCAGGCTTCGACCATCAAGCAAAAGGGGAGAGTGACGGCGTGTTCCAAGCTGATACCCGAATCCTAAAAACCCTAGACCTCTTGGTAGGCCAGCTAGTAGTAAGGGCACCCGTTTCTTGGGGTTGGTTACTTTGTAAGGGAACCTTGAACCAAAAAAGTGAAAGGGTACGACTGGGCTACCAAGGCCTAGGGTAGAAGAGTCTAGGCAGGGTTTCGAGGGCCTTAGCAGACACTTCATGGCCTCGCACGCCGAAGCTCGACCCTAAACCCTAAACCCTAAACCCTAAACCCTAACCCTAAACCCTAAACCCTAAACCCTAAACCCTAAACCCTAAACCCTAAACCCTAAACCCTAAACCCTAAACCCTAAACCCTAAACCCTAAACCCTAAACCCTAAACCCTAAGCAGCCAAATCCCCAGTCCTGGCATTTACGTCCGTTGCGCTCAGAGCCTGCCAGCAACTAATGGAAACACCTTGCGAAAGCTAATATGGGGCCTGAATCATTAGAATAAGGTTTAGGGGAGATTATCGTATTATAATCAAGGGACCCTACAAGGGAATACTCTTTCAAATTATTCCGACCCCTATATTTGGGTTTTGGGTTTCGGTTTTTTGGAGGAAACCCAAAAAACCCGACACCCTAAACCCTAAACCCTTCGAAAGTGATATACGCAAGCATGAAGAGTCACAAAGACTGAAGCCATGCCTAACGTGGATGCCACGGAAGTTACGGAACTGCCTCTGACAACCCCCTGCTGCTTATGGAATCCTCTCCCTAAACCCTGACCCGAACCCTAAACCCTACATCCTCGCCCTAAAACCTAAATTCGAACCCTAAACCCTAAATCCTCTCGCTCAACCATAAACCCGAACCCTAAACCCCAAACTGCTTTTTTGGAAGAGCCGTTCTGCGGTGTCGAGTCCTGCCTGCGCTCGGCGGAACAGCGCTTTGAGGTTGTCGCCCTGCTGCTCCAAGACCTCGGCTCTGCAAGATTTCGGGTTTCAGGGGGGGTTGGGGGGAAGGCTTGGAAGTTCACAAGGGTTTAGGGTTCAGGTTTAGGGCCTTTAGGATTTAGGGCTTAGGGTTTTGGGTTTAGGAGTACTCAGACCCGAACCATGAAGCCCCAGACAAGCCCTAAGCCCTAAGCCCTAAGCCCTAAACCCTAAACCCTAAACCCCAAACCCTAAACCCTAAACCCTAAGCCCTAAACCCTAAACCCTAAGAAACCGAAGCCTTCGCTGCGGCAGCTTTCGCCCAGCGGCAAGCTCGCAAGCGGCCTTTGCCTCGTTGAAGCACTGGAGCTTTAGCAGACCTGAGCGCTTGTCTGCATTTACTGATATATTTATTTATTTATATATAGATACATATATATATATATAAACACACACACACACACATATATATATATATATATAGATACAGATATAGAAATAAAGATAAAAAAATAAATATCTGTCTATATGTATTTTACCTATTTAGTTGTTTTTTTTGTCGGGGGGGGAGGGGGCTAAAAGGGTGCAGGGCTCTTTTCTCCTAGTTCAGACAAGAGATCTTGCGCCCTTTTGGGGCCACTTTCGCCTGCGAGCATCAACCCTGCTAGGATGGGTTTAGGGTTTAGGGCTTAGGGTTTAGGGTTTAGGGTTCAGGGTTCAGGGTTCAGGGTCTTGGGTGGGGGGGGCGGGGGTTAGGATTCATAGAAGGAGGCGCAAGAGCCTGTATAGGGATGTGTATGAGACCACATGACCCCCCCCCCACAAAACAAAATTGGGTCATGCTACCCTCTTGTACTGATTCCTATTACAAGTAGGGTATATGAACCCTAAAACCCTAAAATACTACGATAAAACCCTTTTAGGGTATATTAAACCTCAAAGTACTCCTTGCAGGCGCCCACTGACACATCCCACCGTCAGGGTCATCCAGGAGGAAAACATGCAGCGGCTGAACGCAAGTGAGTGTAAACCCTAAACCCTAAACCCTAAACCCTAAACAAGCACGAAGCAGCTAAACTTTACCCAAGCGACAGGCGGCCGAGTTGAGATTGCAGGTCAATTTCAGATTCTCCGCCTTACCTCAGCTTGGGTCCGGCACATCAAGCCGACAACTCTCAACTCCGAGTCTTGGGGTTTAGGGTTTAGGGTTTAGGGTTTAGGGTTTAGGGTTTAGGGGCTTCAGAACCCTGAAGCCTGGACCCAGACATGGGCCTTTGGCGAGTCCATCTATGCTCGCCTCAGGGCAAAAGAAGCGAGGTTTAGGGTTTAGGGTTTAGGGTTTAGGGTTTAGGGTTTAGGGTTTAGGGTTTAAAGAAGCGATGCCCAAAGGGTCCATCAATTTTCTTGCACCAAAACTGAACCCGAACCTGCCCCTCCTGACAAAAGCAAAACTGGACAACTGGCACTGCTATTTGCTGAATACCCCCCCCCCCCCAAAAAAAAAAAACACTAATCCCTTTAGTACCCTTACAAGGAAGAACATTTGTTCATAATCGTAGGGCATTCTTTCCTGGTGTTTAACCAAACATCGCCAAAATCCTGCCTGGCAACCTTTGAAGCCCTAAGCCCTAGGCCATACTCCACACCCCCTCCCCAAAAACCTGAACCCTAAACCCTAAACCCTAAACCCTAAACCCTAAACCCCACACCCTAAACCCAAAACCCAAAACCCTGAACCCTTCACCCCTGTTAGAGCCTTGAGGGAAGCCACTCTTGGCCTCACCCTCCAGCTCTGCAATCGCCATGTAGCTCAGCATGTCCTCTGGGGGTTTAGGGTTTAGGGTTTAGGGTGTAGGGTTTAGGGTTTAGGGTTTAGGGTGTTGGGTGTAGGGTTTAGGGTTTAGGGTTTCGGGTTTCGGGTTTAGGGTTTCTGGTCCCCCCAAAAAAAGGTGCTTCCTGCTGCCGGAGCTCAGACACTGCTTGGTAGTTCTTCGTGGCCATGGCCCAGCGCTGGGCCTTAAACCTCGGCTTACTTGGAGGTTTAGGGCTTAGGGCTTAGGGCTTAGGGCTTAGGGCTTAGGGTTTAGGGTTTAGGGTTTAGGGTTTAGGGTTTAGGGTACTTAATAACCAATTATCACTGTACTTGCAACCCAATTATAACCCTGTTAGGGCACATAAGGGGCTTATACGTGGGTGATAAGTGCGGTTATAACTGGTTAACACGTACCATGAACCTCCAGGTAGGTCCTCTGACGTCCCTTGCCAAGTGTGGGATTTATGACACAGGCACCGTGGCCCTCAAATACCAACGCTAGACCCTAATGAAACCCTAAACGCCTAGCTAGCAGGGGTGAGAGAGTCATGGGGCACTGAAACCCTGAACCCTAAACCCTAAACCCTAAAATTAACAGGGGTGTGAGAGGGGAGGGGGAGGGGGGGGGGTGAGTAAAATGCCTGGACCAGAAATAGCCCGGAAGCAGTTTGGTGCCGGTGTCCTTCTTGGAAGCTGCGCGCTCCATCTTCCTGGGCTTTTACCCTCTCAGAGTATTAAGATATCATGCTAATCAGTATATAACGGTAATGGTGTTTCGCATAATAGAACCATAATCGTACTACAGCTCATGGAAAACATAAGACTTGAACAATACTACTTTCGAGCTGGACGTCTTGTGACGTCTGTCCGAGAAACAGACCTTAGAACCTCGAGCAATGGCTGTGGGGAAGAATCGGGCTGCAAAAAAGAACCTAACAGCCTAAACCCTGATTACGGCTAGGACTACTGCACTGCCTGCCTGGGACGAAAACCATGCCATTCGAGAGCGGGCAACGCCCCTAAACCCTAAACCCTATATTCTAAACTTCAAGTCCAAGCGGCTCCTCCGGCGACAGGCTGAAAGCATGCTTCGCGGGCTCAAAGTCTTCTAGCACCTCAAAGGGGGGTTCGCAGGAAAAGAAAAGGCTTCTGCACCCTGTGCTCAGAGAAGGAAAGGGTTTTGGGTTTTGGGTTTTGGGTTTAGGGTTTAGTGTTTAGGGTTTAGGGTTTAGGGCGTAGGGCTTAGGGCTTAGGGTTTATTGTTTAGGGTTTGGGGTTTGAGGTCTCAACCCAAACCAGGCGCTTCATGCTGCTTTCGGGGTTGTGGCAAAAACGATGGGAACATACGGGAACCCTCAACAGAAGCAGCCCGACCCTCTAGCCATAGCCATGGATCCTTAGTTTAGGGTTTGGGGTTTATAGGCTTTATGGATAGGTCTACGGGGACCCCTCGTGTTTCTTCACACAGACAGGTCTTTCACGTCGTGTTTGCCGAGCTGTCAGCAGTTGAAGGGATCGGGATCGGCCAGTTCAATTTTACAACTCCTGGAAATACAGCAAACGCCACTGGCTCCTGCAGCTAAAATCGCTTCACTATGTAGCTTACCCTTGTCTAGCTGACCCCAGGCCTCCCCCCACAAACATACAAATCGGAAAGAAAATAGTCCGAGCGCCGCCGCGGGGGGGGGGGGGTCCCCTTGCGACGTGGGTCTGGTGTTGAGCGCCCAGTTGTGCGAAGTCCCCCCCGCCCCCGCAACCCCAAAGCCGAAACGCCCAACCAGCCCGGAACCTGAAACCCGAATCCGGATCTGAATGCCTCTCCCCTTTTGCTGGTTTGAAAGGCGAGGAGAGACAGTTTTAGCATTAGGGAGCCAGTAGCCAATCTGACGTCTGCAGGTCCAACATGAAGACTTCACTCCTCCCTCACGCCTCTAAACCCTAAACCCGAAACCCTAAACCCCGAACCCCCTTCCCCCCCCCCCCGTCCCCACCAGGGTCAAGAGCACTTCATCCACGCCCTGGGCTGCTCATGGGACTATAAAGAAGGGGCGCTTCTAAGGGACCTTAGAGGCGTTATTTAGACGTTATGTAGGGGGCTACTTAGGTATAAGACTGTAAGTTTAAGGCAAGAGCCGCATGAATCCCCTCCCCCTACTATGAAATGCCCCCAGTACCGATATATCAGGGCAGATGTGGGGATAGTTCAACTACTTAAGGGAAATGTCGAAGCTCATGGAGAAATATTCGCCATTTCCGCGCAAAGAAAGATACATAATTAATACACATAATATAACTATATACTATCCTAAACGAAGTCATGTAAGTTTGCATTTACTTCTGTCTACATGTTCATGCTAAGCGTGCCATCTGTACATTCCAGAATGAACATCATGAGCAACGCTTAACTGCAGCTGGCAATAGCAATTGGGTGCTGTCAGCACAGCGCGCCTACTCATTGAGACACCCTGAACCCTAAACCCGAAACCCTAAACCCTACACCCTAAACCCTAAACCTAAACCCTAAACCCTAAACCCTAAACCCTAAACCCTAAACCCTAAACCCTAAACCCTAAACCCTAAACCCTGAACCCTGAACCCTAAACCCAGGCCGAGGCTCCAAATTCTCCAGGCCCAGACGAGGCTCTGCAGCCTGTGCCGGCTGCTGCACCCGCAGCTCTGCCTGGTTCAGGGAGTTTAGGGTTTAGGGTTCAGGGTTCGGGTTTCGGGTTTGGGGCGTAGGGTTTAGGGTTTAGTTAGAGGGTTTGAGGGTCGCCGAGGGTGAGGCGAGTAGATGTAGGTTTACTTTTCTTTAAGTTGTTTTTGTTTTTTTGTTTTTTCCTCTCTCTCTCTCTGTTATATCTATAAATATATAGTGTTGCGTTTCCTTGTGTTTTGCAGTGTTTGCGGAGGTACTTTGCTCGTTTTGTTTTGCTAAGGGCGTGTTCTTGTTAACGTTTTCGGGCTTTTTAGAAGCTACGTTGCAGCATTTCTGCATTTCAGGGCTTGGGGAGAATTTTTATAGGGGCCATGCGGGAATACTAAAAAGTACTTATTCCGACCCCTATATTCATCCTTGGCGCCTTCTCTTCCTTCTTCATCTCCGCTGTGCAGAACTCAAAAGCATCGGTCACTTCGCCTTCGCCAGCTACGAACTCCAGGACCTGCGTACAAGGAGGCGCCCCCTTACTGTACTAACTGTAGTTGAGGGGCTTATAACTTAAACCCTAAACCCTCAGTGCAGAGCCCCAGAGAGGCTAAACCCCCCCCCCCAGCCCCCAGCCCCCTGGGTTGCTCAACAGATGGCAACGAAGAGGAAAAAGAGCGCGCCGGCATGTTCAGTAGGAGCGCTAACTCCACAAAGACTAAACCACAGCCACGGTTTAGGGTTTAGGGTTTAGGGTTTAGGGTTTAGGGTTTAGGGTTTAGGGTTTAGGGTTTAGGGTTTAGGGTTTAGGGTTTAGGGTTTAGGGTTTAGGGTTTAGGGTTTAGGGTTTAGGGTTTAGCAGCCGGGTAGAATGCCCTTGCACCCACGATTCCAAGCCCTCAGAAAGCCCCCGCCTGCGGCTCAAAGCATGGGATGGCCTTCCTTGTCTTTGGGTTTTACAAGGAGGGGCCCCCTTACTGTACTAACTGTAGTTGAGGGGCTTATAACTTAAGTTAGGATCCTTATAACCCAGCTTTGGGTCCTTATAACTCTACTTATAACTAGGGGGGCCCCTCCTTGTAGGCTTAAAAGCGGCTGAGCGAAGCCAGGGAAACAATTGACAAGTAAGGGGAAAGAAGCGAAGCAGCATGAACTACCCTCCCTAGACCAAAGACCCTGTTGTAATTCCTGCTTGGGTACCAGCCAAATATACTCCGGTTTGCAACAGAACCCTAAACCCTAAACCCTAAATCCTACAAACCCTAAACCCTACCCCCCCCCCCCACACAAAAGGGAGTACCGGAACAACCGGAAGCCCTAGAATATCAACCCTAAGGATTTAAGAGCCCTAGGCCCTAACGCCTTCATGCACAGATATAGTTATAAATACATAAAATGATTATATATATATATATATATATATCAGTTTACGAAAATTTGGGACCCCCAAAATACACCCCCCCCCCCAAAAAAAAAATAGTAGGATTCCCTTAGAATAAGGACCCTGATAAGGTACCCTCTACCTTCGGAAACCCCCATATGTAAACAACATGCTGCCCTGAGCCGAGTACACCCCAAGGGCTTTTGACTCCCTCGGATCACCCTACAAACCCCCAAGGGTGATCCCAGCTCTAACGGGGGCCCCAAAAGGGACATAAACATAAGATTCTATACATAGAGGGTCTTCCGGAACTTCCAGAATCCCCCCTTGCAGGAGCCCCTTCTGCCCCAATAGTAGGATCCTTATGTTCATGTGGCTTTTGGGCCCCGCCGGGGCCCCAAACCCTAAACCCCAAACCCCAAACCCTAAACCCTAAACCCTAAACCCTAAACCCCCAGAATTGGGAAGAAGGTTCTTCGCAGCATCGGCTGCCAATTCCACCCGGAGGCGAACTTTGCTGCCATCCTGGGGGGTTTAGGGTGTTTGGGCAGGGTTTGGGTTTAGGGTTTAGGGTTTAGGGTTTGGGGTTTAGGGTTTAGGGTTTAGGGTTTAGGGTTTAGGGTTTAGGGTTTCTGCTTTAGGGTTTAGGGTTTAGGGTTTTTTGTTTAGGGTTTAGGGTTTAGGGTTCAGGGTTCAGGGTTTAGGGTTTGGGAACTTAGGGTTTCGGGCTCAGGGTGTTCAACTGGGAGCCTTCCGCAAGGGGCTTAGGACTTCTAGGGGTTCACGGGTGAGGGCATGTGGCCAAAGCTGGAAGTGTCCCAAGTCCCAGATGGATTGCTGTCTTTTCCTCCCCACCCCCCAGCCCCCAGCACATTCTGCAGCCCTAAACATGCTTTTTTGGCTGGTACGACAAGGGGCCCCCCTAGTTATAAGTAGAGCAAGGACCTCCTAATTTGGGTTATAAGGAGCCTAAATTAGGTTATAAGTCCCTGAACTACAGTTGGTAGAGTAAGGGGGCCCCTCCTTGTGTAAGCCAAAGAAGAAGCAACCCTCCGACACATTGTATGGCAGTACTGTAGCAGTACTGTAGCCCTAAACCCTAAACCCCAAACCCGAAACCCTAAACCCTAAAACCCTAAACCCCAAACCCCAAACCCCAGCCGTCCTTGGGCTTCTCATGGCCCTCCCCTTCGACAATTTGCTTCTTCAGCAGAGTCTTGTCCTTCCTTGGTCAGGAACCATATTCGAATCAGGGCACCTTTTTTGGGGGGTTAGTTACTTTACAAGGGAACTTGAACCAAAAACCAGGAACCATATTCTACTAAGGGCACCCGTTCTTTGGGTTGGTTTCTTTACAAGGGAACCCGGAACCCTAAAAACAAAAAGAGCAACAGGGTACCACTGGGCGAGCAAAGGTTCTTGAAAGAGATGTCGCTGGTCTCGTAGATCTGATGCAGCGTGAGCGTGGCTGAGAGCTCTTGGGGCTCAGCTCCGCAATCGAAGGTCTTCGCAAAGTGAAGCAAGGCCAGCCCTCCCCTCTTCCTCGGTTTTGGGGTGTAGTGCTTAGGAGGGTCCAGGGGCTTCATTGCGAGGCTTTAGGAGACCTACGGAAATAAACATGATCCTAAACCCTAAACCCTAAACCCTAAACCCTAAACCCTCCGGAAAATCGCACAGCCCAGCGTCATGGAGACCAGGGCTCGGTCTGCAGCCTTTGACCAGGGGCCAAGGAGGTCGGAACCCAGGACATACCTCGGGGACCAAATGAACAACCCGGAAAGGGCTTAGGGCTTATAGGGTTTGGGGTTGAGGTGGGGCTCTGCCATCATTTGCAGGCTCTACTATGACAGAAATGCTCGCCGGTAACAGGGCTTGTAGCAGAAACTGTAACGGAAAGGAGCGGAGCTGTAACGGAGCAGTATCGGCAGGCTGCAACGGAGCGCTACTGGCTGCAGCGATGCTGTAACGAAGCTGTAACGGAGCTGTAACCGAGGTGCAACGGAGCTGTAACGGAGGGCCCACGGTGGGTAGCGCAAATCCCATAGTAAATGATGGTAGAGCCCACCCCCAAGTTTAGGGTTTATAGGGTTTGGGTTTTAGAGTTTAGAGTTTAGGGTTTAGGGTTTAGGGTTTAGGGTTTAGGGTTTAGGGTTTAGGGTTTAGGGTTTAGGGTTTAGGGTTTGGCACGCGCTCCGTTGCTTTCCGGTGTAGGGTTTAGGGTTTAGGATTTAGGGTTTACGGTTTAGGGTTCATTTATCTTTAGGGATAGTAGTACAGGGCGTATGACCCCAATGGTCGGGCTCATTTGGTCCCCAAGGTACTCGAAGGAATCGACTTGATAGAAGGTGGTACCATCGGACCTCTCCACTTTGAGAGAGAGGCACACTTCCTTGCTGGCCCAGTAGCCACATTACAGTGAGGGCACCCCTTTTTTGGGGTGAGCTACTTTACAAGGGAGTTAACCCAGAACCCCCACCCCCCCCCCCCCAAAAAAAAAAAAAAAAAAGTACCAGTGGGCTACCAGGCTTCATCCTTCATCCTCGCCATCTTCCAGCCAGATCCCTCTTGGACCACTGTCTTGATGACCGTCCCATCCGAAAATAAGTCGAGCCTCGCCCTCCACGACACCAACTCAATCCTCGGATGGCCTTTTAAGCCCCTAAACCCTAAACCCTAGACCCTAAACCCTAAACCCAAAACCCCTAAACCCTAAGCCCTAAACCACGTATTTCTGAACATGAGCCTCTTAAACCCAAGCAAGATTTTTTCGTGTACAAGATTTTTTCGTGTAGGTGTAAGAAAACACATTTCGCACCGCAATCTCAGAGACTTGATCTGGGATACTTGGCGTACACTTACTTGACTTGAAGGCAATAAAGGGAAAAATATAGAAAATGTCCCAAAAACCTACCAACCCTAAAACCTAAACCCTAAACACCAAGAATCTCGTAGGTCACGGCGGAGTTCGGCGGCACCTTCTCAGACCCTTCTGGGCCATAGGCGAACTCCGGCGCCACCTTGAACTTGGCCACTTCTCCTTGGTAGGCGTTTAGGGTTTAGGGTTTTAGGACTTAGGGAGCCCAGTAACCACGCCGTAACAAGGGCACCCTTTCCGACAGGTTGGTTGCTTTGAAAGGGAACCTTGAACCAACAAAAAGGGAAAAGGGTGCCACCGGGCAAACCCTAAACCCTAAACCCTAAACCCTAAACCTTAAACCCTAAACCCTAAACCCTAAACCCTAAACCAAGTCTCCCTTTCGCATGGTTGGGATCCCCAGGTCCCAGGCCTTCACCGCCTCGCCCCGTCCCAGCAGAAAGGTCAAGGCCTCACCGTCCCGGCTGTTTGCGAACTGCTCACCGGACTCCTACACTGAACTTAAGGAACCCCAGCAAATAAACAACAAATTTTGCTGTTTCTTAGGAATTATAATCGTACCCTAAAAAACAAAATGGTTGCTGGTTACACTGAACTTAAGGAACCCCGGCAAAGAAACACATGTTCTTTTTCTGTTTCTTAGGAATTATAGGCAAATAAACATATTGTTTGTTGTTTTATAGGAATTATGGTGCCCTAAAAAACCAAATTGTTGCTGATTAAATCGTACCCCCAAAAATAAAAAAAAACAAGTCCCAAGTAACCCTAAGAGTCTTAGGAATCATGGAACCCACAAAAAGCAAAAACATACTTCCAAGTACCCCTAAGACTCCTTTAGGAATTAGCGAACCCCGAAAAAGCAAAAACATATTTCCAAGGACCCCTGCTTAGGCTCGAGCGTTCCGACGTAGTGCACCGTGACCTCGTCGCCCTCGCGCGGCTTGGCCCAGTCCGAGCTTGCAGCTTCGCTCAGGATCTCCTTCTTGACGCCTCTGAGCGCGGTTTTGGGTTTAGGGTTTAGGGTTTAGGGTTTAGGGTTTAGGGTATAGGGTTTAGGGTTTAGGGTTTATAAGGTTTAGGGTTTAGGGTTTAGGGCTTAGGGTGCCTGATGACAAGATGGTGACTCTACGTGAAGTCTAGTGCAGACATTGTGAAGGCCCCGCCAGCCATCTGAAACGAGATCATGGTCTTTGCATACACCCTACAGCCTGAATTTACCCTGTGGAGACACGCAAAAGAACCCTAAACCCTAAACCCGAAACCCTAAACCCCACAAGCGCTCACCTTCCGGCAGGGGGAAGTCCACCCCATCGTCCGAGACATCCTCGAAGTCGCCACCAAGTTCATCCAGCGGGTAGCCCCCCGAGGCCATTGCAAAACTGAGCCTAAACCCTAAACCCGAACACCCTAAACCCTAAACCCTAAACCCTAATTAAACGCTAAACCCTAAACCCTAAACCCTAATCCCTAAACCCGAATCGCAAGGAAGGTAGACGGCCCTCGAGCCGGAGCAAAATGGCGGGGAAGCACCACGTAGCCCTCAACAAATTCAACAAGGGGCCTCAAGGTACTTGGGTGGGTTTAGGGGTTTAGGGTTTAGGGGTAGGGTTTAGGGTTTAGGGTTTAGGGTTCAGGGTTCAGGGTGTAGGGTTTAGGGTTTAGGGTTTAGGGTTTAGGGTTTACTGCAACGGTACTAGCTAGGGGGTCGCTGGGTATACGGCGCTGTGTCCATGTTACGGCAGGTGGGTCGGCCACACCTTGCGGCGAAGACTCCGAGCACGCAGTCGAATGCGCTCCCTCTCTCCCTCCCTCTCTCCCCCTGAAATTAAGAACTGAATTCCCCCCCTGAATTCGCTATGGGAATATGGTAAGAGCATCAAAATGAAACCCTAAACCCTAAACTCATTCACTACGGGAATGGTACATGTCAAGGCCTGCAAAAACAGCATCACTATCATACGACCCTTTATAGAATTCTTATAGGCAACCTGTCTGTTGACCGTGGGAACCCTCGCGCCCCCGGGTCCGGGACTGATCCAAGTACTCTCGTTTCTTGTTGTTCTCGTTCTTAACGAGGTCGATCCTCGAAGAGTTCGGTCGCGTGGGCTCGGACCCCTCGACGCCTACACCCCACACCCAACCTAAACCAATCCTGCAGGGGGTTTAGGCTGATTCATGTCGGAACGCGTAAAGCCCAGACAAAAGCAAAATAAAGCAAACCCTGAACCCCTAAACCCTCCACCCTAAGTCGTTCTTGGTCTATAGGGCTTCGCGCTGATGATTCACAGCCCCGGAAGGTCGTTCACGTTGAAAAAGATGCTCGGTCTCGTACCCGGGGGGAAAATCCGGATCGAATATTGCCACCTGTTACTTCTTAATATCCACGGGGTATTGGATACCTGTTCTTAGGGGCTGAATACCCTAGCCCAAAAAGCACATTAACCTTTCATATACAAATATATATGTATATGTAGTAGGATTCTGTATAACCCAAAAGGTTCACAGTTACCTACCCAGTCCCTAAGCGTTTGCTCTGGAGATGATTACCAAACTTTCTGACATGTCGTGGGGCTGTAGCTTGCCTCAGGCAGTACAAGCTGTTGTCTTCGCAGTCGGACTCCCTGACCCCTAACCCCTGCCTGGAACGCTATTTACCTACAAACCCTAAACCCTGAACCCAAAAGCGGCCAGCAGAAAGCCCCAAAACCGGAAACTCCGAACAACCACGCGCGCTGGCCTTCTCTGGAGATTCTGGACCTGGATTCCCGACTTCCCCCCCCCCCCTCCCCACACCCCCTCGCGGGGCGAAACACGAAAAAGCAATCGTCACAGCACCTAACCACCCAAATGTTTTGGGAGCCTAAACCCTAAACCCTAAACCCTAAACCCTAAAGTAGAACCCCCGGCCCCAAATGGTACCCCATACTACTCTTGGGTCACTCTTAGGAACCCCCTAAGGGGATCTCGACTTTTGGGAGCCTCCCAAAGATCTGGGAACCCTAAACCCTACACCCTAAACCCTGAACCTTAACCCTAAACCCTAAACCCTATAGCCCTAAACCCTAAACCCTGTTGGGCGTTGGCTCCTGAACTTGTTTCTCCAACAACCGTATAAAAAGCAAACAATGGTAGACGCTGAAACGCTGCTACCCCCAAGCCCTCAAGCGGCCGAAGCCCCTATAAAGATCAGTAAAATAATTAGAAAAGGGTTGTTTGGGGGGGGGGGGGGGGGGAGTGGCGGTGGTGTTATTATTTTATAATTATAGTTGTTTTAGGGACCATAGGTGAGTACTGTTAATAATTATTCCGAGCCCTATACTACATTCCAGACATAGGTGACATGCATAGACATATCTTGCACTAAGTTACGCTGCTCTATAGTGCACTACACCTGCTTGCACATCATACATGACGCATGCACTACATATTGAGGGACTACACCCCAAAACCCGAAGCACTACAAAGGAATCCCTCAACCCTGCCGAACGTGCCTCGGTCATCGTCTTCTCCTGGGATTTGGCCACCCAGGTTCATGGTTTAGGGTTCTGTTTTGAGCTCTGGCTGCTAGGTTTGGGGTTTTCTCCCCTCGCCGTAATATTAAACAGCCCCTCTTCCCCCTAACATTGAAAAAATATAACTAGAATGGGGGGGGGGGGGTATTTAATATTACGGGGGAGGTGGGGGGTTTAATATTAGGGGCAGGGGATTCCTGGGATGAAATTCTGTTCTGTAAGTTCTGGCCCACAGCCCAACAGACCTTGAGGCGTTTGCACGCCCAGGGACTCGGCTCATTGCTCATGGTGAAGTTCGTGTTTTTTCGCCCAGCGGCGTTAGGCTCGCAGGCTTTCTTCCCGACTTCGGGCACGGTGAATCCCTGCGCCCTCCAAGCCAGCAACAAGAATCCTAACATACTATATATACTATATAGACTACGTAAACTACTATATACTATATATATATATAGTATATATACTGTATCTAGTATATATACTGTATATACTATATATATATATACATATATGTATATATATATATAGTATATATATATATATAGTATATATACTGTATATACTGCATAGCGACACCAACGTCTAAAATCCCTACTCTCGCAAGCCAGGCGAAGTTCAAAACTCTCGTAAACCTAAACCCTAAACCCTAAACCAAAAAACCCTAAACCCTAAACCCCAAACCCTAAACCCTAAACCCCTATACCCCTAAACCCCTAAACCCCTAAACCCCTGAACCCCTAAACCCTAAAACCATCTAAAACCCAAACTTGCAGGGCAAGATTCCAGTGACTTCTCCAAGGACTCGGGCTTTTCGATGCGAATCTCGGCAATCTGGTTCCTTCGCTTGCCGAAGAACTTCAGGACTTCGGACTCTTCAGGGTTTGATTAGGATCTCTTTCTGGTTCGTTTCGTTTAAAGGTTTAGAGCTTCTTCGGATTCTTTGGGGCTTAGGGTTCAGGGCCTCTTGAGGCTGAAGAGGAGCCAGTAAGGAAAACTAACCCTTAAGCACACTTGCACTTCCGCTTTCGGCCCAGGCCCACAACCCCACGTAGCGAGACCCGGAGAAAGGGGGGGGGGGGGAGGTGGGTTTAGGGTTTAGGGTTTAGGGTTTAGGGTTTAGGGTTTAGGGTTTAGGGTTTAGGGTTGCAGGGTTTGGGGTTTAGGGTTGCAGGGCCTGCCTCAGGGTCTTGTTTTCCTCCTTCATCTGGGTGATGATCTCCTGCCAGATGGGCCGCTTAGTCCCTCAGCCGCCGAAGCCCCAAACAGCTGCACTCTCTATGTATGGGCTGGGAGCTATAAAATTCCAGGGTTCGGATGATGAAACACTTGTTACAAGCTGCAGCCCTACAGTGGCCTTAGGCCGTCATATAGCTCTAAACCCTAAACCCTAAACCCTAAACCCTAAAACCTAAACCCTAAACCCTGCTGCTTCAGGGCCAGGATTTCCGAGGATCGGGACTTGGGGTTGAAGCTTCTAGGACCCTAAGCCCTAGAAACTCATAAGCCCTTTAGGGTTTAGGTTTCAGGGTTTAGGGTTCAGGGTTTAGGGTTTAGGGTTAGGGCTTAGGGTTTAGGTTTCAAGGTTTAGGGTTCAGGGTTCAGGGTTAGGGCTTACCAAGCTTGACAAGAATTCAGCTCAAGCCTTGTTCTGCTGGATGTTGAGCTTAGCTGTCTCGTACGTCGCCTGTCGGAGCGTCTGCATCAGCGTCAGCCCTTTCAGGCAACCCCAAACTACTATTTGCTTAAGAACCGCCCAAAGAATGACAACTAACATTCCCTATATTACCCTTGTAAGGAACAACATATATATATATATATGTATATGACTACGATTATTTATTCTTTATTATTACTATTTTTTTTTTGGGGGGGGGGGTGTCTTCTTAAGCACTTGGTAGCAAGTGGAGGGCAGTTACGTACTGGTATGGGCCCTGACCTTACCCTTACATACCCCTTACATACCCTATTAAAAACCAAGAGCCCATACTTCAGAACCCTTTGAGGAAGGTAAGGGACCACATGAAAGGTTTAGGGTTTAGGGTTTAGGGTTTAGGGTTTAGGGTTTAGGGTTTAGGGTTTAGGTTTAGGGTTTACGGTTTAGGGTTAGGTACCCTCAGACAGGCCTGGAAAACCGAAGAACATCCTGCATCACTCTCGAGCCCTGGGCCTTCAGAACCTCGAAACCCAAGCGTTTTTTGTAAGGGGCAAGTAGTATTACAGGAACTCGCCTACAAAATGCAGGGCTTTTGGGGCTCTTAAGGTGGGACCTCAAGCTAAACCCTAACCCTAAACCCTAACCCTAAACCCTAAACCCGAAACCCGCACCTTGCGTTCGCCCTCCAGCAGCGTGAATCGCCTCTGCAGGTCCTCCAGTTGCTCTTCGGGACCTGGTGCCAGGAGGTCGGTAGCAGGCACATCACCAGTGGTTTTAAGGGTTTTAAGGGTTCTTTGAGGATTTTTAGAGGGTTTTTAGAGTGTTTAGAGCGAAGGTTGGAGTGGGTGCTTTTGGTGGAAGGTGCGGCGGGGCTGGGGGGTGGAGGAGCCTGTGGGGTGAGTTTGGGGTAGACTTTGAGGGCTTCGGGGTCTTAAGACACTATAGGGCTTCGAGGCTTCAGGGGCCCCTGAACCCCCAAGCCCTAAACCCTAAACCCTAAACCCTAAACCCTAAACCCACAAAAAAGTTGAGGGCCCCTGCTCATCGCGTTCTTGGTCTTGTCCATAGATCCAGTCCTGAGGCTGGACCAAACGAGCCCTAAGCTTAACCTTGGGGCTTTAGGGTTTAGGGTGTAGGGTCCCTATACCACCAGAATTTCGACGAAGGTAGATGACACATAAGCTCTTTTAGTTAAGGTTCGTTTCGTCCCCAAGGTATGCTTGAGGTTTAGGGCCTTGGGTTTGCTAGGGTTTAGGGAATGGGGTTTATAGGTTTAGGGGTTAAGGTTTAGGGCTTAGTGTAGAGGGTGCAGGTCTGGGGGGGGGGGGGGGGGGGGATGGTTTAGGGTTTAGGGTCTAGGTCCAGGGTTTATCAACGGAGGATGGAAAAAGGATGTGCAAAAAGCGATCTAAAGCCCTAAGCGCAAAGACAATTGGGCTGTCGAAGGCCTACGTGAAATGCCGAGTTGCTGTTGGAAAACTTAGACGAAGCTAGCATCAAAACAAAAAATATAGTAAATGGTATGGTTTACTTCAACTTCCGAAAAAGCAGCACTGGCTTTAGGGTTTAGTGTGTGGGGTGTCGAACAGCAACCCAGAGTCTTGGAAGCATTGGGGGGCGGGTTCTATTCGGCGAAAGCGATGAACCCCCTGTTGGCCCTCGCAACCCTAGAAACGCGATGACCCTCATAAGCCATGAAAACTAAAACCCAACTGACCCAACAAAAGCGAAACATTATAACACCAATAAGCCACAAGCCCTAAAACCTCAGCCCTAAATCCTTCAGCTTTATCCCCACCCGCAACCCTAAACCCTTTAAACCCTAAACCCCTTTACACTCTCTAAACCCTCTAACCCTAAACCCCTAACCCTAAACCCGAAATCCTAAACGTAAGCCTTAGATCCCTCCCCAGGGGTCCTTGTGGTCGCTGTCTACCCGGCCAGGCACGCGTGCTCTCGGGCACAAACTTGAGCCGTGAAGGGGAGGGAGGCAGTCTGTTAGGGTTTAGGGTTTAGGGTTTAGGGTTTAGTGTTTAGGGTCTAGGGGTGTAGGGTTTAGGGTTTAGGGCTTGCCCGGTTTCAAGGTGTGGGGTCGAGGGTGGCAAGATTTAGGGCTCAAGGTCTTAAAAGCTAGGGTGCTTCTAAGAGTTTCGACTGTAAGGTTTGGGCTTGACACCCCTATCATACACTCCGTTGAAGAGCAGTTTCCCCCCCCCCCCCCAATTACCCCCTTACAGCCTAACTCCACGCATCCGCGAAAACCCTAAGCCCCTTAGCCAATCCTCAGCAGACAGACCCCATCTCAAAAGCCAAAGCCACCCTAAACCCTAAACCCTAAACCCTAAACCCTAAACCCTAAACCCTAAACCCATGCCGGGAGGACAGCCGCAGCTCGTGTGGTCTGGGGTTTAAGGGCTTCGGGGTGCACACAAAAATTGGGTTTAGGGTTTAAGTAGGGTTTAGGGTTTTGGGTTTAATGTTTTTTGGGTTTACAGGGGGAGGGAGGGGGGGGGGGGTTCTGGCTTACCCGACCGACTGCCTTGAAGGTTTAGGGTTTGCGGCCACGGTTAGGGGACAAGGTTTGGGAGTTTAGGCGTTCAGCCGTTTAAGGCTTTAAGGCTTCAAAGCCCTAAACCCTACAAAGGCTGAAGGGGCCGCAACACATCCCCCCAGGACTGGGAGGAAGAGACTCGCAGGCGAGACCTCCTTCTTCTCCTCGAGCTCCAAAAGCATCTGCCCAAACTTGGACACCTGGCTTCGGGCTTAGGGTTTGAACCCTAACCCTAAACCCTAAACCCTAAACCCTAAACCCTAAACCCTAAACCCTAAACCCTAAACCCTAAACCCTAAACCCTAAACCCTAAACCCTAACCCTAAGGAAGCGCGCACCCCGGCTGGTTGAGCCCCAACCCGGCTTGTGCTCCACCCCACACCTTGACCTTTGCGGGTTTAGGGTTTCCCTTGCTTTCTGATCGTGCTCATGTATCTCATGCTTGCTGACAGTGCCGCCGGCGATTATCGAGGCCCTGGTTTGGTGTCGAGGCTGGCTGGTGCCTGGAATCCTTGTGAAGCCCCTCCTGGGAGGCCTCCAAAGAGCTTTGGGAGGTCCCTGGAAGTGAATAAGCTCCATAGCTCCCTCGCCAGCCGGCTTCCGCGCGTTCGCCCTGTTCGGCGGTGCCGGGCTCACTCAGTTTCGGGTTTAGGTTGTCTTTTTGCCACTTGCCAAGCTGCCACTCTGCAGCGTAACAAGACTGGGATTAAAAACAGAGACAAAGAGGGTTTGGGGTTTAGCTAGGGCTTACAACAAACATTAGGGAACGGTGTGCAAATCACATCTCTCGACCCAGTAGCCTAACGTTTACCGGGGTTGGGATTGCTCCCCATAAACACGCAAACCCTATATAACCCTAAACCCTAAACTGTTGATTGGCAGACAGCACTACCCAAGATATCAGCTATCCTGAGTAAAAGGTAAGTGCCAAGAAGCCGCACCAGCTGAAAGGATATCTCCAATGTGGGATAAAGTAAGGGCAGGTCAATTACATCCATGTCTGTTGTCAAGCATATGTCAGAGGACATGTTTTCCGTTCACCTCAGCAAGCTACGCGGTGCACCTTGAGCCACCACAGGTGGCATAGCGAGTTCACTGCTCTGTGCTCCCATCTCCTAAGAGATCAGGAGCCTAAGCTCTTCAACACCCCCGCGATGGGCGCACACGGCAGTTACTCGGAAATACTGAGCCCAAAATGCGGTTGCATACTCCTATCATAACCTTCAACCGCAGATCACCAGAGAAAGGGTGCTTCGCACGTCCGGCCACTGTACATAAGATTGGGCATCGTAACAAAACAAACACCACGAACCATCAATCCCTGAAACCCTTAAACATCTATCGATGACTCCAAGTTCCTGGACTCAGGTTCGTTAGGGTGCAACTGTTGTGTAGCTTGCTTTTCCTTTCTACCTGATTTGGTGCAATACGTGATGCGGATATGGCATGTGTCCATGACCTCTCGCACAAGGTCCACGCGGCCTCCGGAACTACTTAGCTTGGTTAGTCCGTCCGCGATCATATGTTCAGCATTTACCCAGTACGTTGAGAAACCATGGTCTACAACCAAGTCATACAGTATCTGATACACCAAGCTTTGCATCTTCTGCCCCTGTCTGGTTGAAGGTTTCTCTGTCCTAATGCTGTCATATAATCCCTTGTTATCGGTCACGATTATACGATGTTGCCCCTTTTGAAGTAGTTTCTGTTTTACCTCACGGGCTCTCAGGCCATACATGACTTGCTCGTACAATAGTAGCAAGGATACGGATGAGTCCGCAGCTATCGTGGCACCCTGGAGTTCGCTAGCGTACGAGGACCAAACTGCACGATCTATCTTAGAGCTGGTGAAATCGGCCAACACAGACTTTACCATGTCACCCTTCAGAACCGACTTAGGCGCCCAAAACATCAGAGCCCCCGCTTGACTATGACCCGACGGCCTACTCGTATGACCCGCATCCGTGAACACGACCAATGCTAAATCAGTCCAATTCTGCGCTACTTTCTGGAAGGTCAAAGAGTAGGGTTGTGCCTTGAGGGTGCGGACAATCTTATTCAGAGCTACGATGTGTTGCTTTTCAGGACGTGTACCGTATGAGGCATAGTGACTGACGTCATAGGCTACATCCGGTCTGGTGTTAACGGCAACCCACAGCAAAGCGCCTAGTTGTGACCAGAACTGGGTTTGACCTGCCTTATCTAGAAGGCCATCCTTCAGGGGCTTCACCGGCGTTTCACGCAACTTCTCTACGTAGTGCGCCTGGTCTACAGTAATGGTCCGACTTAGGGGGTGCTGGCGTAGATTTAGCCCAGTGTAAAGAACAGGAGCGACATCTGCATACTTGCGCTCACCGAAAGGGAGTCTAGCAACTAGCTTCTGCAGCGCTGCTTCAAACTGTGGATCTACACTGGCAGAACAACCAGCAATTAACAGATCATCTACGTGAGCCCCAACTAGGCCCAAAACTCTACTTCGATCTTTCTTATCTCTAAGGACATAAACACATCTATCAGCTGGAACCTGCTCGAACCCACACGTTTCTAGTTCAGCGGTAAGACGACGATACCACGCCAGCGGTGCTTCACTTAATCCATAAGGTACTTTCTTTATTCTGGCGATAGTATCCTCGTCGTACCCCTGATCTGAAACCAAGTCTCGTGGCAGCTCAGCATAGATTGGCTTAACCCTTGAAGACCTGTCCCCTGCCAAGAAAGCTGTCTTAGCATCCAAAGTAAACAGTCGATACTGATGATGAGCGGCCAGAGTGAGAATCGCATGCCGACCCTGCCTGGATAATGTAGGTGAAGCTGTAGAGTACTGACCCAAATCTGGATCCTTAAAACCCCTAATTACTAACCTAGCTTTCGGACGCTTCTCACCATTCGGTTGATCCCCTACATTCTTCCAGGTCAGGATCCAGCGACTGCTTATGACGCGCTTCGGGTCAATCCCTCGCCTGCTCAAAAGTTCAACGACGTCATTGGAAATCCACTGTGACCACTCGGCCCGCTTAGCTTGCCTAAACATCTCTTTTTCAGTGGACGTCAAATGACGCTCGCTGACCTCAGCCTTGCGTTTCTGAGCTGCTGCCGCATTGAAACACATCTCCCTCACTATGTGTACGATTGACTCATCACTCTCCAGTTCGCTAAGCTCAACGTCAAATTCCAAGCCTACCGACATTCCAACATAATCATGCTCACAAGACTCATTACACCACGCGTCAGCAACATGATCCGCCGCGCCCCCTTCAAAGTCTGCGAATGCCCAGAGACTTGTTTCCCGCGGTGGAGGATTTCGACTCGGAGTGCGGCTACGGTGTCTTACCTCCGAGCTGCTCGCCTCGGGACTCCGAAGAACAGCAGGAGACACTGCCGCAGGCGGCGGCGCCTCCATCAGGGGACGAGCGCCAGGGCCCAGCTCTGCGCGGTGCTGGTCCTCCAGCTCCAAATCGGAGTGCTCCCCATGAGGGCGTTTATCCCCCCGCTTGAGAGGGCCGGAGGAAAGTTCATCGCCGCCAGCTGGTGTTGGCAACTGCAGCGGTGGAACTAGCGGCGCGGACGGTGCGAGCGGTGCGCGCGCAGGTGTACCGGGGGCGGGTGTCGCCGGGCCAGGAGTGCCAGGGGCCGGCGTGGGAGGCGCCTGGGGCAGCGGCTCATACTCAGCTTCTTCCTTTAGCTCCTCAACCTGCACTGGTGCGACCGGTTCATCGTGAGCCGCCTCCCAGTCTGCAGACTTGGGGCGTTCCGCCCGTATGTCTGTGCCCCGGGCTAGGCGCATGTCCTGAAAGGAAGACTGCAGGGATTGCCCCTTCTGCAGCTGCGCGCGGACCCATTCAGCCTTCACGCTTACTGGACGCAACTGCTCAGGGCTACACAGAAACAAACGTCCATGAACCGTTACGTAAATTACACGGGGGACCAACTTGTCCGAGGTACTCTCAACCGCTACGACCTCTCCGGGACCCAGCCAAACACCTTTCTGCCCTGGACTTGCTGCATCACCTTTGCGCCGGCGGTATACCAACACGACCTGACCCTTGTAGTACGGACCTTTGTAGGGCCTGGGCCTGGTACTGGAAACTCGCGCCGTGCGGTCTCTGACCTCACTTTGAACCCAGGCCGTCCGGGCCGCCACACGTCTGAGCATGAGAGTTTCGTACAAGGGATCTTCACGATGCAACCTCTCTGCAAGCAACTGATAATCCTCATCCGCTTCAGCGAAACTGGGCGGCGCTTTAGGAAGCTTACCGAACACCAAAACTGCCGGGGACACTCCCTCAACTCTCATCAGCTCATTGCGGGCTTGAATGACTGCTGTGGCCGCTTCGAAAGGTGTGCAAGAACGATCCTCCAAGAACACCTTCTGGACTTGCAATCTCAGCGTGCGGTGCAGTCGTTCTATCTGGCCGTGTTGATACGGTGCTTGAGCAGCGCTAAGACGTTGAAGCATTGAATGTCGGGCTAAGAACTGGCCAAATTGATCACTTCTGAAAATGGTGTCTGGATCACAAAAGATACATTCTGGAGCCCCGTATGGTAGAACCCAGCCCTGCTCAAGCTGCCGAATCGCAGTGGCGCTATCTCCCGCCTCTAGTGCAAAAACTCTCGCATACGATGTTGCAGTATCTACTGCTGTCAACAAGAACACGCGATGCTGCACTGAGTCACGCTCGACTGTCAGATCTAGCGTATCGATGCTCACTACAGAGTTAAAACTGCGCGGACGGGCTGAACCTACCACTGCATGTGCATCTGGCGCTCGTTGGGCTTCACAAAGTGAACATGTGAACTGTGAAGCTTGGCGCAACAGCCATGTTGCTGCTCCAGCATCCTTTAAATGTTGCAGGAACTCGGCTCGTCCACAGTGGCCAAGGCCAACGTGCAGTCTTTGGAGATACTCCCTCACTTTGCGTTGATCACTGACACTCTGCAAACCCGGCACAGGTTTAATAACAGGCTGTGTCTCTGCAGCTACAGGCTCATTTGGTGAGGGCTTATCTCCAAAGAATGTCACTAGCAGTTGGCAATTCACAGGCAATCGGAGTCTTTTGGTTCCTTGCATTTCATGACAATGATCTACATAGTACCATTCCCCCGCTACCCGAGCAACTGTCGTTCGCCTGGTCGCTACAATGCCAGTCGGAAGGTTAGCATAGCACTTCAATGATTTTCCAGTTGTTACTGTGTCTACCTCGAGTCCACTCCAGACCCTCAGCTGTGCCTGCACCGGGACTGGCAAGTCAGCTCGACGGTATCTACCAGGGAACTGAAGTGCATTCAACTGCTTAGTCATCTCGGTGTCTGTCACTTTGAATACCGTAGGTTCACCAGGGCTTACTGGGAAAGCTGCGTCGCGAATTCCTCCGGCAAAGAAACCTACTGGAACTACCTTCGGATGCCCAATCCTTTCTTGAAATCGTGGCACGCTAGTTTCATAAGGCACCCCTTCCTGCACAGTTTGGCCGAAACTGGGAAGTCGGGGCGCTGACATGCCTGTCACAAGCGCTCGGGCCATCTTCTTTGGATAGTCCTCGGCCCAAGAGGTTACGGACCTACCCATGAAACTACCCGCTAGCTGATCATGCGATCCCCGGCATTTACACCGATACTGCTGCATATGACCAGCCAACTCCCTTCTGGTAGTGAAGATGGTTGTGCTCTTGCGGACTGGCACACCTGTGCGGGGATGCCTGAGCCCCAAAGCGCACTGATGGAATGAAGCATAGAAATGACGGCACTTAAGTTTCTGAAATCGCCTGTCATCCCACGCTAAGGAACCCTTCGGATTCTCAGCACTACAATGTCTTCCATTGGCGCTCTGACACTCAAGCACTTCAAAGAGCATATCCCAATTGGATCGGGAAGCCAATATTTCTCGCAAGATCTTCTGTCTAGCGCCTAAAGACCTCTGCTCGTTCAGCCCACTCCATCGACAGTAGGACCGACAGGGAAATGCTATGAAAACATCTCTTGGCCGTACTAGACTCACAAGTGATCTTACGTACCAACGGGCTTCCTCTCCTTGGAGTTCCTGTCCCCACGCACGGCCTAGACGAATGGCAGTTCCACCGGCTGACTCAAACTCCTCGCTGAGCCTAGCTCTACCGGCAAACACTTCAATCAGGCCTACCTCAACCCCACGATCTAGCTTCCACGCCTGTGGACCCAGCCATTCTCTCAGCTGAGCACGGGTTGCTTTCTGATCAAGGTTGAGGTTTGTGGCTTTCCATGCCTGGGGTAGTTCGAGTCTAGGCTGTGGCTCTAACTCGCCTACGGGTACTTCCGGGGAAACTCTAGGCCAGTCACTAGTCACAACCTCGTCAACAGAAACCTCTACTTTCACAGACGGCAACACCTCAGGCAAGACTTGCGCTGTCAACGCAGCCGCAACACCTCCCAGGTATCGCCAGCATCGGGATCTCCCATAGGGGAAGGGCCGGCTTCTGGCCACTGAGGGCTGGCCACGGCCTTCGGCATTCCCTGGCTGCCCTGGCTTGGAGCTGACTGTGTCACCCCCGTGAAGAAATGATGCGCTGGCAGGCCGATCTGTTGCCTCAGGTACGCTGCTCGCGTCATCAGCTCCGCAGCCTGCTCTTCCAGCTCCTTGATGTGGGAGACAATGGACTTCTCGTCCTCCATCTTTACGTCCGGTTTCTGTGGCGTGGCGGCATACTCTGTGGCCAGCATCTCCCTGACGGCCGACATGATGCTCTCCATCTGGGGCGGTGTGCTTGAGGATGCTGGCACCACTGACGGCGATGCCCTGGGATGACTCAACGGCGCTGTTGCTGCAGGGAGTGGAGCCCTGGGATAGCCGGCAGGCAGGCCTGTCGAGGCTTGTCCAGTCAAGACTCCACTCGTCTTCAAGCTCTTGACTTCCTGCTGCACTGGCGCCTGGTTCTGAGTCGCTATCTCCAGAGCATATTCGGAAGCTCTCTGGTCCTTCTCTCGTAGGGCCTTCAATTTCTCTGAGTGCAACGCAATCTTCCGGACATTGAATGGGTATGTGACGGTGCCCTTCTTGTCCAAAGCCTCGGGAGCGCCTTCTGACTCCACCAAATCTCCGTCGGCGAGGACGGTAAAGGTCGATGGTCCAGGAATGGGCGTCACGGCACAGTCCTTGCGGTACGCATATTGAATCTCTCCGGTGGCCCTCACAACTCGAGCCAGTCTTCCCTTGCAATCCCTGCACTTCGTGCGGCAGTGACTGCAATGGTACGTGTTCCCTGACGCATTGCCGTACGACTCGATCATGTGAGGGCTGCAGTGAGCATACTGCGGCGGTTGAAGGCCGTCTGGTTTGAGAAGGCACGCACAGAGCTTCGTCTGACTCATCACAGCTGACAAAGGACTCAGAGTCCGCTAACTCACTACAATGCTGGGGCTTGGGATTGCGCTCAACATCAGCTGTTCCTGCGTGCAAATCTTCAAGTGAACATGCTGCAACAAAAGCTTCAGCAGTAACTTGCGACACAGAAACAGAGGATGGTTCGCATTCTACTTTTGACTTCGGTACTGGAGAATCCTTGGCAGGTGGAATTGCATAAACAAAAAGAAACTTCGAAGACGCATCACCAGTTGGAGGCAATGATCTCCCTGCACAACGCTCACACTCTGTCCAGTCAATGAGCACCTTCAGGCACCGATCTACAAGAGACATGACCAGGACCCAAGCACCCTGTAGGTGCGATGGGGGCTTTCGAAAAATTTTGGCTCGGTACCCGATCTGTGCTGCTTTCACCTGCCAAGGCTTCCGATCTGCACTAAACGCATGTTTACCCATGATGAGGTACAACGTGGGAGTTTCTTTCGGGATATCTACCCAGGGCCCCTTAGTCTCCTTGGCTAAACGAACAAGGGCTCCTATGGCATACCCGTCTGATCGACCCTTAATGGCGTTGTATCTGGGAACATGCTGGACTTCGGATTCAGCGATGTCTGGGCTTTGGTCCGGATCAAGAGCTGTGACTGTTTCCCCTAGTCCCCCCGCTACATCTAACCCTGGAGGACCATTTACGACAACCGATTCAGGCCTGGTAACAGCTTCGTCTACGATCAGCTCGCTGTCCGGACCAAATCCCGCCTCGGCTGAGGCGAAGGCGTGTCCAGAGGAAAAGTCGAGGAGGGGCAGGAGGTAATGACCTACGGCATTGGTCTCCAGTGGCACCTTCCCTATGCCAGGTACTTCAAGTACATCGTTTGCACAGTCTAGCTTAGCTCGCATGGCCCGCAAGGCCTGGATAGAAAGGAGGAAGGGGGCCTTCCCTGGAATGACCGCAGCCTGAATGAAACCATCCCTCGGGCCGATTTTCACAGGATACTTTACCCGATAGGTGGCTTTGGTTTCGCCATTGATGCCCTCAAACTTTATGTCTGAATCACCCTGCTCCGGCTTTAAGGCTCCACCTGTTTGCTTCTTAAGCTCTTCACTCCACAAGCGCTCATTCTCATCCCCAACTAAAGTGGAAGTGCAACCTGTGTCGAGAATGGCATATCCAGGTGGAGTTACCAGACAGCATGACTCAGAACCTTCCGGACACTTTGGCTCAAGACCCAGAAGCCGATCCAAAGTCAAACATTCTTCTACAAAATGCTCGAGTTGGCTGATGGACTGCCGAGACACAAAGGAGAACTCCGGAGTGGTTCTCGGTTTGGAACTCGAAGAAGACGGCGTCGATCGCTCTGCGTGGTAGGCCACATAGCTGAACTCAGGGACAAAGCGAAATTCCTGGCGAGGCTCAGTGATGGCCATGCCGAGGTACTGCGATCCTGGTGGCTCACCCCGCCTCGCATGGCCAGAAGAGCGACTGCTCTTCCCCTTTGACTTGCCCTTGCCAGCGCCCTTGCTCCTTCGGGTAGGCGGCGGTGTTCGCGGCCGTCGAGTCGCCGAGGGCCGCTGGCTGGAACGAGGCTGTTCTCTGTCCTTCCAGCTGAAATCCTGCCTTCGCGCTGGCGTTGCTGGCCGGCCACGGTCCCGATCTCGGTGTTCTCGTCGGTCTCGATGCTCACGCCGATCTCTGTCGCCGCCACTTTGGCCGCCCTTGGGGTGTGCGGCCCCTTCTCCGGGCTCTTTGAACCCCCTCGCCTTCTTCAAGCTCAAAAGCTTCTGGCGGGCCTCAAGGTAGCCCATCATCGCCACACTGTACTCTTCACCGTCGCCCTCCTCTTCTTCAAGGGTCTCCTCGGTAAACTCCGACTCCTCGCCTTCAGCATACGCACCAAACTCCTCCTCGGGCTCGTATTCGTCGTCGACTTCAAAGGGCGACTCCTCATAGGGATCATCCTCCTCAGGCACATCCGCAAAGAAGCCGTGGCTGGTTACCTGCGAACGGCTAGCAACCAAGGCATCCAGCTCGGTACGCCTAAGCAGGTCTGCAACCTTGTCATAGCGCAGGGAGCCACCGCTTGACCTAAGCAACGATGCTCTGGTTTGAAGTGAAATGCCAATGTGCCTGAGGAATATGAAGCCCTTGACCACCTCGGGGAATCTGAAAGTCTGGACTTGGGGAAGTTCTCGGGGCGGAGTAGGTGCTAACGGTTCGGCTGGGGCCTCTGCTCCTTCCGGCAAAGCTGCGACCGTGGCTTGATGTTGCTGTTGAGCGACGATGAAATCCAGGCTGGCCCTACGGAACTCGGACCTCATCAAGTCACCCTGTCGGCGTCTCTCAACTCGCTGTTCTTCCGTGATCAGTTCTTCTACCTTTGCTAGGGCAGTCTCGAATCTGGTCACGAAGGAAGTGGACTCTTCGCCACGGCGGCGGCGCAACCGAAATAGCAAATCTTCAAGTTTGTCTGAAAGCTCCTGCTCGGGAGTGAACTGGAAGCGTTCGTCGAGTATCGCCAGAAGCTGGGCCACACCACGATCTGTTCTGAACTCCGCCGGGTCCCGTTCCCGGAAGCACTCGAAGGCTGCCCCGCTGAGGCTTGAGATTAACCGTGGTGCCGCCAGATTCTGTTTGGAGTCTTCTAGACTATTGAAGTAAAGGAGGGCTCTCTTCCGGTAGTCTCTGTACTCGTCTAGCTTGCCGCTGAACTGTGGAACGCCGCGTTTGTCATCGTCCTTGTTGATGTCCATGGTCGCGTAGTCGAAACTCTCGTCGTGCTGTGTGCCGCCCTGGATCGAAGGCTCAAGCAAAGCATCCTCAGAGCCCCGCTGCCATGTTGATTGGCAGACAGCACTACCCAAGATATCAGCTATCCTGAGTAAAAGGTAAGTGCCAAGAAGCCGCACCAGCTGAAAGGATATCTCCAATGTGGGATAAAGTAAGGGAAGGTCAATTACATCCATGTCTGTTGTCAAGCATATGTCAGAGGACATGTTTTCCGTTCACCTCAGCAAGCTACGCGGTGCACCTTGAGCCACCACAGGTGGCATAGCGAGTTCACTGCTCTGTGCTCCCATCTCCTAAGAGATCAGGAGCCTAATAGCCTAAGCTCTTCAACATAAACCCTTAACCCGACACCTGTTGGCCCGTTGTTTTTTCTCTCAGGTTTGGTTTAGGGGCGCAGGATTTCTAAGTCCACCTCCCCCTTCTACGGCTTATAGGGCTGCTCCGTTGAAAAGACTATGGTTGCACGTGGTGGAGATACTAAACTCCTAAAACCCTAAAACCATACAAAAGGCCCAAAGCCCCAAGCCCCTAAAACACCCCCAACCCCAAACAGGGGAGGGGGCGGGGTAGGAACTCTACCCTAAACCCCCCATGGCCTACTTTTGAAATGAGACTCTGCTAATTACTTAAATTAAAACCCCCCAAAAACCACTAATCCCTACGTTGCCCTTACAAGGAAGAATATTATTGATTCTTTTTTTTTTTTTTGGGGGGGGGGTTCTTAAGCAAATAGTAGGATTTGTCTGTTTCTACGGGGGGTTTTGGGAGACCTGGAGCTCAACGTCCTCAAGTGCTCAGGGCAGGTTGCCGCACCAAGACCCGAGACCCCTAAAGCCCTTGAGGTTTAGGGGTTTAGGGATTAGGGAGCCTAAACCCTGAGCCCGAAAAATCCGCCCGCCACCCCACTCTCTTGTCTTTTGGGTAGGCGGGCGCTGGTCGAGCGCTCAGTGAGACCCTGCGAGGGAGCCCCAGGCGGGCGACCGAGCTGGCCTTCAGGCTGGCTTACCCTCCAGGCAGGCACAGGCCGAGTCAGCAGTTGTCACTGTAAACCCCAAGCTGTCCGCGCACATGGTGGGTCCTGCATTGGAGGGCCCCCTGGGACGCCCCTTGGGGCAGACTGGCCCTGGCCCTGGCCCTGAACCTGGTCCTGAGCTCTGGCTCTGGCCCTGGCTCTGGCCCTGGCCCAAACCCTGGCCCAAACCCTGGCCTGGCCCAACCCTGACCCTGGCCCTGGCTGCTTCGTAGCACAAGCCCCCTACGGGGATCGAGCCCGTGACCATACGCTTACGGAGCGCATGCTCTGCCAACTGAGCTAAAGAGGCTTCTGCTAGGTCTCGCTTGCTGGCTACGAGGGCATTCTTTCTTGCTTTCTCCCTCTCCCTCTCTCTCCTACACTCTACTACACTCTACTACACTCTACTACACTCTACTACATTCTACTGGCCTGGCCCTGGCCCTTGGCCCTGAATGTGTGACCCTGGCCCTGGCCCTGGCCTGGCCCTGGCCCTGGCCCTGGCCCTGGCCCTGGCCCTGGCCCTGGCCCTGGCCCTGCCTGGGTCCTGCCCTCGCTCTGCCTGGCCCTGGCCCTGGCCCTGGTCGTGGCCCTGGCTGGGTCCTCTCTCTGGCCCTGACCCTGGCCCGGCCTTCCTCTCTCTGTCGAACCCTCCTGGCCCCAGCCCTGGCCAGGCCCTGACCCTCTGCCTGACAAGTTTTTGTGCTGGCCCTAGCCCGGTTCTGGTTCTGGGCCTTGAAAAACCTGAACTAGTTTTGCGCCTTGACCCTGGCCCTGGCCTCTGGCCTGTTCGAGAGCTGTCCGCGCACCAGTTTGTGTCCTGTTTCGGGGCGCTCCCTCTCTTCGCGCCAAGTCCTGCCATTTGCTGCAACTTTGTGCCTGGTCCTGACCCTGGCCCGGCACCCCACCTTACCCCCTTCGCGCCAAGCCAAGCTATCCGCCACACCAGCCCTGTTTCCGTGGCGCTCTGCCCAACCCAAGCTGTTCACTGTGTGTTCTTCCTGGCTGGAGCCCCTTCGCGCCAACCAAGCCTCGCTGCCTTTCTCTGTTCCTGGCCCGTCCCTTTGCCCTTCACGGACCCTGCCTCGTTTCCGTCTGCTGCAGCTTTGCGCCTGGTCCACGCACCTTGTGGAAATCCCCAAAAAGGGCGTGAGTGCTGACTCATGTGATGCTTTGTAAAAAAATAAAAGGTCTGAACTCCTTGAGAGTTGTAAGTGGGCGGTCTTGGGGTGGGTAGGTCTGCAGACTACCGCGCGCTCCCACAGCGCGCTCCCGTTTGGCACGCCCTAAACCCTAAACCCTTTTGCAACAGGCTTCGCACTTCGCCTGGGTCGGACAGCACCCACAGAATGTTGTCTCCAAGACAAAAACCCTAAACCCTAAACCCTAAACCGTAAACCGTAAACCCTAAACCCTAAACCCTAAACCCCTACACCGCTGGAGGATCCACACCCCGGCCTCCTGAAAAGGCAACGTGTAGCTGACGTGCCCGTCGCTGCTGACCGGGCTCTGCTCCTTTGCGACTTATGAACTACACATGATGGATGAGTATACAATCTTTAGGGTTTAGGGTTTAGGGTTTTTTCCCCACCCGTTTCGCAAGCGTTTACGGGGAAAAGGTCAGACGGTACTCTAGCCCAAGTTCAGGTTTAGGGTTTAGGGTTTAGGGCTTTTCTGGAATCATACGACACGGAAGCAGGCTAACAGACTAGAACGTATAATGATGTCTATATATATATATATACATATATAGCCAGAACATCGCCATATCTAACAATACAAATAGTCACAGAAGTAGTAATGATAGTACTAATGTGAGAACTGTAGTCCCCACGTGCTGGGATCTACAGACTACGGCTTCGAAGCCCAGAGTCGCGCGCGGTATCTTCGGTGCTGAGTAGATAAGTGTTTAGGGTTTAGGGTTGTTTAGGGTTGTTTAGGGTTGTTTAGGGTTTAGGGTTTGGGGCTGAGTTTATAGGGGTATACGGATGAGGGATTCGGGTAAATACCAGAGTTTTTCGGAGTGAGTACTTGAGGTGGAGGCCTCCGGGACTTCCTAGTCGAGGGTTTCCGCGCTGAGTTTGGTGGCGGCGTGCGCCATCGAGGGGCTTTCAGGCCCCCGCAGTCCCTCAACTGAGCTAGGATGTGTAGGTTTTGTAGGATAGGAGAGTCCATGAGGGCGGTTGCAATATTGGGGTTCCTAGTTGGGTGAATGAGGTGCTTCTTGAAGGTCAAGAGTTGACAACCCTAAACCCTAGCCCCCTAAAGTCCTCTGAACGTCGCTCGGCGGCTCGCTGCGTGGCGGTGCTCACGTGCTTTCGGATCAGTTCGCCTGTGATTCGAGGTGGCGGTTTAGGGTTTAGGGTTTAGGGTTTAGGGTTAAGGGTTAAGGGTTTAGGGTTTAGGGTTTAGGGGGAAGGCTATAGTTGTTAAAGCTTGGTGAAGTCGTTAAAGTCACCGGAGCTGTTGTAGTTAACGGCTTGCTATAGCCATTCTAGTTACGTAGGGCTGGGGCTTCGCAGGGTGGCGGAGGGGCCTTTGCTTAGGAGTGCAGATCAAGACCTCAACCCACGCTCCGAATTCCGACAGCAGGCCTTGATTTGGGACAATATGCCCTACAAGGAGGGGCCCGCCTAGTTATAAGTAGAGATATACGGGCCCTAGACTGGGCTATAAGGATTCTAAATTAGGTTATAAGTCCCTTAACTACAGTTAGCATAGTACGGGGGCCCGGTATAGTAGAATCAATGAGGACCTCCCTACCTACACCCCCAGAGCATTTAAAATGACGGGTCGCTCAGTTGGGTTTTGGGCTAGCGGCTATCTTGGTTTGCATACTTTGGGGGGACCCCGTGTCTGGATGTACATGTTGCATTTCTCGATCAAAGGGCACCCTAAACCCTAAACCCTTTTTGAACCACCCTAAACCCGAAACCCGAAACCCTAAACCCTAAACCCTACCGGGCTCCCTGGGTATCTGCCTAGATCTTCGGCTTCATCGGCTGTGGGGGCGCCCGGGAGGTAGGCGATTTGCAGGTGGTAGCCGAGGCCGAACCTATAGGACAGCTTGATACAGCTTGCCTAAGGTTCAGGGTTCAGGGTTCAAGGTTCAGGGTTCCAGGTTCAGGGTTTAGGGTTTAGGGGAAAGGAGTTAGGGTTTAGGGTTTAGAGTTTGGGATGACAAAAATCATATTAAGAGGCTTACAAATGGGTTATATGTGGGTTGGGGGTTTAGGGTTTCGGGTTTAGAAAGTTTAGGGCTCAGGAAACAGCTTCAGATGGCTTAAGATTCCCTTCCCAAAAGATCCGAAACCGGGTCTTGTTCATAAACTCCTTGTTGCAAACAAGGCCCCAAACAGGTTTCCAAGGGGTAGCCCACGAGCAGCCCGTGAACTTGTGGTAAATTCTTGGCACCCCCAGCCCTGAATCTCCGCCCAACAACAAATTTCAGAACATGAAGCCTGTCTTTTCGAGCAAAGTTGTTTGATGCGGGGGGGTGGGGGGGGGGTTGGGGGGGTGGGTGGACCGAACTCTAAACCGAGCATAGCTTTCGAAATGAAACGCCTATTCGCAGGGATCCCTGACAACCTTCACGCTTGAAAACTAAAGCACGGCACCAATCCGGACAAATGCATGTGGCTTGTAGGCCCTAAACACATGCCCGAGCCAAAACAAAATCCCCCCCCAAGGCTACCTGTCCCCAAAGTGCGTATGCGGGGAACTGCTTGCTGTGCACCGCACTCAGGATACGCCAAAATCCGATTGAATCAGCCCCTGTACCCCCCCCAAAGTCTCGGACGGAATCCTGCCTCCAATGGCAAAATGACACGAACCCAACAGAACCCTGGAAGATTGAGCAACAGCAAGACTCATGAGAGGCAGGTTCGTGTATGTTCATGTAGTGCACTGTACTCACAAGCTATGTTGACTGCACCCACAAGCTATGAATCCAAGATAGCCTATGACCCTAAAACCCTAAAACCCCAAAACCCTAAACCTAAACCCTAAACCCTTCACCCTAAACCCTTAACTCTAAACCCTAAACCCTAAACCCACTGAGGGCCAGGAGCTGGAGCTTGAGGTCGCGCGACGTGCCCGAGGCCTGCACGCGGCCTCTGGCCAACACCGCCTTCCTTTCAGGGATTGTTCGGGTTGAGCGCTTGAAGCTTTGGGATGATAAGGGGGGGTTTAGGGTTTAGGGTTTCGGGTTTAGGGTTCAGGGTTTATAGGGTTTCGAGTTTAGGGTCAATGAAAGAAGCTCTTGCTGGGCGGTCCTGTCTGCCAGCACGTCCGCCTCTTCCAGGTAGTGCGTGGTGAAGATGATGGACCGTCCGGTGGATCTCATCTTGAGGAGTAGCTGCCACAGCTGACGCCTGGAGTGGGGGCGGATGGCCAGCATTAAACCCTAAACCCTAAACCCTACACCCTAAACCCTAAACCCTAAACCCTAAACCCTAAACCCTAAACCCTAACCCTAGACATGAGGTTCATATGAGGCTTCGAATGGGTTTATCCCGGTCACCACCTCTTTCCCCTGAATCTACTGCAAACTGGCCGGAAGGATTTTCTCCGGCAGCGAAAGCGTGGTTTGAGTCCCCAACTGCCCCAATCGATTTTGGACTCCAAGGCTTTAGGGTTCAAGATTGCGTTTAGGGTTTAGGGCTTAGGGTGTTTTTTCTAGAATATTTCGAGATGATTGATTTAGTCAAGGTAAAAGTTCATCAGGATCGGAAACAGCTTGATGGAGCAGAGCTTTGCATGGTTTGGTATGATGGGCAGCAAATAATGCGGTAGCCAAAACTACATGTTGTCAGTTTAGTCAGGTTCTTCCCGGTTACTCCAGTTGGGTAGAACATCTTTGCAAGTTGCAACAACAAGCTGATGCGATCATGCGCTATCACGCCGAGCGTGTGTAGTCCGCGACTAGCACCAGTAAGCCACACGAGAATACCACATCAGCACAAGTCAGGATGTTTCTTGAAAAGCGCACGTGGCCTCTTGACGGAAACAAACAAAATCGGAGCAACCAACCGCAAACAGCTTTCGTGAATTTAGGATGGATGCAAGGAGCACCACATCTACTTCGAAAGACGGATCGCCATCACGCTGAAAACTCTGCACGCTTGCTGAAGAAGGCTTGAGATCCGTTTATTCAGGTTTAGGGTAGCCCTGCTTGAGTGGAAGGAAAACATGTTACCCGAGATGATGGCTGGTGGAACCAGCGGTTGAAATCATTTAGGCGGTCTCTCGTCAGTTCTCAAAATGATGGTGCCTTTGGGGTTCCCTAAATAAGGGCTCAACCCGGACTGTGGGGATGCTCCCTTTTAGGGCTCATGTGGCCCCCTAGGATCCCAAGGCAAACATACAGCATCATAACAATGTGACAAGGCCAGGTCACTAAAAAGGGCTGCTAACTCTCTGAATAAAACCTTCTTGTAGACCCTGTAAATCCTATAAACCCTGCAAACCCTAAAACGATAAACCCTACAAACCCTGTGAACTGCACAAGCCGTACAACCTCACAGACCCACAAACCCCACAAACCCCACAATACCAAAAGGCGGGAAACCCTAGACCCTGAACCCTAAACCACAAGGCGGGCCTGGAGGAGGGGTCCATCCCGCTGGTCGGCTCGTCCAGGAAAACCAAGGGCGTCTCGCCCAGCAGCGCCGTGGCCACCTTTCACTGTTACAGGGGGTGTGGGTTTAGGGTTTAGTGTTTAGGGTTTAGGGTTTAGGATTTCTAGAGGGTTTGAGGGTTTGAGGGCTTAGGGTTGTAGGAGTTAGAGTTTTAGGGGTTTTGTAAGACGGGCTTTAAGATTGGGGGGTTTTAGAGGGCAGGTCTCCCGCCAACACGAGAAGGAAGTGCACCTCAAATACCGTTTGTCCCCTCAATGTAAGGGGTACACAGGAGGGACATCTAGAAGGGACCCTTAATCTTATTCCCCTATATAACCCCTATCTTACCCATACATATATATATATGGTCAGCCCCCCATGTCACGCACCTATCCTCAAAACCTCGGCAGGCGCGGTAAAAATTGATTTTTTCCCGAGAATCGATTTTCGAGGCTTCTCCAATGATGCTTTTAGTAGTCACCCCCAACCCCCAAGCCACTTTAAAACTAACTGTGTCTTGTGTGTGTGTGTCTCTATTGTTGGTTCTGAACTGTATATCATATATCACAATTTGAACCAACTGAATTGTATGTCATAGATCACACTTACAAAATAATCGACCTTGTTTCCTTGTCTGGCTCAAGGAGGCCTGTTTAATGCACCTTTTAGGTCTAACGTCTCATGGTTAAAAGATCGTGAGGCATTTCTAGTAAACTATTACATCTATAATCACGAATATACGTAGTCTAGCTAAGCGTCTGATAATGAACAGAACCAATAAAGCTTTCATAATAACACAAGCTGAAAGTTAATTGAGTTATCATAACAAAACATATTTAGTATACCTATATGACTAAAATAACCATTAGAACTTATGCACAATTTATAGAATGTACGTAACGAATATGAAAGATACAACTGGTGTGGCATGAGACAACTGATACGACCAAGGCAGTCTATTATATTGTGATAATTATATTCCTTATAGGCAGTACAATAATCAGTATTCCTTTTATCCTTATGACCCTATTCATACAGCTAAAATAGTTAAGATCGCCAGCGCCAGGATAGATATAGCGAACATAGTATAAGAGATAAATCTGATAGAAATGATATAGCTGACGCAGCTAGCTCACCGACCTGCATCCAGACTCTGTTCTTGATCTTGCCTCTAATATGGCAGAGTCTCTTGATTCCTCCATCGAAGCAATAGGCCTCTAGTCTGCCAGCACCGAGCAATCTGAGCACCTGGCCGTAGTCCTGTCCGTCCTCCTTGAAGAGAAGCTCCCTCTTTTCTCCTGCCTCCATCCTCTTACCCTTCTTCCTGTGCTTTCCTCCCTTTCCTCTTCCAGTTGGCATTTTCAATAGGTAGCGGCTTATACTTTTATCATCGAAGATCGACTAGTCTCATCAATCAATGAAAGAATATGGTTCATATACCTGCTGGAATTCACACAAGGCACTACTCTCATTCTACCATGTCCATTAAAAATCCGTGTAGCCACTATAGTCAGTATTCATTTTGTCCTTATGACCGTAGTATTCATAAACCTCACTATAAGCACTATGACCATTGAGCACGTTCTTTCCAGTGATGAGTACACTCAATTTATACTTTGTGTTCGTTATACCCACGAGGTATTCATTGTGTTGGTTTGATTCGATGTGTTCATCGTAGACATTGTACTACATGTGTTGCAGACCACCGCGATTCGACAGATTCCAGATCACTATCTGACCACCCTGAACGCTTGACCTCAGGTTGCCACGGGTCTGAAAATGATCAGGAGTCCGAGCGGTATCTCTTTCTGCGCACTGGCTACTTGTCTTCAAATCAGATGCGTCCATTGCCCAGGGTTTGGGGAAAAAACTCAATGTTGGAATCTCTGCATGTCGCTTTCTTCCAGTCTTGTTGGACACGTACGGAAAACACAATAGGTGTTCCATTTTTGTCACGTTCTTGTTGCACAACTCTTGGTGTGTTTGCAACTTGTAAATCTGATTCCTCCCCATCAAGACTCGAGTCCCAAATCTGGCGACAAACTTCGGGAATCCGCCCTTAAAAACCTTTTACAAAAACTTTCGCACACAAACCAGCTTGGATCTAGTGTTTGAATTCAAAACAGTGGACCAGAGACGCGGCTAAAAGGCGTGTTTGGCTTTTCAACCAAAGCGCTCGTGACAAGATGTCGTTCCAGGCAGGCGTCTCTCCTGCAAGCTGCAACAAATGCGGGGCATCTGTTGGAAAACTTCCGTGCGGCGTGACACAACAGCGCACGCTCATGTAAAGCCAGCAGCTGTTGGAATAAATAATAGATGCGCTTATTAAGAAACCAAAACAGCAGCACCCGTCAGAAAGACCGAGAGGCTGGAAACACCGCTCCGCCAGCGACAGAGCACTGCGGCCGCATCCTTTCTGAAGAAAGGGATGCGAGCCTTCGTTTCCAGCGCCGCCAGCTGCTCCATGGCGGGAATCGCACAACCACCCAAATCGATCGAGTCGTCGTACGCCAAACGGCGCGAGATGTTGGTTGCCAGTGCTGAGTCAGGGAGCTTGAGCATAATTTTCAGGGTCTCTTGCAGAGCAGTGTCCGTGAAGATGTACCTGCGTTCCATGTTCAGGGCTTCATTCATCAAGATGACAAGGAAGTGCTGACATGGCCTGTGGACGTTGCACGATGAGTCCACGCTGAAGGCTGCCAAGTTCCGGATGAGCAGAGACACCGCAAACGGACTCTGCTGGAAACAAGCTCGAAAGCACTGGACAGCGAAGCAACAGCCTGGAGCAGGGCCCTGGCAACAGCCACAAACAATGATGAGGATGACCGATAACATCAGCATATGTAACTTTGGCCACTGTTGACAACAATTTCGACCACCAAACTCAAATATTGCAGAGGTCTTCCCGCCAAGCGGCAACGACGATGTATCTCCGAGGGCCGGCCAGGCTGGTTACTACAAACCCAATAACCCTCGAACGAAAAAGGTTTAGGAAACTCACACAAAACACCAGGGAACTAAGAAAGAGAGAGCCCGCAAGCCGTGGCCAAGCGTTGCCAACTGCCAGAACGTTGCCCAACAGATAATCAAAAACCCTCAAATGAAACATAAATCCTGAACAGTTCCTTGTACTTCTTCTGTGGTTGCAGCTAGATCGCTTTTGACCACGCGGCCTGGAAGATCTGAGGCCTGCGTCTTTGCAAAGTCCGCCAATACTTGTGTAGAAGATAACCACGGCATGTTGCCCCGCGCGCGGCCTCTCGAAGTGCATGAATGCGTCGAAGTACCGCAGGAGAACCTGCTCTCAACAGAGCTTACTGACCGTTTTCTGCCAAGTCCACATTACCCTATACAATTGCAAAGTTGCACTCAAAGCACAAAGTGCAGAAGCAGCATCAATCCTCAAGGCGAAGGAATGGGCCGGAAGCAGCAATTGCATCCAAACCCGCGTGTTTTGTTGGTATGAGCAGGGCACAGTATGCTGCGCCGCGCGTGTCTCATGGCAGGGTAAAGCTGTCGTATGCGCTTTTTTCCGACTTCGGGAATTCGGGAACACAAAGGCCCTTGTCTATTTCTGCGTCCCTGTCTATGCCAGCCTTCAGTTCGAAAGTGGCGATGGTGAAGAACTGCGGCGGGTTGAAAAAACAAGGCACCAAGTCATGTAAAACGCAGCGTGCCACATGTCTAACGCAGATCGGCAATATTCCCCAACAATGTTCGCGTCACACACAATATTCCAAACTGCGGAGCATCATGATACATCTGCCTCTCGCAAATATGGGTTTCAAACAAAACATATACTGTGTGCTCGCCAGATGGGTTTCAAGCAGAGGCATATGCTTCGTGGTTAGTGGAGCAAGCTTGCGCGACTTAAAAAGCGTCTGGTTGAGGGGGGGGGGGGCCCTTCCCCCGCCCCCCTACATGCAAAGAGCCCCACGCGCAAGCCAAGAATATGAAATTAACAGATACGGAAAAACTGAAGTGCAAGCACGCTGACCTGCAGCCAGGCAGGTGCACACAGTGAGCACAGAGCACGTGCCACTCATGAGGATCAGCCATGTCCAGCTGACACACAGCGAAAGCATAGAGCACGTGCATTTTACTTGTCCACTGGCACACGCACATCCAGCGAAAGCAAGCATGACAGCAGTATAGGTGCAGGTCAGGAAGGGCCGAAGCGAAATCAGCAAAACTGCGTGTCTGAAAAAGCAACACTTCGTGCACAAGAGATGGCACCACGGAAGGATCACTCTCGGGTCAGCGCCTGGAGCCAGCACCACGCCGCGCCAGGTCCAACTCTTGGAGGCGACGGAAAAGCGCCACCAAGGGCGGCTTCTGGGGCACGAGGCACCACTGCGTTCCAGTCGTTGGAGACGCTGCAAGACTGCAAGATGCTTCGCTGCGGGCCATCAGCAGCAATGCACAGACTAAGCCGACTAAGCGCGGCCTCAAGAGCATCGAGTCTCTCTCACCCAGCGCCTCAAGGATGCTGGCCATCACAGCAGGGTAAGTAATTCACCAGGTTGCATAGATGCTCTGTGAAGCCAGCTTGCGCTGCTTGAAACAGCTTTGCAGGCGGGCGCGACCATGATGGGTTTCAAAAAGATTCACGTGTTTTGTGAAGCAAGCTTGCACGGCTGAAAAAAGCTGGGAAACACAATGCTCGCGTGATGAGTTTCAAAAAGACTCATCCGCCTTGTGAACCAAGCCTGCGCGGCTCACAGAAGCGGTGGCGGTTTGGGGGGGGGGGGGGGGCGCGGCCTCGCCATTTGCAAACACCACCCTCACGCAAAGAAAGATTCATATGCTTTTGTGAATCTTGCGCTGGCTAAACCAGTGGGGGGTTGGGCCCCAGTTGCAAAATACCATGCTCGCAAGGGCGTAAAACAACTAGATTGTTGAAGTCCGAGTTGTAGGCAGTCAGTGAATCCAACCGATCAATTTGAGCGGCATGAAAGGCTCTCACCATCGCCTTGATGTCGAGAAGTTGCGTAGTGTGGTGCAGCGGATAAGCGTATTCTGAGAGAATCACGATCGCTCAGGAGCTGCTGCCCGCGACGCAGCCGGACATGCCCAGGAGGCACGCGGATCCGAGGCTCGTCCCGCAGACCTTCTGAGACCAACGTCGAACAATGATAATACCTGATCAAGGATACCCACAGTGGTCAACATATATAAGCTGAAGGCAGAAGCTGTGGAAGTCACAGCTGCCAACATGGCACCGCTGGCTTTTGCTCGCCGCTCCTGGCCATCACAGATTTCACAGTACATGCAGCGGAGTCAGAACACAAGTGAGGATGGATATATACCCATGGCTGAGTGACAAGGGTAAAGCCTTGAAAGGCCAAGAATAAACACAAAAAACAATGAAAAAACAAAAACACAAACATTGATCTCTCGTGGTATGGAATACCATTAAATGTCGATTTTATTCAACAGCTTGAAGGCTTGAGCGAAATGCTTGAGCAGGATCCCCATAGGGGTTTGGGGTTTGGGGTTTGGGGTTTGGGCGGTGGGGGGGGGTGGGGTGGGGGGAGCGTGGGGGGGGAGCGGTTGGGGGGGGGGGGGGGGGGGGGGGGGGGGGGGGTTGTAGGGTAACACCGTGACAATACCACCAAAACAGAACCCCAAACCCAAAAAAACCGACATACCCACAAGCCCGAAGCCCTGCAACCCAAAACGACCCAACAAACCCCAAAGCCCCCAAACCCCAAAAGAACTCAACCCTTGAACCCCCCAAAACACCCTAAGCCCAGAGGAAGTCGTACTGTAGGGGTCAGAACAAGTAAACAGTACTAATGGTATTCCATCGTGGTCCTATATATTTATATGATACTAACCTCCCAAAACCCGATTCTAGTTACCAAGGCCCCTACATGAGACCCTGAACCCGAGACCCGATTTCTAACCATTCAGGCCCCCATTGGACAGGCGAGGGCACCCAGAGCCGCCGCTTCTGACCACCCGACAGGGAGGTGCACAGCTCATCGACCTTTTCTGGGATGCCTGGGATCTTGATCGGTTGCAAAAGGGGTTTAGGGTTTAGGGTTTAGGGTTTAGGGTTTAGGGCTGCCATCCCCCAACTGCGACTGTGAACCTGTTGGGCTGTTGGGGCTTCTCCTTAGCAACCCACGTTGTTGTAGGCTCCTGTATGAGTACCCCTTTAGAGGATTCTGAGGCAACCTACCCAAAATGCAGGCTCCGGGTTCTTGAGAGGTAGGTTTGTTTGGCATGTTGGGTTTTGTTTGGCATGTTGGGCTGCAGGTAAGAGCCCAAAATCAGCCCTCATCACCAAAATCTGCAGGGTGCCTTCAGTGCCTTCTGAAGTGGGTCTGGCGCGCAAATATCTCGGGCCTTTTGCCCTTTTGGCGGAGGGCTCTCTTACGTGCCTCAATCGCCATGGACTCGGGCCACAGCAAGGGGAAACATCAGAGGCCCATCATCCCCTAGCTAGAGTAAAGGAACACCTCTAAAACCCTAAAACACGAAACCTAAAACGCTAAAACCCTAAATTTCCCTAAAACCCCAAAATTCCAAAAACTCTAAAACCCCAAAACCCTAAAGCCCCAAAACCACAAAAACCCTCCAAGCCGTGCTTCCCAAGGCCCCTAAACCCTAAACCCTAAACCCTAAACCCTAAAGTCCTACAATGCCCTAAACGCCCTACAAGCCGTGCTGCCCAAGGCCACCAGCACCTCCATCACCTTGGCTCCCTGGAGCTGCTCGCTGACGCCCCTCAGGCTCGCGAAGAACCTCAGATCTCTTGGCTACAAGGAGGTTAGAAACTAAACATAATTACTTTGCAGAATTTATGAGTTTTGCGAATTTGTAGTGTAATCTCTGTAAGTATAATGCAAACAAATGGTAGTAAATTAGATGAAATCATCTTCCCGCCTAGCGAATCTGAAATCGCCATGGCGGAGCTAGGTCGGGGCTTTCTTTGCGCGTTTGCGGGCTGCCGCCGAAGAGAGGTCGCAAGGGGTTTCTGGGTGCCTTGAAAGCCTTCAGCACGCCCGAGGTCCGCTGTTCAGGACAAACTCAAAGGGTCCTAAGTACCTACATAGTACAAAGTAGGGTTTCTATAATAGGAATTACTATGGTATGGGCAAGGGTCTCCCATAATAGGCACTTAGGACCCTTTGGGAAAGGGAGCAGCTGCAACGCTTCGGGCGACCCCACGACACGGAAAGTCTGCAACGACGTCCATCTCGGAGCTGGCAGCTCGGATGTCTTCATGGAGGGGCTCCGTAGTCTAAGGTTAACTACACCTTGCTTAAGAACCCCCCAAAAAAGAATAAGATTCTTCCCTACAAGGGTAGTAAGGGCATTAGCTCTCTTTTTGCGGGGTTCAGAAGTCTTCAGAAGCAAATGGTAAACGCCTAAGGGTGTCAGCCGAAGTTGCTGAAGATGCTGGCGAACCGTGAAGACATCGTAGAGGGGGTTGTCCTGCGCCGAGGCTCGGACAGTGACTGGTCACTGGTCCCCAACCCCCATCCACGTACAGAAACCGGGTTTCCTAAACCCTAAACCCTAAGCACCCTATATACCCTACACACCCTCTACACCCTATACACCCTATAAACCCTAAACCCAATCCTGGAACACCTGCACTCCGTCCTGTGGGCAAACACTCAGCTGCCTCCGCACATCTTCGATGGAGGTGTGCACGTCGTAGCCGTTGACGGAAGCGCTACCGCTGGTCATCGGGATGAGCCCGACCACGCCTGGCAAAGCCCTAAACCCTAAACCCTAAAAAACCCCAAAGAGGTTGGGCTGGCATGTAGGAGAGCTCGTGTGAGACCTAAACATACATATGTCATGTGCGGATCGCAACAGCTTCATGTAAGCCGAAGTGCGAAACGGTGCCCCTCGGATTACTTTGCCGCATCTGCTCCAAGCAGCACGTTCAGGGTCTAGGGGATGTTCCCCCTTATACTAACAGTCCTTCATAGGGATTCTGGGGGGTACTATAACCCCTGTTACGGACTGTTCGTAACTATAGCATAAGGGGGAACATCCCAAGTCAAAAGGGTTTCGAGAGCACTTCCTCCCTGCGAACTCCTACACAACCCTTCGGCTCAAAACAGCCGAAAAACCTTGAATAATATGGCCTTTGACCCTTAAACAAAAAAAACCTTCAAGAAGAGTTCTTGGAGCCTGAACCCTAAACCCTAAACCCTAAACCCTAAACCCTAAACCCTAAACCGCAAAGCTTCTTCCATCCGCTGCCGCGTCGCAGTTCATGCAGGTCGTCTTTCCCGCGCCGTTGTGGCCCAAGAGGGCGAAGATCTCCTACACAGCTTTAGGGGTTTAGGGTTTATAGGGTTTATAGGGTTTAGGGTTTAGGGTTCAGGGTTCAGGGTTTAGGGTTTAGGAAGGCTTTAAGGGTTGGGGGGGCTTAAGTGGGGAGCCCTCCTCGAGGGCTAGGCAACGGAACACCCAAAATCCCCCTGAAGCCGAAGCCTGTAGTACCCTAGCATGTTCCAGCCCCTGTCCCCACGGCGAATATCCAGGTCCATGCCGTCCACCGCCACATTGCCGCCTTTGAAGACCTGCGCGGTGCAAGGGTTTAGGGTTTAGGGTTTAGGGTCCGGTTTCTTAGTTGTCCAGTACCTAGGGGGACTAAAGGTTAACCTTCGGGGACTGTAGTACCCCAAAAAGGTTAAAGCGCGACGTGTGCACAGCAAGTCCCCGCAAAAAGGCTAAAGCTTACCTACTCCACTACCAAGGTTTAGCTTGGTAGCCGACTAACCATATTACTCTGAACCCTAAGCCCTGAACCCTTTTTTGGGTTGGCTACTGTTTGAGGAAACCTTGAACGCCAAAAAAGGGCAAAACGGTACCATGGGGCTGCCAAGCTAGGGTGCAGGGTGTAGTGAAAGTATTGGACTTGGTGTCGAATTTGGGTTTAGGGTTGAGGGTTGAGGGTTGAGGGTTGAGGGTTTGGGGTTTAGGGTTCAGAGTAATACCCTAAACCCTAAACCCTAAGCCCTATAAACCCTAAACCCTAAACCCCAAACCCCTAACCCTAAACCCTAAACGCCAGGCCTTGCGCATGTTTCGGATGGACATGGCCAGCTCCACACGGCTCCCGGACTCCAGGCCATCCTCCTGCAACCTGCAAGTGGGGGTTTAGGGTTTAGGGTTTAGGGTTGAAGGCACTTGAGGCTTCGTCATGGGCAGGTTAAGCCCGGAGTTATATGGTGGTTTTCGAAATTGGGGTACCCGTATCAGAAGGGAATCCTATTATTTGGGGTCTGTTTTGGGGCTCCCTATTTTCGTACACCCCCCCATATGTAAGTTATGTAAGGTAACTGTAGCTATCAAGTCAAAACCCTAAACATCGGAGACCCATACTGTCTGGGGTACTTACAACTGCAACCAGGTCCGCAAACCCGCTCCCTTGGGATGTTCCCCCTTATACTAACAGCCCTTCATAGGATTATGGTACCCCTATCCTATCAGCACTGTTAGCATAAGGGGGAACATCCCAACCTCTCCCGAGTTTTTGGAGGCTTCAGAGAGCTAAGGGGGATCTTGGAGCTCAAGATAGAAACCGGGATCTTTCAAGCTCAGAATTTCGAAGCCCTAAACCCTAAACCCTAAACCCTAAACCCTAAACCCTAAACCCTAAACCCTAAACCCTAAACCCTAATACCCTAAACCCTAAACCCTAAACCCTAAACCCTTGGGTTTCCTTGGCTTTGGGGAACCTATCCTTTCCAAGGGCGGGCAACAAACGCTCGCTGCCGCTGCGACGTGAGAAGATGAAGGCGGGATCGAAGCCTGGGTAGCCCAGAAGCCATCTGAGAATAATACTATGGGGGTTTAGGGTTTAGGGTTTAGGGTTTAGGGTTTAGGGCTTACAGGGTACAGCGTTTAGGGTTTAGGGTGTAGGGTTTAGGGTGAGCAAACCCTACACCCTGAAGGCGTCTTGGGTTTGGCTTCTTGTGTCAGAGAAGCCCCCAGGCCCTAAGCCCTGAGCTCAAAAGAGGGCAAAAGGGCAGGGTTTAGGGTTTAGGGTTTAGGGTTTAGGGTTTAGGGTTTAGGGTTTAGGGTTTAGGGTTTAGGGTTTAGGGTTTAGGGTTTAGGGTTTAAGGGTTTAGGGCTTACGGGGTACAGCGTTTAGGGTTTAGGGTGTAGGGTTTAGGGTGAGCAAACCCTACACCCTGAAGGCGTCTTGGGTTTGGCTTCTTGTGTCAGAGAAGCCCCCAGGCCCTAAGCCCTGAGCTGAAAAGAGGGCAAAAGGGCAGGGTTTAGGGTTTAGGGTTTAGGGTTTAGGGTTTAGGGTTTAGGGTTTAGGGTTTAGGGTTTAGGGTTTAGGGTTTAGGGTTTAAGGGTTTAGGGCTTACGGGGTACAGGGTTTAGGGTTTAGGGTGTAGGGTTTAGGGTGAGCAAACCCTACACCCTGAAGGCGTCTTGGGTTTGGCTTCTTGTGTCAGAGAAGCCCCCAGGCCCTAAGCCCTGAGCTCAAAAAGAGGGCAAAAGGGCAGGGTTTAGGGTTTAGGGTTTAGGGTTTAGGGTTTAGGGTTTAGGGTTTAGGGTTTAGGGTTTAGGGTTTAGGGTTTAGGGTTTAGGGTTTAGGGTTTAGGGTTTAAGGGTTTAGGGCTTACGGGGTACAGGGTTTAGGGTTTAGGGTGTAGGGTTTAGGGTGAGCAAACCCTACACCCTGAAGGCGTCTTGGGTTTGGCTTCTTGTGTCAGAGAAGCCCCCAGGCCCTAAGCCCTGAGCTCAAAAAGAGGGCAAAAGGGCAGGGTTTAGGGTTTAGGGTTTAGGGTTTAGGGTTTAGGGTTTAAGGTTTAGGGTTTAGGGTTTAGGGTTTAGGGTTTAGGGTTTAGGGTTTAGGGTTTAGGGTTTAGGGTTTAGGGTTTAAGGGTTTAAGGGTTTAGGGTTTAAGGTTTAGGGTTTAGGGTTTAGGGTTTATATGACTGGGCTGCCAGGAAGCAGAAGAAGCATGGCTTAGCCTGTCCGTACTCCCCCTGCCAGACCTGGCAAGGCTCGGGACTACACGATCCCTAAACCCTAAACCCTAAACCCTACGCCCTAAACCCTAAACCCTAAACGCTAAACCCTAAACCCTAAACCCGACGCCCTAAACCCTAGACCCTAAACCCTAAACAATAAACCCTAAACCCTGAACCCTAAACCCTAAACCCTAAGCTGCGATAACAAACCCTCAAGGCCCACTAAAGCCCGCACCTGCTCCAGCCACCAGGCCACCAGGCCATAGAGAACCACGTCAACCAGCATCAGGATCCTGGCGGGAACAGGGGTTCGGTTTAGGGTTCGGTTTAGGGTTTGGGGTTTAGGGTTTGGGGTTTGGGGTTTAGGGTTTAGGGTTTGGGGGCTTAGCCTAAGGGGTCCATGTACCTCATTGTTCTATTCACCCTAAAAGTGCCTGTATTGGAAGCGCTTCAAGGCCCAAGTGTTCCCAATTTAGGTGCGGGTGGCTGGGGCTAGATGCCGCGCGCTCCCGCCTTATACCAACCTTACATTAGAATCCGGGGCACGAAAATCCCTACTAAGGACTGCTAGTATAACGGGGAACATCCTAAGTCCTAAGACCTAGGCTCCTAGGCTGTGGACACCTGAACCCGGCGCCCGAAAGTTTACATACTTTCTGCAAACTGCCCCGCTGTACGACAATACCGCCGCTATAAGTGGGCAGCTTAATGGATGATCCCTCTCTTTAAAGGTACCCCAACCAACAACTCTTCGTATTAGATGTTTAGGGTTTAGGGTTTAGGGTTTAGGGATTACAGAAGCATATGGTCGAACAAACCCAAGTGATGCTGCTTGACAAGCCGAGCAGCATGCTCTCGCCGGCAGAGAAGATGGTAATGGGAACCGGGCACGGGGCCGGGTAGTACGTGGTTGGGCACAGCCTGAGCTGTTTAGGGTTTAGGGTTTAGGGTTTAGGGTTTAGTGTTTAGGGTTAGGGTTTAGGGTTTAGGGTTTAGGGTTTAGGGTTCTAGGGTACTTCGGATCCCCGCAAACAAGGGCAAGGGACCACACTAAGGGCCCATGGTTCCAACCGGCTTGTAAGGTCTGGGGCCTATAGAAACCCTAAACCCTAAACCCTAAACCCTAAACCCTAAACCCTATAGGGGAACCAAGAAGACCCTGAACCTGAAGAGACCCTGAACCTGAAGTGTTGCTCGGTTTTGCCCAAACACGGGGCTTGTCAGTGGAGATCTGTCCCGGACACCATTGCAAGGGAAACTCCCAAACTGCTGCCCCTCAACCAGCAATCGACCTGTATGTGGGTCATGCTTATGAATTGATGGGCCCTCTGGATACATGTGCGACTGGTAAAAGCATTTAGTGTTCATAGGGTTTCTCTAAACCCTAAACCCTAAACCCTGTGATTGTGAAGCCCCCGCGCTTTAGTCCACTAAGCCACACCCTAAACCCAAAACCCTTGACGCTGCCAAGGAGCTCGGAGGCAAAGAGGGAACGTATGACGAGGCCCTTCGTGCAGCCCTCTGCGTCGCAGTAGTAGAGCGCCTGCTACCAGGATGCGGCCGCCAAGGTTGGGGAAGTTGAAGAATCAGGGTTTAAAGACCCTAAACCCTAAACCCTAAACCCTAAACCCTAAACCCTAAACCCTAAACCCCCCACCCTACCCCCTAAGTTGGCATGTTCGCCCTTGTACTTGCAGTCCTTGATAGGGGTTTTGGGCTTAGGGGAGGTCCTCGTGGAGACTGAGTGTGATCCAGGCCCTCGCCTACTGCGCAGACCCTAACCCCAAACCCTCGAAGCCCTGACGCCCTAAAGCCCGCCAGAGGAGGCCAGAACCTTGCACCACACATCCTGAGCAAACACCCTAAAACCCAATCCTAAACCCTAAACCCTTTTTGCAACCAGGTCTCTGCAGCCAGCCCTAAACCCTGAACCCTAAAACCCAAAAGATCTTCGACCCATTTACAACAGGAGTAGCACAAGGCCATGGTCGAACGATCATGAACTTCCCTAAACCCTAAACCCTACACCCCTGTTTCCGATGAGCAAGGCCAAGCACGCTACGTCCCAAAAAAAACTGTCTAGAAGACCCCTGAAACCAAAACCCTAAGCCCTAAACCCTAAAAACTAAAACCCTAAACCCTAAACTTAAACCCAAAACCCAAAACCCTAAACCCTGACGCCCTCAGCCGCCTCATTCCAGAAGAGGCTCGCGAAGCCGTTGAAGACGTTGACGGTGGGCAGGAGCCCGGCCAAGTACCAGAGGATCTTGGGAACCCCTGGACCGGTTTAGGGTTTAGGGTTTATGCAGAGGCAAAGGCTTGAGCACGAGTGGGGAGGAGATTCTTGTGACTCGCCTTGTGCTGCTCAAGGGGAAGGTGGGGGCGTGGATTCTGAAATGTCCTCATGCAATCTGCAGTTCCCCACCCGTACATAAAGTGGAACCCCCTCTCCATTCCCTCATGCCAGTAGATTTTCGGAGAGATGGTCTCTAGCCGTCTGCAAGGTTTGCAACTAGGTCTTTGGAGTTTTCTTCGGGTCCTGCTGCGGGTCAAAAGGAGTTCTTCATGTTGTATGGGGCTTCTTGATATCAGCAACCTACCGAAAAAGGTTCTGGGGTTCCAAACGTCGAGCCCACACACTGTTCGAGCTGACTTTGACCTCTAGGGTTTAGGGTTTAGGGTTTAGGGTTTAGGGTTTCATGATATCCCAACACCCGAAACCCTAAACCCTAAACCCTAAACCCTAAACCCATCACCTCGGAGGAGGCCCTGCAATGCCGCCGCCAAGAGCATCAAGGCGATGCTGAGGAAACCTGGGCTCCCATGCTCCTAAAGGGCGTTTGTTTTACGTTTAAGGCTTTGGGTTAGGGTTTAGGGCTGGGGGTTTAGGGTTTAGGGCTAGGGTTTATGGCTCCCATGCTCCCAAAGGGCTCTTTTTGGTTCACGGCTTGGGGTTTAGGGATTAGGGCTAGGGTTTAGGGTTTGGGGTTTAGGGCCTCCTAAAGGGCATTTTGTTTTACGGCTTGGGGTTTAGGGTTTAGGGTTTTATAGAGGGGTTAGGGGTTTGTTTAGGGCTTGCGGCGGTTTTAGTGCTTAGGGTTTAGGGCTAGGGTTTTTGGGTTGGGGTTTAGGGCTTGGGGTTTTAGCCTTAGGGTATTTTAGGGCTTAAAGGGTTTGTTAAGGGCTGAGGGTTGTGGCTGTCCTGATTTTCGCAGAAGGTTCTATAGGGGCCAAGTCGGGAAACCTCGCGCAATCAAATAACTTTCCCGCTTCCTCTCTTCTCAGTGTCATTCGGTTTAGGGTTTAAGGTTTGGGGTTTAGGGTTTAGGGTCTGGGAAGTAGTCCACACGTAGCTCCTTTCCTTGCACCGCTAAACAACATGACCCAGGAGAAGCCTGGTGAATCCAAACAAAGCAAAAAAGGCCGATTTTGATGGGTGGGCAGCCTTTTGTATAGACCCCAAACCCTAAACCCTAAACCCTAAACCCTAAACCCTAAACCCTAAAATGGGCTTCCGACCCCCTTCAGACGGCCCAGCAGCTGGCCGAGCTCGAGGCTGCCTGGGTCCGGTTGAAGAAGACGGTGGTGATGGCAGCGAACTCCAGCTGCTGCATGTAAGACCTCTTCATGGTAGGGGACCACCCCCCCCCCCCCCAAAAAAAATAAAAATAAACAAAAGAACAAAAGAAGAATGCAACAACAACCAGAAACAACATGCATAATAACAATAACAATAATGAGAAGAATAAGAATAAGAACAATAATGTTGTATCTGCTCTAGTGTGCCCCCCCCCCCCCCCGAAAAGTCGAGGCTAGATTTTGCCCTGTTTAAACGGGCCCGGGGGTTTATATGATCTTAATAGGGAGGAGTTTATACAAATTTAACAGGGATCCATCTGAATTTAGAATGGATGAGTTCATATGCTGTTTTGAAATCCAGGGCCCGCGGCCAGGACATGCAAGGCTCGCTCCGGGACCGCCCCTTTGCCGGATTGATCAAGACAATTTTTTAATGGTTTTTTAAACAGGGAGTTCTTGGTTTCCGGCATTGTTGGGATTCGGGTTTTTTTGGCGTCTGGGAAAGGAGGCCTGCCTTTAAGATTCAAAAGCCCGGCCTTTGAAATCCAGAGCCCCGGACCCGGGGCCAGGACATTAAAGCGGGTCGCGAAGCAATGCTCATTATTCGAGATTCGTCCGGCCCCTGGACCACCCCCTTTTCCGGATTGATCAAGACAATCTTTATAGGGCTTTTTAAACGGAAATTATTGATTTCGCGTCAGTTGGGATGTCGGGTTTTTGGGAAGAAGGCTTGCCTTGAAGATTCAAAGGCCCCGGCCTTTAGGCCAAGAGTCCAGGACATCGGTTTCAAGGGTTGAGCCCTAAACCCTAAACCCCAACCCCAAACCCTAAACCCCAAACCCCAACCCTAAACCTGGAGAGCAAGAGCCAAGTCGCAGGGCCATCAGGTACAGCACCAATGCAGGGTTGGAGCGCGACACCATGGGTGCGGCGAGCGTGAACAAGCCTCAGGAGCCATGGGTTGGACGGCCCTCAAAACTCTGAAGCCTGGAAACCCCCCCAAAGGGGGTTTAGGGTTTAGGGTTTAAAGTTTAGGGTTTAGGGTTTAGGGTTTAGGGATCCTGAACAGCGCAAACCGATCATTGCAAACCCCCGAAAAGACGCTGCTGACCCGCTTCGCCCCCCATTCCCCCCCCCCCCCCGCCTCCGCCCCAACTGCCCTCCTCCTTCGTATCCCTGTGTGCTATGGGCCCTGAAACCTCTGTCAGGGGAAGTTCGAAAAAGGGTTTAGGGTTTAGGGTTTAGGGTTTAGGGTTTAGGGTTTAGTCTACAGGCTTCACAGTGTATCGGCGCTCTGCAGCCGAGAGACTGTAGAGCAGCACCATGCACCTCGATTGCTCTTGCGGAGTCCACAACTACTTTTTGCTCAAGAACCCCCCCCCACAAAAAAAAAACACAAAACACATTATTCCTTTTATAAGGGCAAAAAAGAGACTGTTCAAAACATATTATTCCTTATAAGGGCAAAAAAGGGACCGTTCTTTCATATTTTTCTGGGAGTCTTCAGCAAGTAGACACAGCCCTGGAGAGAGGCCCCATGGCTCGGTGGCCTTCGTAGAGCAGTTCCATCTCCCTACAGCCCGGCAGGGGACGTAGCGGTCTCCTGAAGATACCCCACAAACTCCTTTTTCAGGAACTCCCTGCCCTAAACCCTAAACCCTAAACCCTGAACCCTCATTTCGCGCCAGTTGAGGGTGACGGTTTGAGTCCGAGGCACACCGTGGCCACCACGGCGAAGTAGCCGGCCCACGAGATCCAATACATGAGGGGCGTCAGGCCATAGATCTCCTGTGTCACCTCGGGCTGCAGCTTAGGGTTTCGGGTTTAGGGTTTAGGGTTTAAGGTTTAGGGTTTCGGGGAACTCCAGCGGCGTATACCTCAAAAACTATAGCCGTGGAGCCTGGAACTGCATAAGGGTTTTAAACGAATGAAAGAAGAGCATGCTCCCTTAATCAAGGTGTATGTAGGCACCCGCTTTTGCTGATTCCCGGCGCTCTGGCGCTGAACACTAGCCACCCCCGTCCCCCCTAATTAAGGCCTACCTGGGACTCGCTTTATGAAGGGCTTCCCGAACCGCTCCACCTTAAGTACCGTTCCGCTTCGATTTCGGGGTGCCGCTGCATGTTTCTTCTCAAGCAGCATAGCCTTTCTAGCGAAACCCACCTGATTTCCCGACTGTCGTCGCCACCTCATCAGCGCACCACCCGCCCGCCGAAGCAGCACCCAAGATTGACGCAGCACCCAAATCGAGGCGGAATGGCTGTGGAACGACTTGACTTTACCTAGAGTTTTATGGGTTATATCTACTAGTCAAGGGGTAGTTACTACTAAACTGTAGGTAAATAGTGTCCCAGGTAACCCCAAGAAGGGTTCAACACCAAGCTGCTGGCACACATGCAACCTCCCTTCATAGCTAGACTTACCCTAAACCCTAAACCCTAAACCCTAAACCCTAAACTTCTTCACGGATCTCTTCTTCTACCCGCGCACCCAAGCGCTGTCACGGAGCTGGTACCAGGATGGGCTATTATACCCTATAACCCCTAAACCCTGAACCCTTACAAAGGCCCTTTATAGGGTTGATTATGGTGATTGTAGGGTTTAATCGCCCATCCTGGTCATGGTGACACGTGTGCGCAGGGCTCGGCCTGAGCTTCTCACATCTGTCTGGGTGGTCCCTTCCCGCTGCTCTCTCGCTCTCTCTCTCTCTCACTCTCGCTCTCTCTCGCTCTCTCTCTCTCTCGCTCGCTCGCTCGCTCTCTCTCTCTCTCCTCTCTCTCGCTCTCTGTCTCCTCTTGTTTCTTTCGTTGTGAACTTATTTCTTCTTCTTCTTGTTCCTCTCCATCTCTAAAGCTATCCTGAAAAGAAAGAGAGCACAATATTTTCTCGGCGTACAGGATTATCTATGAAAATACACGCACGGCCTGAACCCGAAATGCACCGCAGTATGATAGCCAGCTGCCGCCTAAACCCCAAACCCAAAACCCTAAACCCTAAAACCTAAACCTTCAGCCCGCCACCTTCATCTTCGACTCCTTCTCAGAGACCACCTCGATGATAGCGCAGGTGAGGGCTCCTTGTACCTCGCAAGGAGCGAGGTGGGCCCTAAGCTTCAGGGACTGAAGGCGGGAGGTTTAGGTTTTTTGGGGGGTTTACGAGCTCCTGCTGTGGTATGTTCGGTCCGAAACTTCGGCCTTGCAACGCTTTCTGTGGCCTATCCTTGTGTCTTGTAAGGGGGGATTTGTTTAGGGTTTAGGGTTTAGGGTTTCGGGTTTCGGGTTTAGGGACTACAAGGAGGGGCCCCAAGCTATAAGTAGAGTTATAAGGGCCCTAAATTGCGTTGTAAGGACCCTAAATTAGGTGATAAGTCCCTTAAGGGCCCTAAATTGGGTTATAAGGATCCGAAATTAGCTTATAAGCCCCTTAACTACAGTTAGGTATAGCAAGGTGGGCCCCTCCTTGTAAAGACATCAACGCCATGGTCCGCAACTCTCGCCCGGGCGGGGCGAAGGGCCGAGAGAGGTTTGGAGCAAGGGACTCTCAGGGCTATTTTGGCATCCGTCTGGCCACGCACGACGAGGTTTTGCCCTAAACCCTAAACCCTAAACCCTGAACCCTAAACCCTAAACCCGAAACCCTAAACCCTAAACCCTAAACCCTTTTGGCTAGCAAAGGAGCTTAAGGTTGACCTCCGTAGGCCTGTCCCGAAGCCCTCGGAGGAGGACCTTTGGGTGGAATGTTCCTCCCGTATACGAACAGTCCTTTAGAGGGATTATAAGGGGATAGTGGTCCAGTAACCTGGAGGAATTAAAGGTTAACCTTTGGGATTATAAGGGGATTATACTACCCCAAAAAGGTTAAAGCTTACCTACTCTACGACTCGGAGGGGGTATCATCTCTAATTATTCAGGACTGTTACTAATATAAGGGGAGGCCATCCCTAACTTTGGGTATTGATCATGAAGCCACCAAGGAACGGCCATGACGAGGTACAGTGGCACCAGGATCGCCATGAGCGTCGCGCCCGTGTCTGCCGGGAGGTCCGCGAAGAGCTGGGCGTGTCTCGAACCCGGACGACCGACTCCCAAAATCATCTACAAAGGTTGAGATCTTCCCTGTTATGCTAACAGTCCTTCATAGGGAATAGAATACCCTATATACTAAAATCCCTACTAAGGACTGTTCGTATGCGGGGGAACATCCCAATAAGATGGCCTTAAGAATCTTCGGGGTTGAAACCCAAAACCGTTGAGGGTTTTGAGGGTATGTAGGGTTCGGCTGCGCTAGAGTCGCTAGAGTCTGGGCTGTTAAGGTACGGTCAGGAACCCATGTTTCCCCTCTTTGATTTGGGTAAACCCCTGAGGAACCTGGCATCGCAAGGTAGTGGCTACTTACAGGGCTTGGGTTTTTTGGCACCCACATAGCTGGACGAAGCACTCAGCTTAAGGTTTATAAGGTTCGGGGCTTCTTTTTTTAGGGTTGAAGGCTTTTGGCGTTGGCCACTTGCACTGAGAGGCTCTTCCCAGTAATCTGGGAAAAAAACGGTGCCCTTTTTGGGTTTGCAAAGGGGCTTGTCAGGGAACCTTAACCCGAAAAGTAGGGAATCAGGGCCCACTCTGGGTCCTAGTTACCCTTTTTTTGCATCTGGACTCCTTGCTGCCAGGCTCCTAGTTTCCCTAAACCCTAAACCCTAAACCCTAAACCCTACACCCTAAACCCTAAACTTTAGGGTTTAGGGTTTAGGGTCCCTAAACCCGTAAAAGAGGAAATAAGGGCCTCCTCCAGGTCCTAGGATCCCTCTCATCCCCTACCAGGTCAGACGCGGGGCGCCCACATACAACTCCACTGGGGGACCCGCTCCAGGTCCCCCAATAGCCCCAAAGCTTTAACAAAACTCTTTCCGACTTGAGTGATAACAAACACAAAAAAAGACAATAAACATGCAAAAATCATACATCTATATATATATATATGTATTCTCATAAACAACAGATATAGGGTTTAGGGTGTTTGTCAAACGGTTAAGCATCAGGACATGCGTTTGGGGACGAGGGTCGCTGAGAAGCTGTCCTTCCCTCATCAAAAAAATATTAGACCTGTTCTCATCATGGGGAACCTTCGAGAACGTAGGCGACATATGTATTGTATGTTACATGCAGGTTTAGGGATTAGGGTTTAGGGTTTAAAAACAAGATCTCGAATGACCTATAGGGAACAGAATGAACAGGTAGCCTGCCTTAATGGGGCTCACAAAGGAACCTAAGCTGCAAGCAACGGGAACAAGGGTTCCACTGCCTGATCCTGCAGTCTATTCTCCCCTTAGAACCGAAATAAATAATATACAGATTTACTATTCCCATGGGTTGTGAACAAATGAAAAAAATCACTCCTAAGGGGGGGCTATAGCAGTAGGGGGTCCTAGAGAAGGGCTTTTAATTCCATGTGCGGCCAAGCAGGCGTGCCAGAAGAACACCGAGCAGACCCCGTAGATCAACGCAGGCCAGACACTGGTCAGAAGTCGCTTCCTTACACCACGGAAACACCACGCATCTTAGACCACACACACTTTACGGTTCATAGGGTTTAGTGTATCCGGTACAGTACAGAACCACACAAACTTTCGGGTTCAGGGCCCTTTTTTCGTGACACCTAAACCCTAAACCCGAAACCCTAAACCCTAAACCCTAAACCCGTGACACAGGATTGTGGGATGCTCCTACAAGCGAGCAACCTGATATCCCTGCACTCATCGGCTACGACAGGCCGTGAAAGCCTGAAGCTCCAAAACGTGCTGTACTACTAGTTTAGGGTTTAGGGTTTAGGGTTTAGAGTTTAGGGTTTAGGGTAAACTATTCTTCCTTATTCAGGGTAATATGGGGATAACTATCTTTTTGTTCCTTTGGGGTTCTGAAGCAAATAGTAGTGTATGCATTTGGATCCCAGTTGCCGCTTGCGAGCAACATAGATGTGCTTCCTCAGCCTTGGCTGTGCGCGGAGAAGCTGAGGGTTAAGCCCTCAGGTTTACATTGCTTAGGGTTTAGGGTTTAGGGTTTAGGGTTTAGGGTTTAGGGTTTAGGGTTTAGGGTTTAGGGTTTAGGGTTTAGGGTTTAGGGTTTAGGGTTTAGGGTTTAGGGTTTAGCTTCCCTTGCAAAACAGACGTGTAAAACCATGAAGCACCCTTGGACCCCTTTCTTCCGCACCTGTTTTCGCTCGAGACGTCCCCTATCTAACGTGCGGGTTTTTTCTTAGAGCTAGCACTTGGAAAAACCTCGTAAATGACCCTAAACCCTAAACCCTAACCCTAAACCCTAAGCCCTAAACCTCATGTGATGGACCAAAAGACGTGGTTCGGGCGCGGCTCGAAGCGCGGACGGAACGGGCTTTCGGGTGCTAGGTGTTTTTGGGCTTTTAGAGTTTTTTTAGGGTTTAGGGTTTAGGGTTTTAGGGTTTTTAGGGTTTTTAGTGTTTTTAGGGTTCTTGGGGTTTTAGGGGCAAAACAACGGGAGATGCTTGGCCGTTCCTGGTCTCAGATTTCGCATCTGAGTGCGACCCACTGGCGTGAAGTCCATGTACACTATGTGCAGATACCCAAATGAGGACCCAGAAGTTTCCAAGGAAAGAAAGGGTGCCTTTTTGGTTTAGGGTTTAGGGCTTTAGGGGTTTAAAGGGGCGTATATGGGGAACCTAAACCCTGCAAACAGGAATAGGGGCCTACTCTGGGGCCTAGCCAAGAAATTTGTTTCCCTCAACCCAAACCACAGTGCCAAACCAGTCACATTGTCTTGAAGACGGCCAACATCGATGGCGGGTCAGGAAGTATGTGCACTGTAGGCATCGGCGGCCTGTCAGGTCGTGACGTGCCCACCCTAAACCCTAAACCCTAAACCCTAGACCCTCGACCCTGAACCCCAAACTCCGACTTTGGGTTCAGGGGGGCTTAACGTTGGGCTCTGGCTGCCAGGCACTTTGGTATTCGAAGGTTCGGACGTGGAGCCTGGAGTCTAGAGAGCCCAGCGGGGGTGGGGGCGCAGGGTTTAGGGTTTAGGGTTCAGGGTTTAGGGGGCTTAGGGCTTAGGGCTTTGGGTTTTTGTTGCCACCCGCCTAGCTGACTCAGAGAGACGCACTGCAGGGTCTAGGGTTTAGGGTTTAGGGTTTAGGGTTTAGAGTTTAGAGTTTAGGGTTTAGGGGTACTCTGGGTCCTAGTTTCCCTAAAGCGGTTTAGGGTTTAGGTTTAGGGTTTAGGAGACATGAGTATGATTGTGCAAATCGGGACATCGCACACACACACACACACACACGTACACGTGCGATCACACCCAGTACAAGGTTGCGCTGAGTCCAGGCACTGGTTTTGTTCATGTGGTGATATCACCCTAAACCCTAAACCCTAAACCCTAAACCCTAAACCCTTAAAAAAACCCTAAATCCTCAACACACACACGATACCAGGGAAGCCACTTGCCGTGCAACATAAAAAGCAGACTTGGGGGTGCGGCGCTGCAGCAAGACGGACTATTCCCCCCCCCCCCCCACCCAATCTGCCAATCTGCAGAACATAGCTGGAACGGGCCTTGAAAAACTTCCATTCGATTCCAAATCAAGGTGAACTGCCAGGGGCTTCGTTGGGAACAGCTGGGCAGTCACCCTGTGCCCCCCCCCTGCATGGGAGAACCCAAAAAAAAATCCTGAATAAACCCTAAACAAACCCTAAAGCCCTACAACCCTAAAATCCAATTTTTGAAACCCTAAGCCCTATCAGGCCTCTGTTCCGGCGTGGCCGGCTCCATGTTGAAAGAGGCATACTGCGACATGGCACCGCAGCGACTTCCTACGTTCGGGCCTTGGCGCCTCTGTTGCCAAGGGGGGGGGTTCCTAAGGGCGTTCAGAGGTCAGCATCCCTAAAACCCTAAACCCTAAACCCTGAACTTTCGAGGACGTGCAAGTGTGGAACCCATGAAGCACAACTGTTTCAGCCTGCAAGAATAGTGGCGAGGGCTACTATACATGCGCATCAGACCCTCTGGCTACCCCAAACATCCGGACAGGAAAGTTTAAACGTACACATGGAGCCCGCTGTCTGCACGAGCGGCGACCGAGAGAACTGAGCTAATTTTGTCTCTCCACTCCGAAGCTCCAACTTCAACCAAGATCCCCATAATCCACAGCTTAATCCCATAAAGCCCCCAAATTGCTAAACCCTAAACCCTAAGCCCTAAGCCCTAAACCCTAAGCCCTAAACTGCCCTAATCCTAAACCCTAAACCCCAAAGCCGTCGGGTCTGAAGACCCCTGCAAACTCGAGAGTTGAAGAGGCACACTTCGGGCTCTACCTTCATAGCCCAAAGCCTGGATTGTATGAGTTGTGCTCTCAACCCTTTGAACAGTACTCGTGAATAGGTCCCCTTGTAAGGAAACAAGGGAATATCAAAGTTATCCCAAAGCACAACCCAGTTATTTGTAGGTTACTATGCCAATATACCCTTCAGCAGGATCCTCAGGTAGCCTACCAGAAAAAGGGGTCAGTTCTCTAAATTATCGTGCCTTTTGGGGTATACAAAAAAGGGACGCCTTTTCATGGTCAACCCCAAAAGGGGCCCTAATTTCGACAACCACCAAGTAGGTTCTGGGGGATCTGAAGGTAGCCCAACAGCCATATTATACTAGAGGCACCCGTGTTGGGGTTCGCTACTTGATAAGGGAGCCTTGGACCCAACAAAATGGAAAAGGGTAACCGTGGGCTACCAAAGGTAACCTACAAAAGAAAGGTAGGTTCTGGGGTTCTTAAAAGAAGTAGGTTCTACCCTAAACCCTAAACCCATACGATCGAGCTTGGCAGGCTTGTTTGACATGCTCCCGGCAATTTAAGCACCGAGGCAGCAGGCTGGGCTGCCAACATCCTTTTGCATCCACAGCGATTATATTCTACGGTAGTTTATGTCATATTACATGGTCTGGTAGTGGAACCTGGCAGAATGTTATATCGCCTGATGTATTCTGGTGTTATGGAGGGGGTT